GTGAGAGAGGTGGGGGGTGGGTTAGTAGGTTAGGTCCGTCGTCTGTGGCGTCCAAGAATTGTAGGTCGGGAGGGGTGATGGGGTGCGCGTATGGGAAAGTGTTTTCATCAAAAATGAAGTGGCGAGAGACAATGATTTTATTTGTTTGAAGGTCAAGACATCGATATCCACGTTGGTTTGAGGGATAGCCTAGAAAGACACAGCGGGCAGAGAGTGGTGCAAGTTTATGAGAGGTGGCGGCGGAGATATTTGGGTAGCAGAGACAGCCGATTATGTTTGATATAGGGTAAAACCAAGACATTATTTAAGGAGAGGGGATAGGTGGTGGGAAGGGTGTGGCTACCAACTGCCGTAGTGCGGAATTTAGATCCATTACCAACAGTGATATATAGAGGTGAATATAAATCTTGAGATGAGACATGGGAAAGAGTACCTGGGTCGGAGGCAATGTTGTGTGAAGCACCGGTATCCATAAGCTATGTGGGTTCACGAAGAGACATAGTGGCAAAATGGTGAGCTAGGGCAGTGGGTGTGGGTGGGTAGGGTGTCGAGTAGGCTGTGGGTTGGGGGGTTGTGGGGCTGTCGCGGGGCTGGGGGGTAAGGTGGCGGGCATGGGGAGTTTGGTGGGTAAGGATATGGGTTCGAGGGTGGGGTAGTTGTGTAATATGCATGGGCGTGATAGGGGTGGGGAGCAGGAGTGGGTCGAGGGCCCAGCACCTCGGGGCTAGGGTCTGGGTAAGGTGAGTTCCAAGGATTGTAGGCGTCCGTTGGCGGTCGTTATCTTGAACCTCCACTTTTACACCCTCAACCATGACCCCAGTTACAATTGTCGTGCCCTTGTCTGCGTCCATAGCCATCACGCTGCCTGGAGGAAGGATCATCACCATAAGTGCTGCCAAAAACGGGTCCCCCGCTACCAGAGTTCCTGCCGTGTGGAGCGCCATGGTTACCGCCGCTGCTGTGCTGTCCGCCGGTGAAGCCGCCGCCGTCTCGACCCGCCAGCAGCGCGGTGCTACTGGTTCCGCCCAGGGGGTCCGCTTTCGGTCGAGGAGGGAAGGGCCGACCGGACCTGGAGAAAACTCGGAATGGGATCCTGAAATTGGAGGAACGAGGTTTGAGCTTGAAGATCGTCGAGAAGGCCACGTAGCATCTAAAGAATCAATTGATGCTCAGACACGGGGGCATCGACATCGTCCAACCAATCCGCAATATTTCTGAGATCTTGACAATATGTGGCCATGGGAGTGGATCCCTTAACGGTGGTACGAAATTGGTGCTTGAGTTGCATGGCACAAGCATGTTTGTTGTCGTGAAACAGGTCATGAATCACCGTCTAGAGTGCAGAGGCAGTGGATACAGAGGAGAGAACCAGATCAGAAACTTCATTAGTAATTGTGGAGAGAATCCAGCCCTGGAGGATGGCATCAAGCTGGAACCATTCATCATCATCGTCGGAGAGAGGGACGATGGAGCCGTTGAGATAACCAGAGATTGAACCGGCGTGCAAGAAGAAGAAACAGACGGCTTCACTTTTTGTAGTTAGGTTGAGAAAAACTAAGTTGTATAGGTACATGGAGTTTGACGTTGGAGACAGAAAGCGAGATGTGGAGGTTTTGGGGTTGCAGATTGAGAGGTGACCTCACTTTCAGCCATTATAGAGGAGGCCGGGGAGGGGCTGCCGGCCGAGAGAGAAAGAGAGAGGGAGGCGGCGGCGCTGTCGGCGAGGGGAGAGGGCCGAAAAACAGGAGGGGAAATTTTTAAGGTTTTAGTTAGGCTCCGATACCATGAAAAAGAATCATTTTCCTTGATTTAATTGTGTGAAGAATACATGTATATATACTAAAAGTCTCAATCCTAATTAAGGTAGGAGAGACATGATAGAAAAGCTATACAGGTATGGTAACAATAATAATACAATAATATTAAAATTATTATATATTGTATATATTTAACATCCACTGCTCCGATACCATGAAGAATTATGAATTTCTATGATTGTTACAAAGTTTTCACCTCCCCTTATATACATGTAGGAGGGTAAAGAATAAGGAAATGACATTAATATAGAATCCTATACAAAAATAGAATCTACCATATATAATAACTACATTAAATATGTTATACTACCTCCGTTCCAAAAAGATTTACACATTTCAAAAAAATTGCGTCCCACAATCCCTTATCCATTTCTATTAAAAAACCACTTTTACTCCTTACTTTTTCAAACCCTACCTATCACATCATACCTTTTTCCTAATAATCTACACATCACATCATACTTTTACCCATCACATCAAAGGTATTTTTGGAAAGTCAACACAAAATTATCCCTCCCTTAATTTCTACTTTAGTCAAAACGTACCCATTTTTATGGGACGGAGGGAGTATTATGTTAACATATTTAACATTTCTGTTAGACTTCTTCATTGGGCCGGCCCGCAAGGCCCCAACTTCATCTTCCTCTTCAATCATGGTAACCGTATCAGTGTAGGGGATGATGATGATGATGGGCGAAGAAGATGGACAGAAAGATGGACGGAACGATGATGAGGAACGATGATGAAGATGATCGAGTTGAAAGAGGGTTGGACGGAATAGTCATACTCCGTATTATAATAAGTTTTTGGATATTTTAATTTTAAGCTACTCAGAAATAATTATTAAAAAAAATGTAACCTAAAAATTTTTATCACAAAATTCAAAGTACGGAGTACCCTGCCCAACTTTTTTGTATGGCCTAAACGTGAATTTCTTTTTTTTGAGTAAATTCCATATTTAGTCTCTAGTTTTATATTGTTTTACATTTTTAGTCCCTAGTTATCAAATTTGACAATAATAGTCTCCAATTATGTCTGGTCTTGACACATATGGACCTCCGTCAGTTCAATCGGTATATCACCGTTAAATATAGGGTTATCAGCAGAAATCTGGAAGCTTTGCTCGTCCCTTCTTTGTCCGATTACTCGCCCCTCTTCTTTCATTATCAATGTTCATTCGGTAAGTGTTGTTTCAATTATGATAACAAATGGAAAGAATTATCCAGTTTGGGCCCCATAATTACTTGGAACATACTCCATCCGTCCCAAATTATAGTGTCTGTTTACTATTTACAGGGTCAAACTTCATACACATTCTTTCTCTATTTTCATTAGCAATTTGATAAAATAAAGTACTATTGTCACTACTACATTTGTAGATCTTTTGATGTAGTATTTTAATATGTAATTTTTATTTTTTAACTCTATACCATTTGTCATATAAAATGATTTGAAAATAATTTCAGTCAAACATCGTAAACCTAAACATACACTATAAATTGGGACGGAGGGAGTACATTGTAGATTGGATTTATCCAGTTTAGGATTACTTGTAAACAATTACTTGGAAGATTAGGATAATTTGCAAAAATTATTGTGCTAGCTATAATTGCAGGTGTATTGCCTTTTTAAAATTCTCCCTCCGTCCTATATTGATCTTCTCACTTTGACTAAAGGTCAATTTTTATGAGGACTATTATTGTTAAATTTGATAACTAGGAACTAAATATATAAAACAATATAAAATTAAGGACTAAATATGGAATTTACTCTTCTTTTTTAAAGAACAGTACCCCTATATTATTTATAAAAAAAAAGTACTCCGTATATCTAGCGGTTAACATGTAGGGAAGGAAGTCATGCGATGGTAAAAAAAGAGATCATGCAAGGGTCAAACTTTCCCGCAGTGGTTAAAAGTTAAAAACTGCAGCAAAGAAAGGAAAAGTTAAAAGTTGCTTAGAATGAAGCTAGAAAAATTTAAAAACGAAAACTGGGAACGTGCTAACTCAAGTTGAAAAACCCATTAAAATCTATTTTAACACACAGCATCCAATGACAAAATTGTAAAATTTACTAATCCAACATACACGGAAAACTAATGGAGTATTTTTTTTAGCCATTACTTCATCTAATCCAATTAAAAGCTTATAAATATTTGACATAAATTATTCTTCAATTAATTTATTTAATAATTACTCTCTGTCCCAAATTATAATGCATGTTCACTATTCACAAAGTCAAATTTCATTCACTTTCTTTCTCTATTTTCATTAGTAATTTGATAAAATAAAGTACTATTGTCACTACTAGTTTTGTAAATCTTTTAATGTAGTATTTTAATATGTAATTTTTATTTTTTAACTATATATTATTTGCCATATAAAATGATTTAAAAATAATTTCAATCAAACATCATAAACCAAAACAGGCGTTATAAAATAAGACAGAAGAGTAACATAAAATTCGAAAAAAAAGTTTAAAGTTATATTTTTAAATCTAAATAAACATATCTGCGAAAACTAAAATAGTTTAAAGAATCAATTGAGACCGATAAAATATAATTTTGCCAATTTCGAAACCGGAAGTATTTTTTAATCCGATGATCTATCATTATTAGTGTTTATATCCCGATTCCCTAAGCTAAAACAGTAAAAACGGAGAAATAATGACAACAATAAGACGAAAATGGATAAATTGTACCCAGGCAATGATAAAGGTTGTCGTACCATATACCATCAAAAGTGGTGTAAGGAGCCATGTGAGAGTGGGGCCCGGAACCTCAAATGTCCAGCCTAAAAGAGACCAAGGAAAAGGACAAAAGAGTCCTCCAAAGTCACTTTAAATTGCATTAAAGAACCATAGCTTTGCTTTGCTTTTTTTTTTCTTCTTCTTCTGCACACCCCTCTCGTTGATATAAAAGAGGCAGTGCCCTAAACAGAAAGGGTATGGATGATGCAACACCCACCCACCCACCCCAAAGATTTCACACTTGTTTGCCCTTTAAGGGCACTTAGCACAGTGCAGTGGTTAACCCTTCCCATCCAGCTAATCTCCCCTTCTTGGGAAGTTTTTCTCGTGAATGATGGATCCACATTTACTACGCACTATGTGGTGATGAAGATCTATTTGGAGTATTTGTTTTTATTTTGAGTTTCACACACTTCTCCACGCATGCTTTCCTATAAAATATTTGACCCCCACCTAATCTCCCCCACTTGCATTCTGCTCCGTCCGTTGGGAGGAAAATTTCCCCCCAACCAAACACACCCTTATCACCCCTTCCCTTCTAAAATATTCGTCAAATTAGATGAACTTCAATCATCAAATAAATCAGCTTGGTACACGAAATTCAAATTATAAAATTGAAATTATAGACAATAATTCCAATTCTTCTTTTTGGTAACACAAAAATATGTGGAAAATAAATTAGACTTGCCTCGAATTTTAAGTCCAATTCAATTCCAATTCCATGTACCAAACAGACCCGTAGGATCCGTTTGGTATACGGAATTCAAACTAAGAAATTGAAATTGTGGACAACAATTCCAATTCTATTATTTGGTAGCAAAAAAATATGTTGGTTTGGAATTGATAGTGCCAAAAATGAATTGGAATTGGAGAATACAATTGCATCAAAATCAATTTCCTAAAATTTTAATTTCCAATTCAATTCCGTCAATTCCGTGTACCAACCGGACCCTTAGTGAACTTCCTTCCCTACCCACCTAATTTCCACGTGCGTTGAATTTAGTCGTTTAGAAAGGGGGGACAATATTTTCTATGCACTCATTTTGTTCATAACATTTGAAGGTTAGAGAGCTGAGATTTTTTCTTCCAAAAGAAAATCTCAATTCTCCATTTTTTTCAAATGTTTTGAATGTGACAAGCTTCCTTCAGATGCATTAAAAAAAATCTTGTGTATGGACCACACCTCACTTAACCTGTGAAATCTCCCAAGTCCCACCATGTAAGGGCTTTCTGTTTCACTGCTGCAGAGATTGACTGACCATGGGATCTAGCTGATCAGGTAGAGTAAAATTAGGAAATCAGAGAGATGGGAAGAAGGGGTAAAATATGAGGCAGGTAATAATAATAACATTATAGGAGAAAATATAAAGTTACTAGCAGTTACTACTTCTGGGGTTTGTAAGTGGTGGTGGTGATACTTTTCTTGTGTGTGTGGGTGTGGGTGGGGGTGTGGGTGGGGGTGGGGTCCATCACACAACTACAAAAGAGGGTACAAAATAGACAGAGGGATCCTACTCCCTTAAACCAGTTCATCTGTCCTATACATATGCATTATGTATCATTGCCAGTAGTATTTATCCTATTGATGTTGAAACAAGTCTTGAAACAGATCCTCCTTGCAGATCTTTTCTTCTGTTATGGATATACAAGTCAGCTTTCTGCATTCAAACCACAGTGCAGACAGACATTAGGATTACAAAATGTCACCAAACTTGGGTGAAATTGTCTCAAATTGTGACTTGAATGACTGAACCTCTTTTTACCAATGACCATATTAATATGCATTTGCATTTCACTGCACAGTTTGATAAGTGCATGTTCCCAAAAAACTATTCTTTGTGTACATTTGCTAAATAAAGTAACAAGTTAGTATGATCTACATTTCTTGTTAAACCAAATAAATTTAAAAATTACGGTTTACGTGAGCATTCTATGACTTCAAAAGTAGCGTTATACACTTATACATAACTTGTTCAAACGTCACTCCTTTCTTTGGTATGAACTTATGGCATAAAGAATTAAAGATTATTAAAAAAATCAAATTATGTGCAATTTAATGGTGATCTTACCATGCTCAAGCCTACTACTGCCTACACTTCGATGGCTTCTTGGCCGGAGGTTAGCCTGGTAACAAAGAAAGTAACACAAGAATTTCAGATCTCTCAATTCAACTACATTTTTACGACTGTAAAAACAAATATGGTAGTAAATATACTTTGGCATCTTCAGGGAACATGCTTGAAGAGAAGGCATGTTGAGGGTGGAAGAAGCAGCTTGAATAGGGATGTCATTGGAAGGTGCAGCTGAGGAACTATCATCTGCTTCTGCTGGTGCAGATGAAGAACCAAGGTCGTCCACAGTTTCTTTCGCGGGGAAGGTAAAGAGGCTATCCGGAAGTATGTTATCCAAGCTGACAAACACAATATCAACCAATAAGGATCCACATTTGGATACCATAAAACATCAAGGAAAGACAATGTGATGTAATATTGGAAAGCGAGAAAATTTCATGAAATATTTGCTAAAACTCAATACAAAAAATTGCATATATGTTACAAAACCCATTGCTTATTCTTATCCTTCATGTTGCGAGTTTGCTTTAGGGTTTTTGTAGAGAGGAACGGGGTTGGGACAGGTAGTAACAAACTAGAGCGATGGGATTTTAGTAATATATAATGTTATATCTTTGAATAAATATAAAAAACTATAACGTTATAGCACTTTTTAAGAAACGGAAAATAACCTTCTCTCCATTCCTCTTCAAACCAATGTCCAAAACATGCCCTTGAAAGAGTAGAGGAGGAAAAGCAAATAAAAAATATACCATAACTGCTTGGCAATAATACCTGACATTCAATCCAAGGGCATCAAGATTTGGCATTTGGTCCTTTCCAATACTATCTTCATTTCCACTCTCATTCTCCTGGGATTCAGTTGGTTCCCATGGAAGCTTCACATGGTGGTCGGCATTCATTTCTGGGACAAGATTATGGTATTGTGATAGAGAGCTGCCCAAAGAAGGAACCGAACCACCAGGATATGAACATGGCTGGAACTGGGGATAATTATGATGGTGATTCTTCTGGTCCACAAACTGCATGTTCATCAGCCTTCTTCCTTGAAGCTCAATGGCCTGCTGCAGTTCGGCATCTTGCTCTAATTTTCTTCTAAGCATTGCCTCGCGTGAATTGTAAAACATTCTTGGTCCTGCAAAACAATAGGCAAATTCAAGAACTACATTTTATGTCTGTTAAAACTCATTTTTTATAAACAGCCCCTAGTCCTAATTTTAAGCCACATTTGACTTTGTTTTTGGAGAAGTTACGGTTTCAAATTAAGTGTTGTAACTGTATCATATGACGTATACTATTACATTTTATGTCATTTCATAAGCTAGAAAACATAATTTGACTGCAAACAATGAACTTAAGTGTCTTTAAGTGATTTAATTAATTGATTCGAGTATAAAACAAAACACAAGAAAATACCTTACCATTTTTCCCATTCCCATATTATTTTGGGGGATCCAGACATAGCCCATAACTACGAGCCCGGAAAACAAAAAACAACCTATACACAAAAAGTGTTAAAGAGCTTACCAAAAGGAAGGTCATGAGGCTCCAAGGAATCAAGGCTGGATGGGCTCAAGCATGTTGAAAACTTCCCCCTGTCCATATGGTGATGTTGATGCTGTTGTTTCCTACATTATAATCAATAGAAGACCGGAAATTATCCTCACACGTCTCAAAAATATGACAAGATTAGAGAAAACAGAATAAATGCATTTAGACGGTAAATACTTTTCTGGGATATTCCCCTTTTCCTTATAGGGTTTAACAAGCACACGAGAGTCACAAACAAAGTGTGGATTCCCTTTAGCCAATATGCGCTTCACCGTCTCTGGGTAGACAAATGTGACAAAACCAAACATTCGCTTCTGCTGATACGGAATTCTAACATCTTGCACTGGCCCATACAAACTACAGCAAGTATACAACACAAAAAAATAACAACTAAGCAACTGTGTAATAGTTAAATAAAAAATTCGGAGATCCGGCATATAAAGAATCAAGATACGCACCTGAAGTAATTAGAAACATCCTCTTCGCTAAATGTGCTATCTGCAGGAAAGGTCAAGTAAATTTGCCGGGAGCAAGAATTTGAGTATCCGCCCAAGCCCAAGCCGGAAAAGTCATTGGCATCTGGTCGGCATCGTCCAAATTTGCGAAGCTCTTCACCTACCATCAATGCAGCCGGAGGGGATCTGAAATGGCAATGGGGATTGATTGTCAAAGACATGTATAAAGAGAAGTATCAGTTTTTAAAACCTCTATGAAATGAAATCTAAAAAGAGAGCCACACAGAATAAATAATCAAGAGAAAAAATATAGAGCAATCTGCCAAGCCAAATTGGGAATGGTTTCCAAAATGGCAAAACCACACATTGCTGAAATACAAGACAAATTGATTGTGCAGAAACAAGATGCATGGTAACAAATCTACTGCCAAAGTTACTTACCATAAAAGATTATTTAAAGATTTATTAAAGATTTCTTAAAGATTTCTTAAAGATTTAAAGATTACGCTAGGTCTAAAGCCCACAACATAAATGATGCTTTCTTTAAAGTGAACATCTTTAATCAAAATCGTACCAAATGAGGCGAGAAATGGGTTCAATGGAAGCAAATACCTCGGATTATCGTTCAAAATGTTCATGCACTTGTTGTTGTAGGAGAAGGGATGGTGAGCGCCAGAAGCCATGAGCTGTGAAAACCTTTGGTGCTGAAGGGCTTTTATCCGAACAAGCTCCTCAAAGGCGGCCGAATCCATTTTGCCCGGAGAACCAACAAAATTGAAGGAGGCGGAGCCGCCGTCAGGCGAGTCAGTAAAGCCGGCGGTGTTCCCGTTCTTGCAGAGACCTCCTCTACTACCCAAGTACATGCAAGGCCTCAAGCCGTCTTCTGATCCATCCCCCATCGAGAACCGCCGCCGGTGCTGCAGCTGGTGGTGCGGGTCGGGGGTCTCCTCGTACGGGAAAATCAGAGATTCGGTCTTGGAGTTCCCTCCTCCGGTGGGGCTCACTATCGGCTCAAACTGGTGGTCGGCGGGGTCGCCATTGTAGGGAGCGTGAGCGGGGGAGGCGGAGACAGCAGGGTTTGTGGAACCGTTCACCACGGCGGCGTAGGAGAGATGGGCTCTGGAGAACGCCGGGGAGCCGGCGGAGGGCGACCAGAGAGAGGACGGCGACGAGGAGTGGGGGAAGCCGTTGCTGGGAATCGTGATCCTCGGGGACGAAGAGTGGGTGAAAGGGCCGAACTTGGTGGTGGGGCTGAAGGGGGAAGGCGAAGAAGGGGCAGAATGGGAAGATGAAGAGTTGGAAGAGGAAAGGCCGAGGAAATCCTTGGCCTGAGTGATGAGTGAGAGGAGATGGGTGTCGGGAACATGGGCCAATCTTATCATCTCCTCGTCGCCCTGGTCTTGAATCAGAATGTAACCCATGATTTTGGATGCACTTTCCGGATCCAAGCTCTGAACCCTGGAGAAAACTATCTTGGTAGCTTCGTATGTATCCATGGATGATGGATGGGTAGCAGCAGTGTGACTGAGTAGCAGAAGAAGAAGAAAGAAGAAGAAGAAGAAGAAGAAGAAGAAGTAGGAGAGTAGGGAGTGAGAGTATCTGTTGGGTGGATGGATGGGTTTTCTCTCCGTTTGATGTTTTCTTGAGAGAGAGAGAGAGAGAGAGAGAGAGAGAGAGAGAGAGAAACGATCAAGGGAGAGAAAAGAGGGCGGAGTTCGGGAGAGGACAGTTGCATCATCAGCAAGGAGAATGCAGCCTCCTCATAATAAAAATAAAAATACAAAAATAAAAATAAAAAAGAAAAAAGACTAATCTCTCCTCCTCCTCACACAGAGTTCTACTTACATTTGGATTCCCGGTTGGGTCTCCATTGGTTGTTTAGTGGTTCGATAAATGCGTCGAGATAATAATAACATTACTCGTAAATCGTAATAACCGAATCCATTAATTATTTGAACTGATTAGTTTTGTTTTCTTTTAATTTACTCCGTATTCGATTTACTTTAACGGAGAAACAGTTGTATTGCTTGTACAGATGCAAAATTCCATTACACGAAAATGAACTGTACCACGGTCTTCAGAACGTCATGTTTGATGGGGACGTGGGTCTACATTTTTTGAATTTTAATAATGTGCCATGATTATTAACTGCATTTATAAATAAATAGTCTTAGATCCTTAGACTGATAGGTGTGGTCTTACCCTAATTTTTGTAAATTTTTTACAGTAATTTATTAAAATCAAAATTACTTAAATTAATACATTAAATAAATATTTCATTAAAATTAAATTGATATAATACGGGGAAAAACTAAGAGCAAAAGATGGAGGAAAAAAATACAAGTACTCAATTAAAATAGACAAGTATTTGCTAAAAAATTTAAAGACACCGCCCAAGTTGTCGGTCGCACTTCAAAGTCACTTCCGGCTAGGGGTGGACACGGTACGGTTCCGGAACCGCTGGCTCCGGTACCACCAATCCAAAGCACCGTTACTGGTGCCGGATGTCACAGTGCCGGTGCCAGTTCCAGAACCGGAAGTTCCCTTTGTTTTGTAATTGTAAATTTGTAAGTGTAAATAAATTAAATGTTTGTATGAATTATAATTTTTAAGATCGCTGCCCAAGTTGTCGACCGCACTTCAAAGTCACTTCCGGTTATACAAAAAAGTTATAAAATTACGAATACTTGAAAAAAAATTAATATCACCTTAAAACGTAGATACATACTACAAAAAATGCACAGTAGAAAAAAAAAAATAAGATTATAAATGATGGTGTAAATTAACCATCCGAGCAAACTGTGCTAGACCACGTCTAGAATAGTCTGCTGACCTTAGAGAGTGAAGGCGCAAAAGACAAGGAATGACCGATAGAACTGTAGGTGAAAACACCTATAGCCCAATTGTTATTAGAGCACTGGGTATACTCCTCACGCCCAGCGGCGTTACGGGGCGTTTAACGCCCCGGGGGCGTGAAACACCACCCCCGCCGGCGTTAAACGGGCGTGAGGAGCCCTACGTCATTCGTTTGACGCGGCGTGACTCTTGCGCGGCTCCCTCATAACGGCTAAAAAAGCCGTTGCAGCCCAGATTTCAAAAAAAAAATTCCTATAAATTCAACCCCCCAAACCAATCTCTCACGCCTTTTCTTCAATCTCTTCTTCTTTATTATTTTTAAATTTCGAAATTCAAACCCCCCCTCCCAATTTTCAGCATGAATCCTTCCGGCTCCGGCTTCTTTCCCGACGATCTCCCGCCGAGTGACGCCGCGATGTGGTTCTACCAAGAGTGGGGCGATCGACCGCCGATCAATGAGACGCAACAATCGTGTTTCAATTTAATTAAATAATAAATTAATTACATTTTATTAATTTAATTTTAGAAGATGTATATTTAAAAATGTAAAAAATGAAGGTTTGAAGCCCCGGGGCTTCAAACCCATTTCCAGTGAATTTTGGGTGTAAGTTAAAGCTGACGTGGAAGAGAGAGAAAGTTTGAAGCCCCGGTTTGAAGCCCCGGGGCTTCAAACGTATTACCAGTGCTCTTAAGTATTGAAGTAGTACATGGAACTATTACAATATGAAATCTAGGCAGATAAAGTTTGGATCCCTTCATTTGAAGGTTACAAAGTTTTTATAGGGAGTTGAGGGGACCGGGCACCACCGCGTGTCCACATCAGCCCACGTTCCCAGACGGTGCAAGGTGACTTCCTCTTGTCCCGTAGTTTTTGTCCTATTCCCTTGTCTTCTTGTGCGGATAAAACTTCTTTGGCGTGTAGTGCTCAGATGAGAATGTTGGAATATTCCTGCAATCTTTCGTTGAAATTGGCCGCTACCATCCAACCACCTTTGGAGCTATTCGTGCCGACAGTTTCACACCATAGCAACCTAGTAGGTTCATCAGTCATGCGTTTTGAAGGGTCAAAAGATCACTAGCACGAAGTCAGGTACTTCGCCTGTTAAGCCTACATATCGTACTGGTCAGCTTTTTGAGTCTAACCCATCGGCCATATTTTTGTCTAAATCTTTCATTCTGATATACTTGTGTCAGAACGGTCAACTGTTGTGGACCAAAATTTGGACCGGGTCTTGGGTGGAATAAGCCCTCCATTTCTCGGCCTTGTAAAATTTATCAAGGGTGGGAAGTGAAAAATTGGAATTTGGTGCATGAAATTTAAATTTTAAGCCTTTCCCGCCTAGATTTTTGAATTTCAAATTTGAGTTCTGCACTTTTAACATGTGTCGTATGCTCCCCGTACGCAATAATTGCATTCTACACCTGTCGTTTCATCTTCCCATATGTCATGATTGCGCCGCCTGACGCATCGCCTTCGCAATCTGCCACGCGTCGTGTTATCCTCCGCCTCCTCGCCTATATCAAAGGCTCTCCCCCCTTCCTTGACTCACTTTTCGTGAATCCGCTCTCGATTTCCACCCGGTCAGAGATTTTTCTATAACACGCTAATCAGTCCAAGTCTGCAACCCCTTTCAGACTAAAGTATTAACTTGGTAATCGTAAAATTTAAAACATTACACACATCTTTATTAATCATAAATAATATTCAATGCATAATAGTACAAATACGGAGTGTTTAATAATGTTGCGGAAGCGAATTCAAAACATGTCACATGACATTCACAATTATTTATATAAACCACACATCCATCACGACCGTCTCGCCCCATCCGTTTTTGAAGAATTCATCACTTTATTCTTTTTGTTTACCTGCGTGTAGCAAATAAAACACACTACAAGCTCAACGGTAAAGCTGAGTAAGCGTATCTAATGCGTCGAACATCCATATAAACTGAATCTCAATTCATAATCAATCATTTGATATTTCATGCACATAATATACATTTCAAGCATTTATCAATCATGATATTCACAATATTTTAATTCAAGATATTTCATGACATATACAGTATTCAATATCTCAATAGTGCTCTTAAATTATACTTAATCTAAGACCAAATCATTTTTATAACAAGCTTTTAGCTATTCCTAGTCTAAGGCAATATTTCTAACTGGATTCTTAAACTAAAAATAGTTTAAGACAGAACAAAGGAATCGATAATCCACTCTATGAGTCTTGTGGATTACGTACCAACCGAACAGTGAACTGTCGGGTGGGTGATATCCGGTTTGGATCCAGTATGTACGTTTTAACCCCGAATTAAGATGGCTATAGCCGAGCAGAATGCCTCTTTGCTTCATTCGTTTCGAGAATGTGAAGTCAAGGAAGCACTATTTGCCATGCGCCTGGACAAGTCCCTCCCATTGTTAGCCAATGTTGTCCGGTTCGCTGCCCAGCGCGAGTATCCACAAAAGCTAGGTCTTTGTTGCTAGCCTCTTGTCACCTCAACGTTCGCCTCAAATATAAAGTTTTTTATTTTTATTTTATTAAATTATACTACCTCTGTCTCTGAGTATTTGTCCAGTTTTGACTTTTTTCAGTCAACTGTTTTCAACTTTTGACCTATAATTAAATAAAATATATGTTCTATTTTAATTAAATAAAATAATATTTTGAAAATATTTGATATAATAAATCTAATAAAACTCTTTTTGTATCAATGTCTAATATCATTTTTATTTAATTTGAAGTCAAAATTTACCAATTTTAACCGAAAAAAATTAAAAGTAGACAAATACTCAAGGACAGAGGGAGTATGTGTTTGAATTGAAATTTTCACCAATTGTCATTACCAATATTTTATTAATTATAAGTTGTTCTAAATAGTTGAAAATACGTGGAGTTTGAATTTTGACGACATTTTTGTTATTTATTATGCAAAGTCGTAGAGGTTGTGATAATGCAACGTAGTCATAACAGTTTGACAAAGTTACTTTGAACTCAATTGTTTTGTGTATTATTTTGAATTGTTGATAAGTAAGTTGAAGTGTTCATTCTATGAGTCTATTGTTATCAATAGTGTTTGATATTGCTATAATGAGTAAAGTTGATGATCGTGAATGGATGTACAAAAAATTTCAAATATGACGGCATGATGGACGGAAAGTCCTTCCAGAGTTAATTTTGGATGTTTTAGGGTATCTCAAAATATATTTTTAAAAACGGTGGGATTCAAGAGTTCTTGTCACAAAATTGAAGGTACCCAGCATTAAAATATTGGTAAATCCAGCATTGTACCGTCCACATTCATAATGGGTTTTCATTATGAGTGCTTAAATCTTTGGTTGAGAAAACTGCCAAAAAAAAATTTCTTGGTGCCTTGCAAGGAAATGACAATTAAACTCAAAGGAACATTTGTGCATATAATGTCACTACCATTCATGTTGAGCACAAGAGATGCATTTCTGAATATTCCACTTTTGACCCAAACATCCATATATGTTTGAGTCATATGACTTGCAAAAATATTTCTACTGCGTACAACAGACTCAATCATCTATTTTCCATCTCTGAATCACCAACTTGAATTGTTCATCTCTCTTCCTAACCTGCTAAAGCAACACATTTCAAAACATAATACTTGAAGAAAGTCAACCATGCAAAACAAAAAACTACTCCCTCCGTCCCGAAATGAGATTACTAACTTGAGCTGACACAGTTATTAAGAAAGGTTAAATTGTGTGGTTTATGCTTAACTGTATTGTTTATATTTGTGCAACGGAGAACGAAATAATATGAGCCACTCAATTTTCCTTAAGAGTAATGCAGAACCTTACTTTGTGACATCCCGAAAAATGTTGAGCCTTTTTTCGGGAGAATGAGTATTATATTAGCCTCATCCACGCTAATCAACGACAATATCAAATACTTGCTTTATTCAGGCTTTCAAGAAACCGTATGAAATGAAATTTAACTCAGTTTCATTTTTTTGACAATTTAAAAGGAACAAAAGAATCCCAAGCATGGTTATAATTACTGTACTAGTCTCCGTATCAGGTTTCAATTGGATTTCTAGGTATCATGCCGGTACTAGATTTTTCGTACTCGAGCTTTAGAAGGAGAAAATTTAACCAAAATTCATTGGAACTCTTTAGAGTTAATATTTATAACTTACACTAGACGATTCTTCATAAGAAACATACTCCTTTCGTCCCAAAATTATCATCCCATGTGAAAATGACACGGAAACTAAGAGTAAAAAGACACTACTCTATAAAAATGCACATGCCTACTTTTTTGGGGTTTGATAAAACTTAGGTGGAATGCAGTAAATATGTATATTAACTTAAAAGAAGTAAATGTGCATGCTAAAAAAAAACGGGTAACTGATTTTGGGACAATAAGAAAATAAAAGTGAGGGTCAAATCAAAATAACACCAATTTTTTTTAAATAATTGAACTCATTAATTTGGTTACATGTATCAACCATCAGCTTACTTTTAACGGATAATCTGAAGTGAGAGTTTTTGAATATTCCTTAAATAATATAACAAAAAGAGCACAAGATAATATATTTTCTGAAAAATTAAAAAATAAAAAAGTTTAATAAATAAAAAATATTAAATTTGAATATTTGTTGTCATAAAATTTTATATTAATTTTTCATATAGGTCCTAAACTTTATAGGAACCTTGATTTCAGTTTTTGGGAGACCTTGATGTCTACCCATTTGAAGACTCACAATATTTGGAAGTTCACTGAACCAAGGATCAAGGTGGGATTGAGAAAGTAACTCAAGAAGAGACAAAAGGAGAAGTTATTGAACACGTGACTGAAGAGAAAAGCCAAGAAATGAATGGCAAAAAAGATAAGCAGAAAGTGAAGGACAAAAAAGGACAATAGAGAGAAGAAAACTAAAAACAAAGAGGTTTTAGCTCCAGAATATGGTGAAGCTCTAGAGGTAGAGAAGGATGAATGAGAGAGCGATCATAGTTTTCCTTAAGAGGAGTTAAATTCTGAAGAAGACGAGTTTTTTGTTGAGAAGAGTGGGGACTGAGATCTTGGACGCTTATATAATTTAGATGAACTAGATATTGAAATGAACAAGGATTACGTTGCAAGTCTGTAACATCTGACTGTGAGGAAGTTGATAAACAAGAGATGGAAGAACAAAATTCTTCTATCGATGTTGTTGAAAATGGAGAAGACATCAACAAGAAAAAATACTAACATGATGGGGGAGCAAGACAATGATGGTGTTAATGCTCGATATCTTTGCCAAGTGCTACAAAGCTTGTATCTTTCATGAACGATAGTCGTCAAAAATAAGAGATAATATCTCAAAAGAAACTCAGTATAAAATGGGCACTTGATGGGTATGGTCTCCAGTCACAAAATTTGTGTCATATGCTAATGAAAAAACTCCAATGCTAAAAAAGTGATGGAAACAATAATTGGAAGAAGAATAGGCTGAAAAACGTTAGAAAATCTTCATAGGACAACAAGAGAACAGGCAACAAGTGAATCAAAGTAAATACGAACAAAGACAAATTGGATTATATTTCAAATGGAGGAAAGAGATATATAGTCACAAGCAAAGCTCATGAAAAATGTGGTACGCATATAAGATTTGGATGATTGGAGAGGCTCGGAATAAAAAAATTAATTTTGAGGGAGAGTGTTGGAAACCAAACAACAACAACCCAGTTGAATCCCAAAAAAGTACGGTCTAGAGAGGGTGCGTGTCTGAACGCAAACCTTACCCCTACTCGAAAGTAGTATTGGAAACCAAACATGACTATATATTCGAGTAAAAATTGGAGGCTAAAAAAATACTTGGAAGAAGATGTTGGGATGCTTATTGTATTGCAAAGGAAGTGAGGAGACAATATTGGAAATCTTATGGAAAATGCATGCCTGCAAAGTTTTAAAGACATTAGCAACACTTTTTGACTTGTCTTTCGAAATATATGTACGCATAATATGAGGGTGAAGAAAAAGGAAAGAAGACGTATTGCGAGATGCATACGAGAAAAAACAAATGTGCATGTAGTATGGGTTGAGATAGAAACGAAGCAGCAGCTTCATTTAGAGAAAAACAAGTGTTCGTTTGTGTGTTGTAATATCTGTGTTATGTAATGAAAATACTAGTTTGGCCCATTTTGCTTCTAAACAACAGACTATTAGAGAGAATTAATTGATTCCCACTTTTGTTGATGGTACACATTTAAGGAATTTATGTTTGTAAAATTTTAGCCATGACTCTTAAGTAGACCTTAACATGAACCACTGGTGTAGTTAAGATTAATAAAAGGTTAGGTGGGTTCATTCATAAATCCTAGCAACACAGGTGAAATACCTCAACGATTGGCTTTCTTCCACAAAGCAAAGCATCCACACTTTTCTCGGTCTGGGCAATCAAGAAAACAAAAAGTGCATTATGGGCAAAGAAGAGTTAATTCTTGTCTGAATAATGGCTATTTCAGATCTATTCAATCCCTTCAAGTTTGAAGCGTTAAGTCATCTAAGTTGAATACTACTCCAGTATTGTTTGCTGAAAGATTCCAGTTTGGTTAAATGTCCAAAAAGTTTGGGCAATAACATATTATAGACTGAATGTAAAAAAAATTGAAAATAGCTGACTACATACATAAATATTAGAAGTTGTAACCCAGATTTGGAATTGCCACTATACTCAAGGAACCAAAAAGTAGAGTTAACAATGAAAAAGGGGAATACAGAAGAATATAGTTCTCAAGGAAAGGTTAATTGTTTAATAGTTTCTCTTCCAGGAAATGAAAAAATCACATGGACACTACATGGGAGCAGAAGACAGACGTCAATCAATCTTAATACAAGGACTCCAAAATATTGGTGAAGCAAACTATTGTACTATGTATGATTATATGGAAAGAGTTACCATGTATGAACTGCATTGCATTATTATATATTGAAATAAAGTTTGCCAACTAACCCTATGTGCAACCCAATAGTGTCTCTCTCTTATTTCAATGAGAAAGGGAAATGTTGGTGGAGCTCTCCTCACAAGAACACCCTTCCTGCTATTCCTAGTCCGAGCTTCTTCATCAGTCAGAGTCACATATTCTAGACCACCTATCTGCAAAAGTATGAAACAAGGAGGCCACAAAGTGAAAACTGAATTGTGAATAAATCATAATCTTATTAAAGACCAATTAGGCTCAAAACATAGTGAACTATATTGAGGTAAGAGAAAACTTGAATGAACAAAATATATAGACAAAAATGATAGGTGTGACATGTCATCAGCAATCATCGCCCCAAATATTACAAAGTTCAACACTGACCAATTCAGATAAAGTTGGATTTTTTATTATATTCTGCAGTTGCTTTCCATGAGCTGTGCCGATAAGCATAACTCCTCTCTCAGCTATTGTACGACATGCATGAACTTCAGCTTCGGTGCTAATCTCATCAATAATTATCACCTGAGGCATGTGATTCTCAACTGCTTCTATCATCACTTGGTGCTGCATAGAAGGATTTTTTACCTGCAGTCTTCTTGCACCCCCTATTGCTGGATGTGGAACATCCCCCTCACCTCCTATTTCATTGCTGGTGTCAACAATCACCTAACACAAAATACATCTATATATAACAAACTATTTGGTGAAATAGAAATCCTTAAGATAGACAATGATGAAAACCTTTTTTTAAACAAAAACTCGACAAACCACTCTTTTATGAAGCTCGTCAGCCAAGACACGGGATAACTCTCTCAGTACTGTAGTTTTGCCAACAGCAGGCCTGTTAAATTCAATATATTCAATTCTGGAGGATAAATCACATTAAATCTCTTTTCTGGACATGGATGCTTAGTGGAAATGTTGATGAAATAGTGTCCTTCCCAATGATGTAAATAGTGGCATCATCAGAAGCCAGAAGGGTTCCTTCAATATGAGCATGTATGTCGCTCACTCACCTTCCAAGAAACAAGATGCTTTCACCAAATTCAAGCAAATCCCTGACCATGTCAATCTGACCTTTGACTGCCCTACCAACTCGGCAAGTCAACCCAACGACTTCCCCCTTCCTACTCTTAATAGAAGAAACCCGGTGCAAGCTACCCTCGATTCCGGCTCGATTGTCGCCTCCGAATTGTCCAACTGCCTTTTGAACGTACTCAAGGTCTTCAAGTGACACCTTGATAGAAAACAGAAGTCTTCAGCTTCAAGTATAAACTAAATACAGTATAATCTTCATTCTTCAATGTTAATTCATTCTGTTTATTTCATTCCATTTTGTACAAAGGAGATGGAGTGTGTTTAAAAACTACCAATCAATTAGACAACACAAAGTATTGGGTAACAATAAACTCACCTAAGTGGAATAATATACAATCAAGCCATTGAAACCCAGTATAATCCCAACTCAGTTGGGGTATGGGAGTCAAGATGTAGACTTACCCCTGCAAAAAAGAGGTTTCCTCTAGGGGCAAAAGAATTTTAATGTATCACCATGATTTAGTCCATTATTTATCTGAACCTAAAACTTTATCAATTGATTTTTGAAAGAAAATATCTGCTTCTTCAGACCTTACCTCAGTTTTTCTTAGCCACTTCCTACCAAAATCACCCAAGTATTGTGCCTGTGGTAAACGGCCCAAATCCAATATCACCTGCGTAGCATGCAATGAACAATGAATTAACTTAACTAGAAATCACTATGGTTGGTAATGCAATACTCACTGACGAGCAAATCCATAGTCTGCTTTGCCTAAACCTACACAGTTGGGTAGAAAAAAATCCACAAGTAGATTGGAAGAATTAACAATCTCCATAGATTTATCACATTTTTGCAACAGGGTAACTCTACTAGATAACTAAAACTAGGGGACATGAAGCCCGTAACACTATGTTTCGTTCAAGGAATTTGAAAGGGAAAAGAAAAGAAAATGAAGTAGAAAATAGGTTTTCTTGTTTGGTTAGAGAGGAAAGGAAAGGAAAAATGGAAGGAAAAGAAAATGGGAAGGCAAAATATACTAAGAGGAGGGAAAACCAAATTCTTCTCATTTTGGTGAGGAAAATGGGAGAAAATCATTTTCTTTTCTTTTTCATCCAAATTCCTCTAACCAAAAATAGTGTAAACGAATCTTGGAAGGGAAAACCAAACGACCAGAGAAATAAAGCTGTACCAACTACTCACATTCCAAATCCAAACAGTATCATTATCAAATCAAGCAAAGGAAGGTTCAACAATGGCATCTAAGACCAAGAAATAAGGAAACGAAAATCACCTCTAGCAGCTGCTCTAGCCTACAGTCAGCCAACAGAGAGTCCCTCAAATCGTTAGGAAGAATCTAATAGATCAAAAAATGAATTGAGGAAAAATACCAAAAAAAAAAACGCCAGACAATTCAATGTGAAGAGGAATCAAAGCTTAATGGCATATCAGATAACACACTCCACAAAAACTCGAAATCAAATCAGATACGAAATGGAAAATAAAGACACCTGAAGAAATGCGCTTATACCATCCTCCTCTGAGACGAAGCTATCATGATGGCCAGGTAAAAAGAGCAGGCAGCTCCACGTATTAGGGCTCCAGCCGCCGGTGCTAATGGCACAGTTCCTTCCCCAGCTGCCGCCGCAGTGTCTGACTCCGAGGGTACCACGACGGTTGAAAGAGGATGGGCAAATACAGCTGATCTTAATGCAACAAGCTTTGGAGGTACTGGTTGTCGCGCCAGCATTCTTAAGGGTTAATAAGGAAGAGATTAAACTACAAATGGTAGTCATTGCCGGCGCTAGGATCCCTTGGAGTTGGATATGCTTTGGCCTTTGAGTATATAAATTATACTCCCTTCATCTATAACTAATTTCTTCTCATTCTATCTTTTCATCTCAGTTCTTCCTAAATTACTCTTCTCATTAAATTCCATTTTCTTTTTTCTTCTTTCTCTTTCCTTTTTCTTGCCACAAGCACTCCCCCATCTCTCACCTACATATAAGTAAAATAAATATTTCTTTATCACTTAAATAAACATTCGTTTTTTAATTAAAAAGTAAAAAAAAAATTATGTGAAAAAGTCAACATAAATAATATGTACCAAAAATGCACCAAAGAAGCACTCCACCCCCTTCTTCTCATTCTCTTCTTCTTCTTCTTCCTTCTTCTCCTTCTTCTTATCTTCTTTTTCTCCTCCTCATCCTTCTTTCTCCACTGTCTTCATACGCCTTCTTTTCTTTCTCCCCCCCCTTCTTCTTTTTCTTCTAGATTTGTGCTAGACCTATGAGGTTGAGGTGGCGGTGGATGGACCAGATGACGATGATGGAGCAAACGATGGTGGTGGGAGCTAATGTGGCGGTGGATCTACAGTAGATATGTGCTTAATAATCTTCTTCTCATCTTTCTCCCCCTTCTTTTTTCTCTTTCTCAATAGCGACTGGGGATCATGGTGCTGAGGGTGATGATGGGGCTATCGGCGGTCAGAGGTGGGGCAACGGCGGGATGGGCAATGGTGAGAATTAGGGCATTGGTGGGTGCTCCCTCTAGCGGGGGAGCTAGGGAATTGGTGGTCATGGGTATTTTGGACATTTTCTCCTAAAGTCAAGATTCCATAAAAATCACCAAAAGTCAAAATGGGATGTTCTTTCTCGGGCGGATGGAGTAGCTGCTACTCTACACTTATTGGTACTCCAAGAGACTTTTCGAAATTTAGATCATAAGCTATTTTAAGTTTTAGACCCTTCATAAATCAGATCATATCAGATCCAATTAAATTAGACCATACCAGATTAGAAATACTTTAAATACAACTACAATAAGAGTAGACCATATAAGGTCCAATCAGTTTAGACCAGGTTAGATCTAATTAGATCAGATTAGATTCAATCAGACTAGATCAGATTTTATTAAATCAGATTAGACATAATCTTCAAAAATCAAATCAGATCTAATTAGATCAGGCATACGGAATGCAGCCTAAAGCTACTTTTTAATTTATATACTCAAAGGCCAACGTGGTGCCTGGCCGGAAAGTTTGCAATGATTGGAGACGGTGACGGACAAGATCTCCGAGTGCTCTTCCCCTTGCGATCGATTGTATGTGATTTTCTCTTTTTTTTGGATTTTTTAGTTGTGAGAGTTCGAGAATGGAAGCACCAATTGATACGGTATCATATCAAAATAGGGAAGAGAAATTGAGAAATTAGGGGGAGGAGATGAAGAATTTGGGAGAAGAAGTTAGAGAGTCAAGGAAGGGAGGAAGAAGACAAGATTTGAGAGGAGAAGGGAAGAGAGGAACCGCCCGGCTAGAAAGGAGAGAGGGGAGAGAGATTAGGGTTTAGGAGTGAAAATATTGTTGTTCTTCATTCATGATTAATCTAAAAGAGGTTACAACTCAATATATAGATGAAGATGGTAAACCCTAACCCTAGTAAATACTTAGTTCCTTAGCCTATCGGTTCAATAAAAGCGTCGAGATAAAGAACCGAAAAGAAACCCTCGAAGGAGTGTTATAATTCAACTCAACAATAAAAATAATTAAACTATATAATTAACTAAATACTCCGTAATATAAATTATTAATTAATCCTTCTGTATCACTTACCATACCGTATCAATTGGTGCTTTCATTGAGAGGAGAAGGGAAGAGACGAGCCGCACGGCTAGAGAGGAGAGGGGAGAGAGATTAGGGTTTAGGAGTGAAAATATTGTTGTTCTTCATTCATGATTAATCTAAAAGAGGTTACAACTCAGTATATAGATGAAGATGGTAAACCTAACCCTAGTAAATACTTAGTTTCTAAGCCTATCGGTTCAATAAAAGCGTCGAGGTAAAGAACCGAAAAGAAACTCTCGAAGGAGTGTTATAATTCCACTCAACAATAAAAATAATTAAACTATATAATTAACTAAATACTCCGTAATATAAATTATTAATTAATCCTTCTGTATCACTTACCATACCGTATCAATTGGTGCTTTCATTGAGAGGAGAAGGGAAGAGACGAGCCGCACAGCTAGAGAGGAGAGGGGAGCGAGATTAGGGTTTAGGAGTGAAAATATTGTTGTTCTTCATTCATGATTAATCTAAAAGAGGTTACAACTCAGTATATAGATGAAGATGGTAAACCTAACCCTAGTAAATACTTAGTTCCTAAGCCTATCGGTTCAATAAAAGCGTCGAGGTAAAGAACCGAAAAGAAACCCTCGAAGGAGCGTTATAATTCCACTCCACAATAAAAATAATTAAACTATCTAATTAACTAAATAATATAAATTATTAATTAATCCTTCTGTATCAGGTGGTGGTTAGATGACTAAGGGTAGCACAATTGTGATCAAGGGGGAGTTGGATCGCGATTTGTATCGTATGGCGAGTCATACGGCTACGAGTGGCTCAGATCGAAAAAGTAAAAGACGTGTCTCGTTCGCGGATGAGGCTACAGTGGTTGATGGCTTCTAGGATCTTGCAGGTCTCCCTTGGGTTGGAGGGAGAGATGACTGGGAATGTTTCCTAATTTTGTCCAGCCCAATTAACCTTTTATTTTTTACTGCAAGTTTAATTTTGTCTTAGATTTTGAGAAGTGATGAAGCATGCATTTTAATTAATGCATGGTTACTCTTGGTACACATAGCTTTGTGACTTTCCATTTGCCAAGGTTGGTGGCGGTTTGGGCATTAAAGTTTGAGAAATTTACGTAAATAGCACTAAAATATAACGACTTTCCCTATATAACATCACATGTGTTTTTTCTCCAATATAGCATTTTTAGTCATTATCCATTAGTCATTATTCAAGTAAATGTAAGCTATCACTGGACATTATGGACATTATTAAGTGCTATTTAGGGAATAAAATAGTTTAAGTGCTATATAGAGAAATGACTTAAGTTTTAGTGCTATTTAATGCAAATATTTCTTAAAGTTTTTTTGTTTCCTATTTATGTCTCCTGCATGGGCTTGGCAAAGAGCTCTGAGCACAAGGAAAAGAAAAAAAGGTTAACTTCCAGCCGTGTGTTTCTTGTGAGGGATTGTACAACTCTTTTTCACACAATATTTTAGGAATTACTCTAAAAGGTTCTAGTAGAGGATTGGTGGGGTTTTACCAATTGTGCTAGTGGATTTAGAGGGATTTTCTTTGTTCCTATGTATTGTATGTGGGTCTAGGATTGATGTTGTAATTCTAATAAATGGTGAAGTTGTACTTACACAATTTTTATAGTGATGGTTTTACTTCCGTTAATACGGTTTTTCCCGTTACAATGTTTGTCATCTCTATTTGTTGGCTTGCAATTTCTCTTTGTTGTTGGACTACTAGTTAATTTCTTGCTTCTGTTGGTGCTAAATTTTCCAACCATCATCAATCACTTCTTGCGATAAATAAAGTAATATATATAGCGTCGTTCTAGTTCAACAAAAAAAAAGCATGGTTCTAGTTTTTAGTTATTGTTTGATGACAAATCTAATTTCAAGAACGCACCAAATCAAGTCATTGAATGTGGAAGAGTTACAAAACCAGAAGTTAGTACACAAATGGCCGGGTGACCAAAGTTTCTCTAATATCAAAACACACAACCAAGTTGAATTGGCAACATAGATTACGTCGAGCTAAAAGCTCAAGTGTCAGTGTGGTTGCAGAGTTGGTGGGGTGTGGTGAAAGTTTCTAAGTGCGTTGGCGCAATTCGCCCTGAGCTGCTGGCGACAAATGCGGGTTTGCACCACCATCTCCTTCAAGCGATGCAAAATGACGGGAGAAACCGCCTCTGGGTTTGTCTGCAACGACTCAATCACGTGCTCACCATCCTCCCCGTACAATCTCCGGATACACCTCATGTTCATCGGCGAATAGTACTTCCCCAGATCTGCCCTGCCCGTTTCATTCACCGATTGCTTTCCGGCCGCCGCCGCTGTTGACTCCAGTGAATGGAATAGCATGTCGCTCTCGTACAGTGCGTCTTCCACATCGTCAAGTCTCGTGTCCCGCTTCGGAGTCTTCGTCGCCGCCCTCTTCTTCCGCCGCAGCAACTCCTCCCTTCCGCTCCAGTCGTCTGCGGCGGCGGCGGATGGGGGATTCTCCGGCCATGAGTCGGCCGTGAACCATGTGAACTCCACGTACAGCTCCGGGTGCCGTCGGAACAGATTCGACATTTTCTTGTCCGCCTCCACCACGTCCTTGTGGGCCTTGAGATCCGAGAGGGTTTTGAGGAAAGCGGCGTAAACGACGTCGTCCTCGAGGAGGGATCGAACCCGGTTCACGAATTCCACCGCGCGCCTCCCAACTTCCCGGTCGGAATCGCCGTCGTCGTATGTCGTCCGCTTCCTGGCCGGTTTTTCTTTCTCGGCGACGGGAATCTTGGGGCAGTCCTCCGGCAAGAAGCTGTTGAAAGCGGCGGCCAAGTCGGGGCGGCCGTCAACGAGGGCGGAGACCTTTGAAACGAGAGTTTTGCGGTCTAAATTTCCCTCCGCGAAATCCATCAGCGCTTTTGAGAAAGCTTCGTAGTGGTGGTGGTTGGGGAGGCTCCGTTTGAAGTTGTGGATGAAGGCCAATGCTGATTCGAGAGAAGCCATAATAATTGAATCTCGGCCGCCAAAAGGGAATTAAATTCTGCTTCAGCCTTCTTTCTTTCTGAATGGAATGGAATGGAGTGCCCTATTCTACATACACTCATTATATTTATAGAGATCACTGCCGACTAATCCTAGTATTCGGTTGCAAACACATCTTTTGTACTCTCTATCCTAAAAAGTAAAAACTATTGTTTTTATTATTTTATTAATCAAATAGTAATATTCTTTGATTGCAAACTAAACATAATTTAGATAAATAAATATTTTAAGAATTTGATATATCAAAATTACATACCATATTTTATGATGACTTAATTATATTGAATTTAGGGGCTGTTTGTTTCAGTCTCTTAATGGTTCAGATGTCTGAATGGTTCAGCACTTAATGGTTCAGACTGTTTGTTTCAACCTCTTAAAGGTTTAGATGTCTGAATGGTTAAGAGATTTGCCTCTGAATAGTTAAGTATTATACAGAGTCTGAATGGTTAAGACCTCTTATCTGAATTGATCAGACATTTGCCTCTGAATAGCTAAGCAATATACTAGCTCTTAATGGTTCAGACCTCTTACTAGTTCAGCACTTAATGGTTCAGACCTCTTACTGGTTCAGCACTTACCCATTTAGAAGTTGCCAAACAGCCCCTTATATTATTACAAGAGTGTCATTATTTGACACAAAAAAAATCAATATAGAAAGAATTTTCTCACAATTTGTAATTAAAGAGTGTCTGTTTAACACAAAAAAAATCAAAAACATTGTAAATGTACCAAAATAAGAGTTCTATGTTTTTATTTCTAAATTAGGGCTTAAAATGCATTTACAATGCCAATAATCATCATATACAGTATCAAAAAAATGAAATGTCCATATACAGTGCTACATCACCACATTGCATATTCCTATTTAAAAAATAAAAATATAAAGCTTCTATTTTAATATTTTCTCTATGTTTTACTCCTATTTGGAGTGATTATTTAAAAAAGAGTAAATTATATAAAAGGTCCCCAGTTATAGGTCGTTTTACATATTTAGTCCCTACATATCAAATACTCCCTCCGTCCCGGAGTATTCGTCCACTTTTGACTTTTGGAACTGTTCATCTAAGCATTTTGACTCATCAAATTCTCTCAATGTTTAAGCCTAAATATAGTCATGTGTGATCTTGTTTGATTTGTCTTAACATATAGATTATTAATATATAATTTCTATAATTTTTTAATATACAAATTACAAGATAAAATGGATTAAAGAAGTGTATTGGATGGTGTGTAAAAATGAAAGTGGACAAATACTCTGGGACGGAGGTAGTATTACTAATTTAGTCCCCAATTATTATATTCATTTCCACGAATGATCCTTTGTTAACATTTCCGTTAAGAACGTGGATAAAATTATATATTCATACTTCTCTATCTCCTCAATTAAGCTTTCTTCATCTTCTCATACTCTTTCCCAAACTCGTCGCTGCGTTTGAAGCTCTTAAACCCAAAATTTAAATGATCGTTCCTCCAGTTAGACAAACAATTGAGAGAAGAGTGATGATTTTGGTTTAGGGTTCAATGCTAGAAACTCAGCGACGGGTTTGAGAAATGAGTACAAGGGAGGAGAAAGCTTAATTGAGGAGAGAAAGGAGTGTGAATTTATAATTTTATCCACGTTTTAATGAAAATGTTAACAAAGGACCATTCGTAGAAATAAATATAATAATTGGGGACCAAATTAGTAATATTTGATATGTAGGGACTAAATATGTAAAACGACCTATAACTGGGGACCTTTTATAGAATTTACTCTTTAAAAAATCACGGAGTGTGTATTAAAGATTCAACAAAATTAAACAATTTGCTGCTTTCTTGCCCTACACGGCTACACTCACTGTATGGCCCATTTTTCCTACTCAATCTCCACTGTCCAAAAAAACCTTTTCTTTTTTTTACTCTCTTTGTCTCTAATTTGATTATAAGTTGAGAGTTACAAGATAAAACCTCCCGTCTTTTGAAATTATTTTATTTACAAATTGGTACTCCGGGGTATATAAAAATGAAATAAAAATTACATATTAAAAAACTATGTCAAAAATTCTACAAAACCAGAGATAACAGAAACATTTTATTTTATCAAATATTCAATGAAAACGACAAATAAAAAAAGTTATCGAGATGAGAGAGAGAGAAAAAAGTATAATCTATTTTGGGACGGAACGAGTATAAAATTGGCACTCCCTCAAGCCAAACATTATCTTCCCGTTTACTTTTCGTAGGGTCAAATTTTATTCACTTTGTTGGCCTATATTCGTTGATTAATTGATAAAATAATATAGTCATGTCACTTCTTGTTTTGTAGGTCTTTTGATGTGCTTTTTAAATATATATGTAGTAATTCTTATTTTTAAATTTTACACCATTTTTTATATAAAAGGATTTGAAAATAACTCCAGTCAAACATCGTAACGTATAACAGGAGGATAAGTTTTAGACGGAGGGAGTATTATTCTTGTACTCCCTCTCTTTCAAATTAAATTATGCATTTACTATTCACATGATCAAACTTTATTTATTTTTTATCTCTATTTTTGTTGAATTAATAAAGTTTCTTCGAATAAAAAATAAAATTGAAAATATCAAAAATGAAGTTTTTGAAGCTTAAATTTAGTACGCGGGTATAAGATTTAAAGAAAATAAGGTTTAATAAAGGTTAAAGCGCTACTAGTAGGGGTTATTTGGCAAAGATCCCAAAATTAGTCTTTTGTAATTAAGATATTTCGGTACTCAATTCATACATACTCCTTCCGTCCCGGAGTATTCGTCCAGTTTTGACTTTTGAAACTGTTCATCTAAGCACTTTGACTCATTAAATTCTCTCAATGTGTAAGCCTAAATATAGTCATGTGTGATCTTGTTTGATTTGTCTTAACATATAGATTATTAATATATAATTTCTATAATTTTTTAATATACAAATTACAAGATAAAGTGGATTAAAAAAGTGTATTGGATGGTGTGTAAAAATGAAAGTGGACAAATGTCTGAGACGGAGGTAGTACATATAATAGAAATCATCCTAAATAGGACTAAAACATAGAGAAAAGTACTAAAATAGGACTTTCATGTTTTTTTTCCCGGAATAGGACTTTGCATTGTGGTAATGTGACTTTGCATTGTGGTAATGTGGCAGTGTACATGTGCAAATTACTATACTTTCTTGGTAATGTATATGACCATGTTTGGTAATGTAAGTCCTATTTCGGAAATAAAAACATGAAAGTCCTATTTTGGTATATTTTCAATGTTTTAGTCCTACTTTGGTCTTTCTCCCTACATATAATCCTAGTGGTCCCATGTACGGAGTATTTTCGAACACCATCATGTAACCTTCAATTAGTTGACGTTTAGTAAAATTCTGGTAGACACTTCATTCTGAATAAAGTTAGTTCAATATTTTTGTTTATTGTTTTATTTTTTAATAATGAGTAAATTTGAACTAATCTCTATTCACGAAGGTCGTTCTTTGGAATTAACTATTCAATTTTTGGTTAACTAATGGAAGGTGAAATAGAGCCTTTCTTGTTCAGGTGTTCTCAATTACATAGGACCCTGTATACAATAAAGTACTCCGTAGTAAACAAGACCATTTCTAAATATTTAAAATAACTAGAAATATCTATGTGAGAGGGAGTATAATAGGAAGACTCCTAATATTATTTAGTTTCCTTATTCTTGTATTACCATAATTACTTTATTCCTTTCCTACTAGGAATAGGACTCTCTCTTGTAATCCGTATATATAGGAACATATCTCTCAATATTCAATAAGACAAATTATTATCAAATTGTATCATGCTATCAGAGCCTAGGTTTAAACCCTAGCCCTTTTTTTTCGAGACTGTGCCTCACCGCCGGTCTCCTTCCTCTCGCCGGTCGACCATAAACGACGACCATGGCTCAATCTTCAGATCCGCTTGCTTCGCTTCCTTCTGGCGTCAAGCTTCTTCTCCGCAATCTCCATAATCTTATCCCAGAGAAGCTCACCGATTCAAATTATCCTGCATGGTCTCTCAATGTCAAAACTGCTCTTGAGGCCAACCTTCTTCTTGGTTGGATCGATGGTCATGAAGCTGCGCCTCCAAAAATCCTATCCAATGATGGCAAGGAAAACCCTAACCCAGAATTCCAAACATGGATTGTGATTGATACTCAGATCCGTGCATGCCTTCTTGCCGTCATCAATCCGTCTGTTCACAAGCATGTCCGCAACTTCACCACATCTGCCGATCTATGGAACGCTCTCGGTGCCCGGTATAATTTTGTTTCTACCGCTCACATCTATCAACTACGGGACAAACTTCACACACTCCGAAAAGGTACAAAAACTATCACCCAGTACCTTGATGAAGTTGCCACTATCCTCACCGATTTGGATGCTCTCAACGAGGTTATTCCTGAGAGAGATGTGGTGAATGCTGTTATCCGAGGCCTCCCTCATGAATATTCCTCCTTCAAGCAAAATATACGGATGAACAATGAGAATATAAGTCTAAATCAACTCTCNCCCCTTTGAAGCCCTCTATGGTCGGTCTCCGGATTATGTTCACCTTCGTCCTTTTGGTTGTCTTGTGTATCCCTGGCTTCGTCCTCACACACATCACAAGCTTCAACCACGTTCCACCCCCTGCATTTTCCTAGGTTATCATCCCACCATGAAAGGTTACAAGTGTTATGATCCTATTTCTCAGAAAACGTATGTCTCCCGTCATGTTCGTTTTGTACAAGATCAGTTTCCCTACTCTAAACTTCTATCTACCCCAGCCTCCTCTAACCCCTTAGGCATCATTCCCATCTTTCCTCCCAGACCAGGCTCACAGGGTCCGGCACCGCACAGTTCTCAAATCGTTCTGTCTGCTACTGCTCCGCAAACGGTCGACCGTTCCCCTCATACATCTACCCACGGTCGAGCGTCTCCTCACACCCGTTCTGAATCTCTACAGACGGTCGATACTATTACCCGTCCACCCCCACACGGTCGACCATCGACAACACTGATCCCCACAACAAATGCCCATCCCATGCAAACCCGTGCCAAATCAGGCATTTTCAAGCCTAAAACCTATACTGCTACCACCACTGATACCTCTCCTCCTACCTCTGAACCTCACACCTATCACCAAGCCTCCAAGAATAGCTATTGGTGCCATGCCATGGATGAAGAATTTGCAGCTTTGAATGAACAGCGCACATGGGATTTAGTGCCCCTACCCAAGGGCCGAGATCCTATTGGTTGCAAGTGGGTGTATCGCATAAAACGGAATCCGGATGGCTCCGTCTCTCAGTACAAGGCTCGTCTAGTGGCCAAAGGGTACCATCAAGAGTATGGCATCGATTGTAAAGAGACGTTCAGCCCGGTTGTCAAGCAGCAAACCATTCGTCTGGTACTCACTCTTGCTCTACACTATGATTGGCCTCTTCATCAGCTTGATGTTACCAATGCCTTTCTCCATGGCACACTCGATGAGGATATTTATATGTCTCAACCACCGGGCTACGTCAATCCCAATAGGCCTGAGTTTGTTTGCAAGCTGCGCAAATCTCTGTATGGCCTTAAACAGGCTCCTCGTGCTTGGTACACCTGTTTTGCTACTTTTTTGCAGGGACTTGGCTTCCAGTGTTGTCGTCATGACACCAGTCTGTTCACTTTTCACAGCTCCCACGGCATGGTCATTGTTCTCCTATATGTTGATGACATCATTATTACAGGGAGCTCCTCTGACCTCATCTCTGCTGTTACTCAGGCTATGCATAAAAATTTTCGCCTCAAAGACTTGGGCCCTCTGGATTTCTTTCTTGGCATTGAGGTTCGTCGCTCTGCGGATTCTATCTTGCTTCATCAGACAACATACATATTTGATCTTCTTCAGCGGGCTGGCATGACTGATTGCAAACCCACTGTCACTCCGATGGCGGCACGGCCAACCCAGGAGATCTCGTCCACCTTCTCCGACCCAAAATTGTTCCGTAGCCTTGTGGGTGGTCTACACTATCTTGCGGTGACTCGCCCTGATATTCAATATGCTGTAAATCGAGTTTCTCAGACCATGCATAATCCTACAGAGAAGAATTACTTGGCCCTTAAATGTATTCTTCGCTACTTGAAGGGTACTTCTTCTCATGGCCTTCTGTTCAGAAAAGGCTCTCTTGATCTTGCTGTTTATTCTGACTCTGACTGGGCTAACGACAAAGATGATCGTCGTTCCACCACTGGGTATCTCCTTATGCTGGGGCCGAATCTTATCTCATGGTGCACAAAAAAACAGACTCGCGTCTCGCGCTCCTCCACCGAAGCTGAGTATCACGCTATGGCCGCGGGGGTGGCAGAGGCGATGTGGCTTCGTTATATTATGGATTCTCTGCATGTTCCGCCTACGAAACCTAAGATTTATTATGATAATGAGTCCACAATCTGTGTCACCAAGAATCCCGTTCTCCATGATCGCATGAAGCATGTTGGCTCTGACTGTCACTTTGTTCGAGACGAGGTTATGGCTGGCACTATGACTACACATCATGTTCCTTCTTCTGAGCAGCTTGCTACATCTTGACAAAACCGCTTCCGCCGACTCCGTTCCATTATTTGTGTTCCAAGCTGCCCCTCGTATCCGTTGATCAGCTTGCGGGGGATAATAGGAAGACTCCTAATATTATTTAGTTTCCTTATTGTTGTATTACCATAATTACTTTATTCCTTTCCTAATAAGAATAGGACTCTCTCTTGTAATCCCTATATATAGGAACATATCTCTCAATATTCAATAAGACAAATTATTATCAAATTGTATCAGAGTATGTTTCTTTTTTGATGCATCTTTTCTATTCTTTTTTTTCAATTTTTAAGTGTTTTATTTCCTTTTTCATTTATATTTTGCATTTTTATAAGTTTGTACAACCGCTATTTCTGTGTATTTGTCCAATTTAATCTTTGAGTCAACTTGGACAAATTTTGAAATTCAATTACTCTTAATTTGTATTGTATATTAGTACAATGAAATTAAATTTTGAAGATCTCAACAAGATTAATCTAAAGAAACAATTTTGTGCTAATATATGTTACAAATTCTATTTAATTGAAGCTCAAAATTCATTTTTTTTACTCAAAAAAATCAAACGAGAAAATAAATTGGGACGGAAGTATTTTTAAATTGTATTTTATGTGTTTAGTTTAATCATTTTAATTAAATTAAAAGTCAAAAGACAATATTAAAAATGGAAAGGAAAGGAGAAGCGAACCAACCCCAAAAAAGAGAGAAGGGAAAATAAAAGAAAAAGTTGTCGTGATACTGAGTTGACAGAAGGGGAAAAGGGGATGGAGGGATCCATACTCTCACTCCCTCAGCCTAAGTAAAGTCTTAATTTCAACAGTAATGGCAGGTACATGAAAAGAGTTAAAGACAATATGAAAAGAGTATAATTATTGTTGAAACGAAGCTCAATTAAGGGCGGAATCCAGTCTAGGGATAGGAACAGAAGAACAATAAAATATCTATAACCATAGACAGTTAAAATTAAAGATGTTAAAAAAGTTGAGGAAGAGAAGGCCCCTTACAAAAGATTTTCATTAGTGCTGCAGTTTGTGTTCCTACTATATCTTCCTAGAAAAGAAGGGGGTGTCCCGTAATGTATATATCGGCACCTATCTTGTATGAATTATACATACCTCTTCCTCCAAATAGAATTACTTTCGTGGAAGAATATCCATTAATGAGAAATCATGGGAAAGAAGGCCTGGAGGAATGCGGAGCAGAAGAATATAATCAGCACGATAATCAGTTTTGCAAATATTATTGCAGCTTAAGTAATAAAGTTTAACCGTCAACTTACCTTCATCTTCTTTACCTAAAATATAGAAGGGAATGTGGGCAACCATTTGTGTGCCACCTTCACTCCAATTTACAGTGCCTGGACGTTGTACACCCGCACCACTTGTAGGTTTACAGGGCCCCAACACCGATAAGCATATTGCAGGCTCATTCATTAAGCCTAGACAATCTCGTGCACGGCTCCAAACCCTCACATCTGTAGTTCGAGATCTGGCAACCTATAAATATATGCATTGATCCGCTATTACAAGTTTGTTTTTTTAAGGAAATTGATGTCATTCCCACTCCCACTTCATCCCAGATTTTCATTTTTATCTCACTTGCTGCAGGAATATGAATTTCTTTGCACCTCTAATCATTCAAGGGCACTTCTCCGGCAAGGATTAACCAAAATTTGTATAGAAATCAATTGGACAAGTGGTTGGAAGAATTAAAAGTGACAAGGAATCTTTTGCATGCACCAAAAGTAAGTACAATGAAAATCGAAAGTAGAATGAAATTGTCAATGGGTTAAAAGTGGAAACTTTTCTTTTGAGAATCCCTATTTCCCAGAGAACTATTTTGCTACAATTAGGAGCATGTGAGATAAGAAAGCAAATAAATTCGGTTCTAAGGCTTACCAAGTGGCACTAAGATTAATCCAACTATTAAGACTCTTGGGAATCACTATTATTTCCCATGAATACTTTTATATGAAAAGGAGATACCCACCAATAACCTACCATATCCATTTAGCAAATTTTTCAAAAAGATTACTGCATCAATTTACCATCTGAACAATCACACAGTATCCCAAGCCCAGATCACTACTTACCTTAGCCAATGATACACGGGCTCTTGGAAGTAACTCACGATGAGATGTGGCAAGCTTTGCTATTGCTGTTACAACAAAGCATAAAAGCCTAGATTGTGAAGATTTTCTAAATGACAAACTGTTTGAGCCGCCAATAGCTGCTTCTCCCATGCCCAGCCGGCTTAACATTGAAAACAAAAGAATATTAAGTCTTCAACCAGGTGGCGTTGTAGTTTTTTGTCCAGTTGAAACAAGCTGGAAAATCATATATATGTTTGAAATACCTTGAGGAGAGGTTTTCATACAATAGTAGTTCCAAGCTCTCAAAAAGTTCACGAGCAGCATCTTTATAGGATTCCCCGCCTCCTCCATACTCCCCAATAGCCCAACATAATTGTAATGCCAATTCAGTCTAACATGTTGGGTAAAGAAACATTTCAGCCATGTCTATTTTCTCTTCAGAATTAACCAAGATGGAAAAGTTCATTGTATTTCGTATAGGACCGTCATTAATCTGCTCACCTTTGCAAAACTATTGTAAGCTTCACCAAGTCTATCTGTTATAGGCTTCTGCAAACATTTTGGGTGGATCTCATATTAATGGTACAACAACAACAACAACAACATTACCCCAGTGCCTCAATGGCTCCCGCCCATTGCGGGGTTAGGGGGGGTCGGATGCAGGGTCCAAGCTTCATATACGCATGAAGCCTAATTTAACAATACTAAATGTAACAAGTGGTTGACTGTAGATCAAACCGTCATCAAAGACCCAACTCATTGAAACTTTTTCATTATTTTTCTTTGGAAAAAATCATGTCAATGCTCCCGAAAATTTGAGAATTTACACGATTCATGAATAATCCAAGATTACAAAATGATCACCGCTCCAAAGATATAAATATTTTTACAATAGTACTCATCAAAATTTTGATTTTTCATGTATACCTCTCATTTTTTATGAGCAGCGGTGATCATTTTGTAATTATGGAGTACTAATGTAAAAATAATTAAATTCAGGGAACGTTGGTAATCACTATGAAATTTTGAAGTATTCATGTAAAATATCAAATTTATTGTACTACTGTAGTATCGACATTAATTTTACTTTTTTCTTTTTGCTAAGTTGCCTCTCTCCCTAGACCCCAATTTGTGGGATTTTGCTCGGTTTATTGTTGTTTCGTTTTGCTTAGTATGGTGGTGCAAAGAGGTATTAATAGGGGCGAGGTCTGCATACACCCACCCTCCCAAGACCCTACTTATGTGGATTTCTATTGGGTAGTTGTTGTTTGTTTCCATAGTTTGTAAGGCGTCGCCTAGGCGATAAGGCGATGTCCCTTGGACCCCTAGTCTGCTCGCCTCGCCCAAAAAACCTTAAGGCGTTCAAAAGCTCCCCTAGGCATCGCCTTATGTCGCCTTACGTTGCCTTACTCTCGCCTTGACGCCTGGGCCCTTTAAAAATTTGAAAAGCCCATTTTTTTAGTGCTACCCAATTATTTTGAAAGCCTAATTTAAAATGTTTAAAAAGATTTGACATACACTTGTGGCCTATGATATAATATACTCTGTTAGCTTATTCGGATACGGGTATAATACGTCTATTCGTACGTTCGTGTTTAATACGGAACACTTTTTAAAAATATGTCTTATTATACGTTTTATACGTTCGGAATTTGTATACGGATACGTTCGCGTATTATACATTTGATTTTTCAAAAATACGGCATATAATGAATGCATATATTTTTAATAAGAAACACATTTTAAACTTTGAAAATGAATACAAATACATCATAAAGTTCTAAGAATTTAACCAACACTACGATTTATTGTTTATTCATTTTTTCCACGTGTGCCCAAAGGAGATCTTTCAATCTAATTATTATTATGTACTTCCACAAAATGTATTCAAAGTAAGAAAATATTCTGAAAAATGAAGCCAACATTTAGATATGAATAAAACATTTAAGACATGACAAAAATTATATTATTAGACAATTTATGTTTTACAAAATTGATTAAATGTTTATCATGAATTTAGAAGGAAGATTTAAGTCTCTAAACAAATAGAGAAAAGTCACACACACACACACACACACACAAAATCTTGGAGTATTCTTTAAAATCTCAAATTTATTGTAGTACCATAGTTTTGGCCTTAATTTATCCTTTTCCATTTTCGTTTAGCCGTGTCTCTCCCTAAACACCACTTTGTGGGATTTTACTCAGTTTATTGTTGTCATTTCTTGTTGCTTAGTCAGCTGGTGCATAGAGGTCTTAGTTATTCATTGTTTCATTTATTTATTTCCATAATGTTTCTACCGGTCAAACCGGGAAATTAGTTTTAGGACGGAGGGAGTGAGTTTTTGTGGTTGCATTGAATTCTCTTCTAATGAATAAGAACGAGTAGGTTTTGTTAACAAAAGGCAAAGATGCAAATTAATTAAGATTTTTTAAATCATACAACTTAGCTCTAATACCCAATTCGAGTATAAAATGGTTGCCATGAATAAATTGACAAGCATTAAGCATGTATGACATAGATACCTTCAAAAGTGCAACAAAACTAGGAGAACGGTGGAATGCCGCAAGCATGAATTCTAAAATCCTTTTTTGCACCTACAAGCATGAGTAACTACACATTACAAACTATCCAATGTTGATATGGATGCATCATAGTATTGTTGATGAGCAAATGATTTTATAGTCCTTATACACACCAATAAACATCTTAGCAATGAATTTCCATTGCTCTTCAATTACTATTGTAAATTATTATCAAGGTCTTGTTTAACCCAAAATGTTGGTTGGACAGTCACAAATGGGGCACAATGTAGAGAGATTTTATGTTTGTATTTCAGGTACGAGAATACTGTACACACTTAAATTAGTAAGCAATTAGTTTAAGGGAGATGCTAGGGGTACACCAAAGGGGTACCCCAAATATACACCACCCATTTTTCTACCACTCATTTTTATTTATTTATTTCTTTTTTATTTTATTTGCTAATATATGTGGCATTGGAGGGGGTGGTGTACATCTGGGGTACACCTTTGGTGTGCTTCTAGCATTTTTCTTAGTTTAAGGATGGTGAACATTTAAGTTTTCTTTTATGTGCAATGATTGTGCACATGCCACATAGTGAGCACCCATTTGTGTTTACTCGCCTCCACACAAATTTCATTTAGTGAACAATATGTTTCTTATTAGAGTGCATATAAGTTGTATAAGTCTTAGGTGAGGATTGAGGAATGATTGTAGTTTTGTATGGTACTATGGTAGTCATGCACACTGTTATTACAGAATCGCATAGTGGCCAACTAGGCTTTCAGATTACGCTCCCCGTGTTTGTGTGCCTCGCCATACCCTTTCTTGAACGAAGGTGTCCATTCCCGATGATATAAGCGTTTGACCTTAAGTCAATTGTTTTTCTAGTCAATTATGTATAAATTAAAGCCGCAATTATACGAGCAGAAGCAATTAAGGAATGACAATGTCGAAGATGTGTGACTAACCTGTGAGGACAACGCGACTAACCCTAAATGACAGAAGTTTCGGTAGTGAAGGACGCTGTTAGTAGGTTCATTCTTAATGGGATTGTCATTATTGTAAAAGGACTCATACTTAGGTCACACTAGCAACCTATATAAATACCCTATCAGAGCCAAATACCCTATCAGAGCCAAACTCTGGCCATGTCAAACCCTAGTCACGGATGCTTGCCCTAGCCAGTCCCTGCAGCTGCGGTTGCCCGTTGTTCTCTGACGACGACGGCTTTGGTTCCTTTTACTATTCGCTGTAAAGAAAAGCAATTTGATTGATTGGCAACCACACTTCAGAGATGAACAGTTGTTAGGCTCGTTTCATCGACATCGGAATCGTCCGACGTCTGGTCTGTCTCTGCCGGTGATAGTCCTCCGGCTTGTTATTCTAGCAATTGTTAGGGTTGGTCCAGGATTCTCCAGCAATCACTTGGGTGATTTTTTTTCTGCCAGCCACGTTTAGTCGGCACCAAACTGTTCGTGACTGGGTGATTGTTTTTGGCCAATCACTTTGGGGGATTATTCACCAAGGAGTCCCAGCTGCAACATTGGGTGATTGCTCACTGGGTGATTGTTAGTATCTGTCATCTCAATCTTTGTCGATGAGTAATTAAGATATGTTTCTTGGTGCCTTCACTGCAAGTTCCAGATTTCGACCTCTGCAACAATCAATTTGCATGTTCCAGGTTTCAGCTGCAACAACATTGTTCAGCCTCTGTTCTGCACGGAATTCCAGGTTTCAACCGTAACAATCAATCCCAGTTCATCAAGTTGCTGTAAACAAAAACAAAAAATCCGGCTCAGCACTGTCGCAGTTGTCCCTCCGTACCGTCTCCGTCTGCTGATTGTTTGGTAAGTTTGTAGAGCAGCAACCCAATGGTTTATGTTTCAATCCTTATTGGCTGTTGGTGGTCACATGTCCCTGTTCGGTAGTAGGATGCACATCATCCGTCGTTTGTTTGTCGTCCGTCCCTGTTTGGCATACAAGAAATATTACCTACAGACATTTCTTTTCCCCGTCTTTTGAAACCAACAGCCCACCACTTTGTTCGCAATGGTTCTTTTAAATTTTTAATGAGCCGGTAGAATTTATACTATCACAAGGAAAAACTAAGCTGCAAATGCTTGCCCACATTTTGTCTTAATACAGTACTACACAATCATAAAAGCAATTGACAAGAGAATCATATAGAACAGAGCAAGTTCAACAACAGCAGCAACCTACCCAATGTAATCCCACAAGTGGGGTCTTAGGGATGGGTGTACGTAGTACGTACAAACTTCCCCCTACCCTTACAAGGTAAAGAAGGTAAAGAGACTGTTCCCGGAAACAGCTCAAAGGACCAAGAAAGCCAGTTATGTTCATGAAACAGTTTTATAAATAAAAAAACAGATTTCTATTGCACCACTATCATTAACATTATCTCTCCTGCTGAGCTGTTCTTCACAAAGCTGTACACATATGCTTCACAAGAAATTACACAACCATACATACTTGAGGGCAGTTAATTACCTCATAGGAGAAAATTTTGTCAGGAAACAGCATGGAATATCTGACCATGAGGATGGGGATAAGAGAGCATAAAAGTGCTGCAAGGATAGGTTAAAAAAAATCAGAATATCATTTTTACTTTCAGATCAAGCACTACATTAGAAACATCATTATAATAACTGAATACTTCAGAACATACCATCATTGACATCATGGATTGCTGTAGTGAAGTAGACATCAAGAAGCCTAGGTGCAATTCTGAGAGCCTGCTTCAGTCTATCAGACTGAGGAGCATTAGTTACAGCCTGCAAAGTTGCAGTCATGGCAGGAGATGTCCAATTGCGCTCCTGGAACATTAAGACCATAAGAAATTCAGTTCCACCAGAATTCCATTTGCAACAATTTTGCTTAACACCACACCCTATACACAAAACAACTTATTTTAAATCAGAAAAATGCAATAAAGGAAAAGTGTTGTGCATCAAGGTTTAGATCGAATAATGAGCCAAGAGAAAGAAAAAAAAGGATTGAGGTTATGACGGAAGGGCCATACAGCAAGACCATCATTCTCATCCTTGAGAAGTTCGAGAAAAAGTGGATCAGATATGGCAATTGTGTTGTCCACGGATTCGACATCTGTGCCAGCATCTCCTACTGTTGATCCAGTATACGCTTCATCCATGAGTGCTAGCAGCATCTGAATCAGAGAAGAGTGTGTAAACTGTATTCCGACTGCTGTGCTCAGAAGCATCATTCCATGAAATTTTCAATAATAACCTCAGGGGCAGTGCTCTTCTGAATTGAAGCTATGCTGTTTCCAACTAGCGGGCCTGAACTCTTCTCTACCTTTTCCAATGCCACAGCCAATACTGATGTAAAAAAAAATTGATGTTGATGTTAAAGTAATAATTCTGAGATAGATAATCAAACTCCTCTTACTTCGTACTTTTTATGAAGTTTTGGGGAGTGATTGCAGCAATGCATCAAGGGTCTTACAGAAACAAGCTCTCTGTTTTTTACAGGAATAAGGTTGTGTGTATCTTGCTTCTGACTTTCTGTGAAGTTTTGGACAGTACATGCAGCAATGCATCTTGGGTCTTACAGATTGCATATATCTTAACCCCCATACTCCAATGGAATTAGGATGATACTATTCTGTTGTTGTTTTAAAAGTCCACTCCATCCCTAAATAAACTTTAGTTTTTGGTTAACAGTATTGGACCAAAGTTATTTTCTACTCCCTCCGTCTTTAAATAAACTTCCTTGTTTGACTTTCATAAAGTTTAAGAAAAGTGTTGAAAAAAGAAAAAGGAGTTGTTAGAATTTGATGAGATGTGAGAGAAATTTTTTTTACCACATAATTCTTTCCTTTTAAGGAAAGTGAAGATTATTTTGGGATGTCCAAAAAAGGAAAGAAGCAAGATTATCTAAAAACGGAGGGAGTTTTCAATTTGTTTGAATAGTTGTGTTAAATTTAAAAGGTTACATATTTAAAAGGGAAATTAGATAAAAACATCAAGTATGGGTGATTAGACAAAAATACTACGGAGTACTAACTATAAAATTAGTCAAAATATAATCATAGCCTATGCTTAGTATGAATGATATACATGTTGCCGGTAACGCCTTTGTTGGGTAAGAATAATATACATGTTTCTAAAGTACATCAGAATACAAGAACTTGTATAAATACCCCTAGTATGTTGTGGTAATCCAACGACATGTAGATTGTTTTTGGACAACAATGATGATAGTTGGCTATATTTTGCTCAAATTCATACTCCCTCCGTCCGGAAAAGAACTTCCCATTCTACGCTTTTCTCCGTCCGGAAATAAAGTTCCCATTATACGTTTTCATACCCAATCTTCCAAAACTACCCCTACTCCTCATTTGTTCCGTTTCTTCTTTTTCTTTTCTCTGCCCTTTCCTCCGTTTCTTTTTTTTCTTTTCTGTCTTCCCTCTCTCTCTTTTCTCCGTTCTTTTCTCTCTCTATCCCCCTCACTTCAATCTTCTTTTTCTCTCTCCGTCTCATTCATAGTCCCCCTCTTCTCCTTCTTTTCTTCTTCTCCTTTCTTCTCCATTATTTTTTCTCGATCTACTTCTTTTCCAGCCAGATCTGCACCACCTCTTTTGAAATTTCTTGTTCCGATTCTTCTCCTCCGCCTAGATCTTGTTAAAATTACATATGATCTTTTGCTGGAGGTGGTAGGCGGGTCAGCTCTGTGGTCATTGAACTTCACCTCCTTGCAGATCTGCTTCCTGAGAAAGCTCCTGCTAGTGCGGTCGGCGAGTGGAGATGACGGTGGTGGTGTGGGTTGGGTCAATAGTCTTGCTTAGAGGATGTGACGGTTGACTCCTATAGATCGGAGATAGCAGGGATTCCAGGGAAGGACCAGGGAAGGGCAGGAGGGTATTGTGGACATTTCCATCACAAAGTCAACACTCAATAAAAATGACCAAAAGTCAAAATGGGTACTTCTTTTCCGGACGGAGGGAGTAGTTTGTAATGTTTTTGTCTAATCGTTTATACTCCGTACTTGGTAGTGTGTGTCCTATTTTCCTTTTTAATAATTACATCAAAAATCTAAACAAAGAGATGACTTTACTATTATATTGTAACACCTGATTAGAATAAATATGAAAAAAAGATAGTGTGCTGGTGAATAGTAAAAGTGAACTTTACTTATGAAAAGAGGAAGTGTTAAACAAGAGGTGGTTTGACTATTTTTTTAAATTGATTAAAAATAGGTAAGAAAAAGGTAGTAAATGTGAAGATAAAGGGAGTAATGATAATAACAAGGAAATTATGGAGAGGTGGAAAAACATAAAAACGAAAAAACTATAGAATCTAGAACTCACTTGGCAAGTCGAGAAGTGGTGGAAATAGCGGCAAAAATGAGCCTATGGAAATCAACCCAGGAAATACTCTAAGAAATATTGATTCCAACCTGAAATGATACACTTGCTTCCATGATACTGATTTTGGTAATTACATCTTATCTCTAAAAATAATCACAAAATACACAAAACTTTGCTATTAGAAGAGCTTACTTCTCTCCATTCCAAGCTAGCAGCTTCAGAAGCAATGGGAAAAACTGCAATTCGTGATTAAATTAAAGCAAATACATAAGGGATCAAGTATATTTTAGAACACCAATTAACTCATACTCCCTCCATCCCCAAATAAACTTCCTAGTTACGATTACGGCATCTCAATAACTTTTGTTTATTTGTGTGTTTTCGTTGATCATTTGATAAAATAATATATTCTTGTCATATCGTGATTTTTTATGTAGTTTTGAAGTATGTAATTTGTACTTTTTATTTTTATACCAATTTGTAAATAAAATTATTTTAAAAGTGATGAGATTTTACATGTTGTTCAAAGTACAAAGTGTATTTGGGTATGTTACACTCCCTCCGTCCCAGTATTTTTGTCCACTTTTTTTGGACCATCCCAATGTGTTTGTCCAATTTCCTTTTTAAGTATGATTCAAATGTCCCAATTGCCCAATTTACCCTACACTTAAATTCTAATACAACTCATTATTTACTCCCTTAGACCCTTATCCACTCCACCATCTATCATCCATTAATCGTGTCACTTACTCATGTCATCTAACCACCCCATTTCTGACATTCAAATTCTATATCTCCTCTATCTCCAATCTTTTTTTCCATTTGAACCCTAACCTCCTTCAGCATCTATCATCACATCGAACTTAAAGCTTCGGTTCAATTTGATGCCTCAATTTCAAGCCTCAAAGTGCAGTAGTGAACGGATCGGAAGCTAGACCAGACACCCAAAACAACATATGATGAAAGCTCTCTGCAAATATAGTGTGAGAAAGGTTCAAAAGAAATCAGGTCGTTATCTCTCTGTGTTGCTTAGAGAAACAACTCAAGAGGCCGGCTAACTCTACGTGTAAGTGCCGCAGCTTTTCTTTTGCAAGATCTGGATTTTTTTACCGGCTCTCTCCGTGTAAGCACCAAGGCTTTTCCTTCGCAAGATCTGGATTTTTTTGAAACCTATATGAATCAAATCCAACCCATGTCCAATCATGTCCAATTTCTATGAACATGAGTTGGGCTCAGGCAATGATCCCAAGAATATGAAAAATAAGTTTACATTCAGAATAAGAGCTTTTTAGTTTGTGACTTGTGAGTGGTGTAAATTGCTAAAGATGGCTAGCAAAAGATTGATATTGATTAGAACAGATAAATTGTTAGAAGCAAAGAGAGATGTATGTTCAAAACTACTCCATATTTTTGTAAGGGTGCTTTAGTAACTTACACCCTAAACTCTCTCCTCCTTGTTCCAAGTGCAAAAAGAAAGTGATGAAAACACCGGGACAGAGGGAGTATAATAAAAATTAACTCCTCTGCAATGCTATATAAAATTGCACAAGTTAGAGTTAGGCATGCACAAGGTGCTCATTCTAAAACAGAACTAGAGCCAAAGCAAAACCGGAATCGGAACATTACCGCCAAGAACTACAACTGAAACCTTATATACAAGGTTTTCGTTCGGATTCCCTCCATTTGATGGAACCCAAACCCAAACCGGCAATTGTCAAACAAAAATTGGAGTCTGTGCACAAGGTTCCGCTTAAGGTTTTTAAATTTCATGAAGTAGACTATGTCCACCCTAGTTAGAATACATTCATGTGAAATGGGAACTAAGTAATTTACTAAGGTATCCACTACTCATCAATATTAATCCCATGGCTTTAAAAAGTGTGCAACTCTGAGGCATTGACCATTGGGGAAAATGCGCATAAGGATATTATGCCTTAAGGTGTCTAAGGAGCAAAGATATATGGCATGCGGTTTAAAAGCATTGAGACTATCCGAGGCATGGGCCAAATGTTCAAAATGGCATAGACAGGTTTGAGGCTTTTTGTCAGAAGTAGTAAGCCTCAAGGCATTTTGAGGCGTAAGCTACAAGGTGTGTTCGGTTAACACAAAAATATTTCAAATGGAAATTCATAGATAAATGCATAAATAAATAAATATATAAATAAATAAATAAATAAAATTTTTATGTGTAACTGTGTACTGTCAAATACAACATGGATGAAAGTTAATTAAACAACATGCCCATTAAAATCCCACAAAAAGTAGGGTCTGGGAGGGTGTGCGGGCAGACATTACCCGTACTAGAAAGTAGAAAGTTGTTTACAAGAGACCCCAACTCAAGCACAATCATAGTAAACTAACAAAGTACACACAAAAGCACAAACAGTGTAAGAACAAAATAGTAGCAAAGCGCAAAGAGCAAACTAAGGGAAAAGAAAGTGCACAGAGACAATAATCACAAACTGAAAGCAGCAACTAAAACCGAAGCACAGAAAGCACATAGAGACAACAACAAAAAAATGCACCCGCAAAACACTAGCACTATGGCCATGAAGTCTGCCCAACTACTCTAGTCCTAAATCTCCAAACATTCCTATCTAAGATCATATCTTCGGTAAGGTCCAGAGGTCTTAAGTCCAATCTAATCACCTCCTTTCAACTCTTCCTAGGTTTACCCCTACCCTACCCTTAATCCTGTACACTACTGTAAGCCTCTTGCATCTCTGCACTGGCCGCTTCAGTCTAGCTTACTGCAGCTATTCTCACTCCCACCACTCCCTGAATAACCTCATTCATGGTCATATCCAACCTCATTTTCCCACACAACCATCGCAGCATCCTCACCTCTGCCACATGAAGTTGACCAACGCGAGTTTTATTCACCGCTCAACTCTCCACTTAGCACTTTCACAAGTGGGTCACTCGGCTTAAGAGTGTAAAGCACTTTACTCCCTAAAGTATTGTGTACTCCGTAATAAGATGGGAGCTACTTTCCTTCTTGTTGCTTCTTTTGCCCATTTGCTAGAAATCCAATCTTGTGAATTGTTAAATGACAAACGTGGACTGGTAATGGCAGGCCTATGCAAGTTTCTTTGACTTGTGAACCACCTGATCATATTCACTACACAAACATGATGATGTATATAACCATTCACAAGCATTGCATGTCCTCTATCATAAGAACAATTGAATATGCCGCACAAGGCATCCAATAAAGACGTGGAGTAGAGTAAAAGTACGAGAAGAAGGGAGACGGAGAAAAAGGATGGAGAACTGGAGAAGGAGAGACAGAGACCTTTACGTAGGTAGAGAGGACTGACCATCACTTCGTTGGACAAGACTCAAGAGTAGTTGCCTCATCCTCTCTTATGGCACTAATGTGGGGGGGGGGGGTAAGGTTTCTGATTTTGCTTTGTTTCAATTTGTGTTCACTTGGAAAAAAAATGGGTCATTTGGTCGACGTCGAAGAGGCGATGAAGTCGCAGCACCTTGCACCGGTCAGATGCGCAGGAGGCACGCGCCTCTTGAATCAGGCATCACCTCAATGTTAATATGTGATCACTTCTCTGCACCCAGCACCAGGCGGGCAGGCTTTTTACAACCAAACACCTTCTTTTATATTAATAGAAACTTTTCCCTTCCATATGAAAGTTTATCTTAATCCATAACTTTTTGGGTAATGAATGTTACTTATTGGAAGCCCTTAGGACTCTCGTTAGCAAAACCCTAATTTGCCCTATATGTTATTGTTGGGTGCATTTTTTGTAGTTCGCTTTTGTTGTAAAATTGTAGCTAGCTTTTACTATAGCTTTTCTTTTTCCTCTTTGTTTGAACCAAGCTCCCAAGATATGGGAACTGGTTTCTTTACTTCATGTATGACGTACGTGGTTCCCTATGAAGAGAGCCTAGAAATTATCTACTCTCATGTTCATGTTGGTATGTGTGCCATTTTTAAAATACGTCCAATCTAGTCGCGAACCTATTCATCCTCTTCATAGGGTCTTTCTCACTCATAACTTTTGCTTAATGTTGCAGAATAGTTCTAGCATTTCCTTTTCGTCTCTGTCTAAACCAAGCTCCCCAAATAGAGGAAGTGGTGTCTTGATTTCATATATGCAGTTCATATTTAAAGGGCCATATATACAGGAAACACTTAATTATAAATATGAGATCCAAATATATTGTTATTTTATTTTGATATTCACTCAAGACATACACCTGAGGACCGCCTTTCAAAAATGTTCACCTGAGGGAGTAAAGCAGGGAAAGCACTTGACAGCTTTCTCTTGTTTTTTTCCAAGAAATATAGGGTTGCTTCTGCTACAGCAGGGTCTGCAAATTCACTACAATATGTATAGGAAAGAATTAGCACAAAGATAGACATTGTATTCATTATTAGCTAGTGTAGAAATATCAAAAACAAAAACCAGGATGTGCTATGAATCTATTATGTACTGAAAATCTGAAATAGGTAAGAAATTATAAGAAAAGGTCTTTTGTTCTAACAAAAATACCGTTGGGCTAAATGATGATGGTACTATCATACTTTTAAGTGTCTAACCCTTAGACGGATGAAAGGAATAAAAGATAAAAAATCTACAACCATATGTAGAAGTGTTCCGCGTGCAATGGCTTACTTTCTAGAAAGTGTTTGATGTAGAGTAAATGTGTCTCAACTATTACTTGAGAACTGACAAACATTATGATAAGAATATTTGTAATGGAAAATGTATTCCTATAAACATCTTTATTTCATAACTGAGGCAACATATGTATCGCCTTTGTCAAGAATAAACTTTCAAAGGAACAGAGCATTCTCACCGGCTTAGGCATGATCTAAAGAAAGTTCTTAAACTGGGATCAGCATCATGCAGAACCGCATCTCCAAAATCAAGAAAAAATTGGACAATTGCCTAATCAAAGTTAAATATAACAAAAAAATTATTGGAAAAATATATTTGAAAAAGAAAAAATAATGCGCAGTTATACCATGAAAACTCAGAATTCATGTTCTGATATGAAGACTGTATTCTTTTAGGTTGGAATTCTTAACTTTCAACTCCTAGTTTCTTGCCACTTCTTCCGGTTTCTTATTATTTTCAAACTCCTTCATACTCCTTCCAATACATTCCAACTAAGATTTCAAAATTATGATGATGATAATTTTTACTATTATAATAATAAAGTCCTTCATATTCCTTCATTTTTTCTATTATGGTGATGACAATTTTAATTATTATTATAATTTTTGTCGCTGCTATTTTGTCCTTGTTATTAATATTATTTTAATTATTATCGTCCAATAATTGTCTTCTTCGCTTGACTTGGCACGACATTTAATAAAGTAAAATTTGTGTGGTTGTGGTTTGGGTAGAGAAAAGAGAAATGATAAGAACAACTCGACTTTTTCTTAAAAGGAAAGAGGAAAGAAAATTTTTGCACAATCCAAATAGAAAGTAGGAAAATAATTACGGGGCAGAGGGGGTACTATTTATCACTACCAATAAAATAAGAAAGGAATTGAACTATAATGACACAATTTATATTAAAAAAACCTTCTTATGTCCCCCAAACCAATTCATTGTACAGAAAGAGAATAAATCTATTTTCAATAAATATTTTCATTGATAATTTAATAAAAGAACATAGTATTAAAATTTATAAAATTATTTTTTACATCAATTTACGAATAAAATAAATGGAAGATCGAGAATTAATTGTTGGGACGGATGAAATATAATAATTTAAAATAGAAAATAAAAAATTTGTAAATACAATTCACCAAAGTATGGCCATAAAAAGCTCAAATTAAACATAAATTTTTAGATTAAATTGAAAATTCTAAAATTAGACATAGGTTCTTGACATGCAAATTAAGAAACATAGAATTATGGAGTTAAGATTGTTGTTTAACAATAAGAAAAAGTAAGAGTGAGTGTTAGTCATACATATATTACTAAATATGGTGTGATACATGTTAAAAGAATATGGTATGAGACAAAAATAATGAAACAAAAACAAGTAAAAAGAAACAAAAACAGTGGAAGAATGGGTGTATTAGTGTATACACTATAAGTTATTTTAATAAAAATATGAAATTCAAAAAATATAGTATTTATTCCAACTCCCTCAAACATTTTCCAGTTTCATTCCACACCTAGTTTTTTCCAATTCCTTCCGGTTTTCTCAACTCCTTCCAGTTTTTTCAACTCTTTCCAGTTTCATCCAAGCATTTTCATGGAGGTACATAGAGAAAGATCAAAAGTTAAATGCATAATATTGTAGTTTTTATGGTATTTCTCCATAAATGTTGTGTTCTGTAAGTACTTATTGAGTACTTATGTTCTTGATTGGTGCTTCAACTGCTCAAATTTATGGCATTTTTCTACTATGGGAAGGAGAAGTTCATTGGAGCTTTCATTCTCTTTCACGCGAAGCTTTTTTATGCAGGTGCAAAGAAAGAGCTGCAAAAACAATAACTTAAATTTGTTGTTTTTGAGGTTGTTTCTCCATAAAATTTGTGGCCTCTACTTATTGACTTAAATGTTCTTGTTTGGTGCTGCCAGTGATTGTCCCCATTAATCTATTGGAGACAAGCAGTAGCTTATTATCCGGAAACAAACTCGCTAGTCACCGAACTCTTTGGCCTGAATTTCAAAATAAAGCTATGGTTCTCAACTTATAGTACTCCATGACATCACTAAAGTAATGTTGGGCAAGAATTACCAGTAGAAGAAGGCCACATGAGGTTTGGGATTGACCAATTGAGGCCACTGCTCGTTGAAAGATCCGATTGAGATGAGGATAGATTCTAGCTATAGATTCTTCTGATTTTTCGTTTTTACACAATTCACAAAGCCTCTTGACCTGCGTACGATCAAGCAATAAATAATGAGAACCAACCCCGCACTAACATAGACGCTGGGAGAGAAAGGTAAAGGCGTACGGAATTGAGAAGTGAAGGATCGACGGCGGCGTTAGAGTCTCGAGCGCCGGAAGCGATTGATCTCATGTGAAATTCCCACTCCCGGTTGTTCTCTCCTCCGCCCATTTCAGAAACAGTCGCTCTCGAGGCCAAGTTCCCACTCCGGGACGACTACAGCCTACACGTACGTACCTTTTGAATACTCCCTCTCTTCTCCCATTTTCCTTGGTGGCCCTTTCGAAAATATTCTCTCCATTTCTTTTTTGGTACACTTTTTTAGAATAAATTTTAATAATATCCTTCTATTTTATCGCTAATCTACTTTTTTCTTGTTTTTTAATAAAAAAAAGAGATTTAGAAATTTATAGTATATGCATTTTTTGAAATAAACGTGTCAAGTCAACATGGGAAGAACATTCTCGGACGGAGGGAGTAACAATATAAGATACTTATTTTGTACTCCTTCCATCCTAAAAGCAATGTCACACTTACTTTTTTGGTACTCCATAATGTCACACTTACTAATTTTATCTTTGGATAACTTTTGTTCATTTACTTGTTTGGGCACAAATTATACTATACAACTGGTTGTACCCAAAATTGGGTACAACCGGTAAAATGAAAGAGGAAGAAGAGTTGTGTCGACGAAATCAAAGGGGTGAAGGAGGGCGACGAAAATTGAATGGGTGCTCTGTAAATTAGTATGATCGAATACCGGCGAAGGAAAGGCGCACCGACGACGACAAAGGAGGGGTGCTCCGTCGATCGAGGAAGAAAGCTGATGTCGATAGGAGGAGAGGCACTGGGATGAAAAACCCTACAGTTGTGTGGTCGGTCAGGTAGGAGAGAAAGAAAGTTATTTATGGTATGAATTTTATTTTTCTTGATAATATTTTGCATGTCGTTCAAAATGTGGCAAACAACTTGGGATGGAGGGAGTATATTAGTCCCTCCGTTGTCTGTCTCCCAAAAAAATCCTTGCTATTTGTAGGTAAAATTAATTCTATTTTCTTTATACATTTGTATAGATCATTTGATAAAACAAAATATTATCATTGCCATTTTCGATATTTTGTAGGACTTTTGATGTAGTTTTTTAATCTATAATTTTTATTTTGGGATGGAGGGGGTAATTTATTTTAATATTTATTCAAAGTATGAGTATGCACATTTAAACACAACTTATTATGTTTATATGGAATTTAGATCTATAAATAACACCATACTCATTTTAACTAATATAAAAAAATAGATGGACAATAAAATAAAGAATATGTAGAATAAGTATTTAACTATTCATGAATGAATACTCGTTGGGAGTGCATAGGAAATATCGTACATCTGGTGGTACTATATATACTACCGCTAAAGACCTTTACTCAGGGCTGGTCTCGAGAATTCAAGGGTCTGGGACGACACGGGGAAAATGGACCCTTGTTGTTCGTCAAATTGCACAACTCTAAAGTGGGTGAATATAGTTGAAGTCTAGAATGAGCATTTTTTGAGTGTGTGATAAAACGAAAATTAAACGCAGGATAAAAGTAAAGACTAAAGAGGAAGAACAACACCGCGAGGTATACTAATTCCCCAGCTCGTGGCTAATCCAGTTCTCTGAAAGACTCTCTCAAAGGTCCTACTAACTTTCAAGCTTCAATGAGTGCTTGAAAAATATTTTAGAATTTGAGAACTTAAATCTCATAAGCCTCAACACTTTAGAAGAAGACTTGAATCACACAAGTCTTAGTTAACACAAACTTAAAGATGAATCTTCAAGTTTGCAAGAACACAAGAACAATACAAGATGAATAACTCACACAAAGAGCAAGTATGTGTTTAAAGATGTAAGCTCTAATGAATGACAAAATATTTGCACTCAAGAAATATTTACTATACTATCAAAAGTATGGTTTTTGGAGAATATTGATAGAGCAAGAGATATAGAGATGAAAGATGAAATAAGAATGCTCGAGATGCCTTAGAATGAAGGTAGATGGGGGTTTATATAGGGAATAAAAGAATATGTCCATTACACCAACGAAAAGGACTTCGGTGTGCATCACATGGATAACAAATCGATTTCTCTAAAGACAGAAAATCAATTTTCTGTCGTTAGTTTCAAACCATTGTGAGGCAGAGCCAAAAAATTGATTTTTACACAAGAAAATCAGTTTCTAAGGCGAATCTGTCAAAGACAAGATATCAAAGAACATGGGTACGTGGATAATGGGTCAGGGGACAATTATCCCTTTGTCTCCGATGATAAAATGTCTTGAAAGGATGGTTCGTTTACCTCAATTGTATATGTTCTTAATTCAAATTTTAAATTTTGAATGTAATGAGGGTGTAAAAATTGAGTTCTAAGCATATTTTGTGTGTCAAATGATATACAAAAGAAATATTTTAAAAGATATTTTTCTTACCCAGAAAAATATCTTTTAAAAAGATATTTTAAAAGATATTTTTCTCTGCCACTAGCAACCATTGTCACTGTCAACCACTCCCGTTGCCAGTCACCCCTGCTTATCCCTAATTAAATCTTGAAATTAAATCTTTTCAAATAAAATAATTTAAGATTACAGAATTCATATCATTTCTTCAAGATTTTATAACCCACATCTCATCATATCTCCAAAATTCACCAAATTGGCCCTAAGTAATTAATAAGATATTTCTTTACTTCTAAATAAATTTCATAGTTTTGAAGATATATATATATATATATATATATATATATATATATAATATTATTATATTATATAAATGAGAAAGAGAGTTAGGTACCCATTAATTTTATGCACCTTTTCCATCCAAAAGAGTTGTACATTATGCTTTGGATGTTGTTCACTATTTTTTATTACCAACTTTGCCATTACACCGTTACTAGCATGTTTCCTTGAGAATTCATGTCACATTTATATTTCCAAATTGATATTAATAACTTTATAAGTGATATTGATTAAATGCTTTTAAATTTCTTTTGTTATCTACAGTGCCTGAGAGTTTTCTTTGAGGTATGTGAAATTTTTCATTATCAATTTTTAATAAAATGTATATGTATATATGGCATAACAATCATGTAGGTATTTTTTTAATTTATTAGGTACAACTCAAAAATTTGGTAGACCATTCTATTGCTAATTACAAAACAAATCAAACAACATTCTTTACGTAATTTTAATTTAGTTCCTCAATTTTTGAATGCAATATCTTTCCATCCAAAATTTCCAGTATGGTTGAACAACAATGACTATTTCAAAACTTTTAATCTTGCACAAAACAACTAAATGCATACTACTTCAATTCATTGTTAGAATTAGAAAAAGATGTGAAATTTGAGACTACATTATGCTCACATTATTCACTCTAATACTCTAATTTTATACATTGTCTTCTTAATATACATGTGTATACAACTCAAACTAAAAAACCCATCATGGTGACATGGACATTGGATATGTATGAAATCTGATATCAAAGTCCATACATGTAAAAATCATGTCATTCATAAGATTACCTTATTATGAATTTGGAATATATCAACAATGTTGATCAACTTTAAATATCTTATACACCTTAATGTTATTCCCAACATTATTGGAATTGTTGTTAAGTGTCTATATATATATATATATATATATCATGCTTCCCCTCTGTAGAAATGGTCACAGGGTTGATTGGCGAACCACACCACCCGGGTTTGATACCTAGAAAATGCAAATTTGGTGGAATTTTAAGAAGTTAAGCGTGCTGGCATGGGAGTAGCAAAAATGATGGGTGACCCCCTAGGAAGTAGATTTGGGCTTATGGGGTTAGGCTTTAGATTGGACTTACTTTGGGCTTTCTATAGTGGGCTTATGGGGTTGGGCTTTAGATTGGGCTTACTTTGGCGTTAGTTTGACTGTAGCTGTGACTTTGATTGATTCAAGAGCCTTTTATAATCGACACATTGGATCAACTCCAGTGGTGTATTCAATTCCAGTGCCCGTACTATCTTTTGGAGTTCGTTGGTGAAGAGGGTTACAGTTACCACAAGTACGGTTCTCTTAATAATCCAAAAAGAGAAATTGTTTCGTTTTTTATATCTAAGTTTGTGATTTAGCTAATTTAAAAATTTCTAGTTCTTTTTCTTTATTTTCTTACCTACTTGCTACCGTAACAAAACACGAAGGAGAGTACATAACTTGGTAATTAAGGGGACCAAAGGGGAGTGTTTTAGTAATGGTGTGGGTAGTGTGTTGGTTGAGGCCCTTCTAGAGTTCTAGAACAGCGTCTCTACCCATAGGGGTAGAGATAAGGATTATGTTCATTCCCTCTATGTATAGAGAAATCTTCTCTTAGTTTCACTTGTGGTCATTCCTAAGGTCTAACCAAATTATTGCCTAATACTCCCTCCGTCCCACTGTCTTTGTCCACTTACCTTCTGTCACACCATCCAATAAACTTCTTTAATCCATTTTATCTTGTAATTTGTATATTAAAAAATTATAAAAATTATATATTAATAATCTATATGTTAAAACGAATCAAACAAGATCACACATGACTATTTTTAGGCTTACACATTGAGAGAATTTGATGAGTCAAAGTGCTTAGATGAACAGTTCCAAAAGTCAAAACTGGACAAAGACAATGGGACAGAGGTAGTACAAATTGATTTAATTTTAGTTCCCAAATGAAGGGTTATCATCTTGACAGGTAAAAGGAGAGTTAGGCAACTGAACATAGAATAAATAAAGGGTTATCATCTTGACAGGTAAAAGGAGGGCACCAAATAAATACATATTCGTCTAGAGATATAGACACAAAAAAAGGAGAAATCAGTTAAAGCATAGTAACCAGAAGTTACAATTAGGCCACACTGAATCTTTAAAACTAAGTAGAAGTATCTCGTAATGTCAAGCACATATTATGTAGAGAATTGGTCTGTGAAAAAAATTTATTCTGAAATGTAAGAATACTTCTCTTATTCAGCTTATTCTTTAGTGTTGGGATATACTCTTGGTCTATGATTATCACTTCTCTTAGTTTCACTTGTGGTCATCCCTAAGGTCTAACCGAATTACTGCCTATTACAAATTGATTTAATTTTAGTTCCTAGATGAACTATGTAATGGGAGAAAAAAAACCCAATTAGTCTCTATTACAAATTGATCTAATGTTGGATCCCAGATGAAGTATGTAATGAACCTTTTTTTTGCACAACTTCATTGAAATATGAGGTAAAAATTGACCAAACAAGATTAACGGGCCCAGTAAATTCTAGAGAAGAGTCAAGCAGCTCAACATCGTATAAATAAAGGGTTGTCATTTTCAACAGATAAAAGGAGGGTACCAAATAAATACATACTTCTCTAGGGACATAGACACATAAAAGGAGGTTTAAGATTTTGTTTAATCTTTGATAAAAGTAAATAAAGTACCAAACTTCATGGCTCATGCCAAACAGGAGAAAGATGACACCCTGGAGAACAAAGATATAATAAAGTTTGCAGAATAAATCCTAAGTGCCCATCGCAGATTCGCAGAGTATAAAAAAGACAGGAGAAATGAGTTAAACTGTAGTAACCAGAAATTGCATTTAGGCCACACTCAATCTTTGAAACTACGTACAAGTATCCCATAATGTGAAGCAAATATTATGTAGAGATTTGACAGTGAAAAAAATTTATTCGGAGATCTAAGAATACTTTTCTTGTCCAGCTCATTCTTTGGTGAAGAAACAGGTTACTTTCTATTCAAAAAGCACATTACTTTCCATGCCAAAAAATACAGAAGCTAACAGGATAGGACTATAGGAGTAGGGTTGGGACATACTCTTGGTCTATGATTATGAAGTAACTTGTTCTTTGTTGTTCTCTTTTCCTGAAGACAAAAGTTTATTTGTTCACGCCGATTACTCTCAATTGTTGGTGGAGTAGATGGAGATCCGGTTTCCTTTGAATCTTTAACGACTTATAAATGAACCAATGAGTAATTACAGGGTTGCATTTGATGAAAGGGCAATAAAATTGGCAAACACATCTAAAGTCGGATGATAACACCAGCATTCTTGAACGTATTCTTTTCACCTTTGATCTACTGACTGAAAGAAAACTAATGGTAGCTAGCTACCAAGAAAAGGGAGAAAAGGTGTTCTCAATACTATGCCTCCATCAGTTTACCTATCAACTCTTTAAAGAAAGATAAAAGAATAAAATATGACTAAAAGTATTCGCCCATAATGAGTGCTAACAGTTTTCTATACTTTCCCTAGCAATGTTTTTGGACAAAATCATGGGTTACTTAAAAATAACAAGAGATATGAACTTCAACTTTTAAAAGAGGACTCAATTCCGAAGACTAATTTGACAGTGTAGAAAGAAAGAAGGTTCAAAATTTAAATATAACAAGAGATATGCACTTCAACTTTTAAAAGAGGACTCAACTCTGAAGACCAATTTGACAGTGTAGAAAGAAAGAAGGATCAAAATTGTATCACGATCCAAATATGTATACATATCAAAATTGCCATAAAATTCAAAAGCTAAAATGCAATGAATAAAGCACTTTTTTTATTTTAAAAATCAGCATCTAGCTCAACATAGATAAATACTTTGAATTGAAATCAGGTTTTAAAACGACTCAAAATTTAGATTTCAATGAAGAGCACTATTTCTTTTAAAAATGCAGTGTTTTCCAATTCTTTAAAGCAAGATTGGAATGAAAAACCATTTTGTATTTAGAAATACAGGACATAGTTCAACATACGAAAGTACATACATAAATGCTTTGACTAAATTTCAAGAATGGTGAACCAATTAAGGAGCAAGCATTGCAAAAAGGAAAGAACATTCCAATAGCACAAATACTTTTTAAAAAAAAAAAAAGAATCACCAGAAGCATAGCTTAAAAGTGCATGAACATACCAAGCGAGTTGAATAGTAACTTGAAGAGATCAACAAAGAACACGAAAAGTATGTAAGTCACCTGTATCAAGTATTAAAAACTAGAATTAGTTAATCGTTCTAAAGCTATAATTGAAAGAAGTGCACTATTCAGAAATCAGAGCTGGTTAGTAGCATCTTTCCCCATGTTAAAGAGGGAAACCATATATTCTTTTTTTAAAGGAATTCCAATGAAGAACACTATTTCTTCATTTAAAAATGCAGTGTTTTCCATTTTTCAAAGCAATATTAATATGCAGTGTCAATTCATAATTCGAAAATTACTCTAAAAAAATTTCTAATTCATAAAAATGCAAACTTGGTTTTATTACAATTCATAATTCAGAATTTGATTTTATAATTCGAAATGAAAAATGATTCAAATAGTTAATAAAAATGAAGAATTGTAACTACTCCCTCCGTCCCAGAGTGTTTGTCCACTTTCATTTTCGCACACCATCCAATGCACTTCTTTAATCCATTTTATCTTGTAATTTGTATATTAAAAAATTATAAAAATTATATATTAATAATCTATATGTTAAGACGAATCAAACAAGATCACACATGACTATTTTTAGGCTTACACATTGAGAGAATTTGATGAGTCAAAGTGCTTAGATGAACAGTTCCAAAAGTCAAAAGTGGACAAACACTCAGGGACGGACCAAGTACAAGTTACTCCGTAATAAAACTATTCTGTGAGCATAATTTCATTCATTCTCTTTTCTAATCACAGATTCAAATCACTTGAATGCTCACAGATGGTTAATAAAAAATGATTCAAATGTCAGAATAGTTTTTTAATCAATTCATAATTCGTAAATTACTCTAATATTTTGGGCACTTAGCATGGGACACACTATAATACTTTGTGTGTTTGTGCCCAAACTTTTTGGATAGTTTAGTAAAATTTTGTAATATAACATAGGCATAGTATCTTATGAGAAGCATAGGGATTGTTTTACAAAACATGAAGTGTTCCACTGCACTTCATTTCTGATATGTAGCAAACCTATAAGTTCTAAACTGATCTCTTAGTTGATTAGGTTTTTTTACATGTAGCAAACCTAGAAATTTTAAAGTGCTTATTGCATCAGGATTCCTACTCTGTCATGATACATGTATTTTACAAGAAGGGTAGGAAGTTTCCAAGGTGTTGGAACATTCTTTAAGGCTTTTTTTTGTGGTTGTCTTCTTCAACCTTGAGCTTTCATTTTAAAGTTGGAGTGCTTTTAGCTTTTGAGAGAGGTTGTAGAGGCTTAGTAGTGAGTACATCTTTGTTGTTTGTGTTTGGTAAGTTCTTGAAGTTGGTTTGATCACAACAATGACGGTGAGCGATTGAAGGGCCTTGTTCAGATTCCCACAATTGATTGTCTCCAGCGACATATTCCATTCCAGTGTCTTTAGTATTTTTTGGAGCTCGTTGGTGAAAAGGGTGAGTTGTACATCACCTCTGTCGTCATTCATTTCAACTAGTAGTCGGAATCTGGCAAGTTTTGCAGCAAGAAAGTGTTTACATAAAGTAATATAAAAAATGTAGAAGGGTATTAATTTGAGAGTTTACAGAATTGTAGTTATCCGGTGCTTATATAAAGTGAGATTAAAGATTACAGAATAGTATTGCTTTTGAATAATACAGAATTAGAATGTTTACCTCTTTGTATTTCTTGCTTCTTTGTCCCCACATTGCATGCATTCAAAGCTAATGCCTTCTCTGAAGTGCACTTTCCGATTGCAGCTGCTGCATCCTATTTACAATGTAATCGATGCATTTTCTAGGACTTGTATTTCACCTTCAACCCAGTACATGTGTTCCTGTGAGTTTGTTTTATATGTTTGTATATGTACATTTTAGGTATTATACATTGTAGGTTCATATGACAATTGAAGAAATGTATATAGAACCTGATTTCTGTCTCTGTGAGTTCCGAGATGCTTGAATGTCTTCTGGACTTACAAAAAGAGATAAAGGATCTTGAAATTGTTTTGTTTCCAGGGCATGCTCTATTGCGACAGTATTTGAACATTCCCTGGATGGCATTTGTTAGTTTATAAAAGTACTAAAAAAAGTAATAACTAATAAGTGGTAAGATGAGGGAAATATGATTACCATTCTTCTAAATATGATGAAAGGGATATGATTGCGTCCACTTTGATTGATGAATCGTGTCGTGATGTCAATGACAGTCCTATTTATTTGTGTATGTAATAGAGAATGAGATGTGAATCATGTAATTACAAGGAGTATTTACTTACATAACGAATGACATGTTTAGGAATGAAGTTGCCAGTAACCTCATTGCGAGTATTGTTGGATTGTTATCTGATTCGAGTGCCTTTTCAATTTTGCTGCCCTGAACGCTTGTGAATTTGTGCCACATTGTCAAAGTGATGGGTTTGCACCTGCATGAGGGGAACATTATCAATTGGGCGTGGAAGATTAATGGAAGTAGGTAATGATGTAATTGGAAAATGTTTTTTTCTCTTTAAAAAATAAGTCTGAGATTGGTCTTTATTTTAGGCATTTTGAGCTTTTTGTGTGTTCTGTTTTCAGGTTTAGGAATTTTTTTGAGTGCTTGGTGATACGTAGAATGGAAAGCAAAGAAACAGAGAGTTTAAAATAGGTAAGAGTATATGAAGGCTTTTAGGCATAAAATAAAAGCAAGGAAAAAGAGGCCTTCTACTGATTTTAAAACTTTTGTTCTTGTGTTTAATTTTTTTTCACACTTACTTTCATAAAGGGTCTCAAAGTGATGTTAGTTTGAGCATGAATGGATAATCTTTTAATCCTTTGGAGATGGATACTTTTTAAATCCTTTGGTTCAAATCACTTTGGATAAGGGGCTGATTTTGAGAAAATTCAGATTCAAAATGAGGGATGTTGTGTTGATAAAGTGAACAAGTTGGGCCATTAAGGTGTGTTTGAAGAGCATAAATGGATACTTCAAGGTGAAATTGCCCTTTATAAAGTGTAGTTAAAGTAGTATCCACTTCACAGAAAATTTTTAGTCCATTCTTTTCAACAAACTTTTAATCCTTTCCTTTGGTTGAAAACATTTTGGAGAAGGGGCATATCAGTTCAAGCAAGTAGAGCTTCACGATAGTACTCAACAGAACAGGAGCGTGGAGTTGCAGATCACAAGACTTTAGTGGTTTGGCCCTGTGTTTCTACTTTCCTGGATTGGTTTGGTGTACGTTAAAGAACATGTAGATAAGATTTGAATGTTCTTTAAAAAAACTAGTTTGCAGGTTAACCTGGCTCGAAGAAATCAAAATAGTTTCTGCTTTGGAAATTAAAATGAAATGTATACTCTAAAGAAAACCGTAAGTTTTGGGAAAAGTCGTGAAGGTCAAGTGTTCATAAATTAGTAAACACACTAAAAAGAAGAGAGCAGTGGTAAATCATAACCAATGAGGTCAAAAGAGCATATAGAGTCGCTAGGAAGAATCGGAAGAAGAGAAATATGCCTTTCACCATGATGAATTTTTTCCCATGATGAATTTGTATGTGTCTATTCTTGCATTGAGTACTCGCTGAAGCTTGGAGTGTTGACTCTGTTGAGTACTCGTTGAGTACTCGCTCCAACGTTGAGTACTTGCTGAGTACTCGTTGTACTTATCCTAGTGAGTTTTACGGACCCACGGGATCAAAAGCTTCTCAAGCTCAAGCCTTTACCTTTTTAGTTAGAGACCAACGTCTTGGAGCGAACATGGGGGCCGCTCAAGGTCCTACAGATTTAGGTAAATATCTAATGCGTCCCCCAACTGACGAAGTCATTTTTGGCGGAAAAACTATGCGCTTTTGGGATCTGCGTGCTCCGTGGTTAGAGCCTCTAAGGGGACCAAATGGGTTAGAACTGATTTGGTTAAAAAAGATATACAACCTTGGCAAGAACGGCATACCACAGAATATATGACTCATGCCCCTTTAGGTTCTTTAAATTCTGTCGGAGACGTGGCTACTGAAATAAATACAGTCAATTATGTCTCTCCAAGAAGTTGGTTGGCAACCTCACATTTTTGTCCTGATTTTTCTTTTTGTTGGTCATTTGTGGCACGTGGGACATGCTCGGGCGGCAACAGCTGGATTTGAGAAAGGAATTGATCGGAATTTCAAACCAGTTCTTTCTATGACCCCTCTCAATTGAGAACATATACGAAATCAAATTATTCAAGTTGGACTATCTATAAAATTCAATATATAATTTCTTTTTTTATGGTTTGGCTATCCGACGTAGCCAAAAGTTGAAACTAAACTTTTATTTCCATCATAAAAGCGATTTTACATTTTATACTTTCATACGATACGATTCAAACATAAATCCACCCCATGGAAGAATCCTACGCAGCAGAATCGGGATTGGGTTCATCTTTGCGGAAGCCTTTGGGATAGGACTATAGGAGTATCCAGTCGTCTTCTAGGAATCATACATTTGCTGAATGACTCGACAACCAGGTATTTCACTTACCTGCACATAAGCTTCCTATATTCTCTATAACATCCCATCTCCTTTCATAGCGCCTGCTTCCCGAAAAGATAGACTTCCTATCAAATAACCGATGCTCTTTCACTCTCTCGCTTCGTCTTCCCAGTTATCCTTTATACCTTTATATGCAGGTAAGATCAGGTCGAATGCTCTTCAACGAACCATGTCTATTCAATGATCAACCATAAGGAGAGAGAGGGATTCAAACCCTCGATAGTTCTTTAAGCTATACTGGTTTTCAAAACCGGGGCTATGAATCGCTCAGCCATCTCGCCATTAGCTACTTTTCAAAGAAATTATTAGCAGTCATTCTCTTGAAGTTGGAATGATGTGGTTGATTCTTTTTCTCCGATTAGGGAGATCAAATGGTATAGCTTACTTCGTGGTAGAATGGATAATGAAACCTATGGCTCTTGCTTTCCAACTGGTTGCTTTTGTATTAATTGTTACTTCATTTATCTTATTGATTGGTGTACCTGTTGTATTTGCTTTGCCTGAGGGCTGGTCAAGTAAAAAAATGTCTTTTTTCTAGGACAACATTATGGATTGGATTGTTATTTGTGGTGGCTATACTTAATTCTCTTATCTCTTGACTCTCTTCGTCTAAAACTAAAAAATAAAAGTTTTCCTTCAAAAAATTCTAAGAAACCAAATTTACGGAATTAAAAAATTTGGCATTATTCTATAACAATAATATTGAGTCCGGTACTTAACTAAAGTAGGAGCCGGGAAGATATCGTAGCTACTATAAAATAACCAAAAATGTGGATATGGTCGAATGGTAAAAATCTCTTTTTGCCAAAGAGTACGGTCACTGTGCATTTCACTATCAATGAACTCAAGAGTCAGAACAAATTTACAAATAAAGATGCCAAAACAGTTTTAAAATTCTACTTGTCAATCAGATGGGCAACAGAGAATAGATCGAACCCTTGAAATCTAGTGATGCAATTTGAAGTAGCTGTAAATTTGAAGGATCAAAAATTGAAATTAAAGAAGAATATGCGGAGTTATGAAGATCTATAAAGAAACAGCGAAATACCTGCAGAGTGAAGGAAGAAAGTCGTATCCGAATACCAAAGTGAAGGAGAAAAAGGATGGGAGAGCTCAGCAGTGAAGAAGCTCACATCGTGGGGCGGTAGGCGGAGAGAATGGCCAATGGCATTCATCATTCGTGAGAAGTAGTGAGAGACGGAGATATGCTGCTTAATTAGAAAGAGAAACAAACGGTGAATAGTAAGTGTTAGAAAATTAACGGAAAAACATCGAACTTAACCCCTTTTGAGGCTTATATTATTTAGGGGATTGGAGAAAACATCAATCATTTCTGATTCATTGGTGCCTCTCCCATGACTACTAGAGAGGAGGGAAAAGGAAAGAAATAAATCAAAGAACAATTCTTGAATCTGTGTGAAGTACTGAGCTAGCTTGAATGCTTTATTTATCTATCAGTGTTTTTTTAAACCAAAAGTGCATATATTGAAACCAAAAGGAGATTAATACGGAGTACATCAGTTCACGCTCCAACACAGTCTACAAACACTGCCTGCAAACTACATACTCCCTCCGTCCCCAATTTGTAATCAAATTGGGGTTTACGAGGAGAAATATCTCACTTTTAAAATCATTTTATTTATAAATTGGTATATCGATAAAAAATAAAAATTACATATTAAAAAACTACGTCAAAAGTTCTACAAAACAAGAGGTGACAAGAATATTTTATTTTATCAAAAGTTATTGAGATAAGAGAAAAAAAAATTGCAATCAAATTGGGAACGGATGGAGTATGAGACTTTCTAGTAATCCTATACGTGATATAGGTACTAACTTGACATTTAAGCCAAGAACACATATCTTCAATATAGTAATCAACCTCTTTGATGTATCAGCTTATTTCTAGCCTTCTAGACACCATCAACCTCTTTGATGTATCAGCTTATTTCTTTGATGTATCACCTTCGAAAATTTCTACAAAATGCCAACTTTCTTCTTAGAATGCTGGTCCTAGGGAGCGTCTTGCGTTAAGCTGCGCGAAAAAATAGGCGAAGGAGATAATAAAAAACGCAGCTCCCCTTTTAATGCAAAGCAAACGCCCAGTTAACAAGGTTTAGCGTTCCCAACCCAAAATGCCTTTCCCAAACAGGCCCTTAGTGAGGAAAGGAAAAACTTTCTGTTCGTGTCCTCCACACAGAAGCATCACGTGTCTCTTATAACCTTAAGTACAAAATGTATGTTCAAACTATGCTTAGACCCGGGGTTTTCATCATTTTTTGGTTGCTCATTGATCTCCTTACTGTTGCAGCACCCTGCCATTCCCCAGCAGCTGCATAAACATTTGATAATAAAACATGATCACTAGAGTTGTTGGGATCCATCTCCAAGAGCCTTTCATTCACAAGCTCAGCTAATTGAACTTCACCATAGGAGCTGCAAGCACCCAAAAGAGTCCGCCAAATGATTGCGTTTGGGGGGATAGGCATTTGTATGACAAAATCATATGCCATTTTCAGTTGTCCCGCCCTACTGTAAAGATCAACCATACAACCATAATGCTCGATATCGGGCTCGATGCCATATACTCTTGCCATTGTATCGTAAATATGTTGTCCTTCTTTGAGTAAACCAGAATGGCTACATGCACAAAGAATTGAAGTAAATCCTGCCCGATTCGGACTATTTCCAGAAGATTCCATATCGCGAAAAAGTTGCATTGCCTCGTCACCATAGCCTTGCATTACTAGCCCAGTAATCATACAAGTCCAAGAAATGATACTCTTCTTCCCTGGAATCCTTTCAAAGACTAAGCGAGCAATACCCAGGTTCCCAGACCTCGCATAACAATCCAAAAGTGCATTATTCACCGAGATAATCCACGCCATCCCAACTTTCTCTACAAATCCATGGAGGGATTTTGCAGATTCGAACTCCCCAGATTGAGCACATGCAGACAGAACCCCTGTCAGGCTCACCTCATTGGGAGCAGTTCCTTCCCTCCTCAACTCCCTAAAACACCATAATGCCTCATCAAAATACCCATTACACGCAAACCCATGGATCATAGTGCTCCAAGAAACAATGTCCCTTGTTGGCATTTGGTCGAAGATCTTCTGGGCATAATCCATTTCTCCTGCTCTGGAATACCCAGCAAGCATCAAATTCCAAGAAGTCAAGTCCCTTGAAGGCATCAAACAGAACATTCCATCAACACTCCTCAAATCTCCAACCCGAAAATAAGCAGTAAGCATGGCATTCCAGGCAACAACATTTGGTTCAGACATTTCGTCAAACACATTCCTTGCAAATCCAATGTGCCCACACTCGGCATACATGCTGATCGTGGTAGTCCCTACAAAGAGATGGGAACTGAGGCCACGAGAGAAGGATTGACAATGCATCTGAGACCCACTCTTAAAACACCTCATATTCGCTGCAGCCTTGAGCGTGAAAGCGAAAGAGAAGCTATCCGGAGGGGACTGCGAGCTCCGAAGCATGCTTACAAAAGTCTTGAGGGAATCCTGAGGTGAGTCCGACTCGGCAAATCCGCGTATGAGTGTGTTGTACATGAAGGCGTCTGGGGCCGGGAGGCCGTGGAAGAGGCGGCGAGCGTAGGCGAGTGCGTCCGCTATATTTACAGCGCACTGAATGAGGAGCTTCGCGGAGATGAATTGGTCGGATTCGAGACCGATCTTGCAAAGGTAAGCGTGGAATTGTTTGACGCATTTCAGAGTCTTGCAGTTGGTCAAGAGCGAAAGGCATGAAGCTTCAGCACTGCTCATTTGCTCTTCATTTCCAAGCACAAAGGGCTTGAACTTCTTGCGTGCTTCACTCTGCAACGTTTTCAATTCACGGTCCCTCCCAAAATTATTTTTCTTATCGCATTTGTTTGGGAAGAATTTCTTTTTCAAAATAATCATTTTCCATTATTAATATTTAAAATTAATTTATAAAAAAAGTTTTGAAACAATGTAAAAATATTTTTAAAAAAATTATGTCACCAAAAGTAGGGTGTAAACGGATATTAATCGGATCGGATGTACCATTACCAGATCCGATACTAAAAATCAAAATCGTATCCTGATAGAATTTAGGATGGGGTATGGACATCTGGATTGGGTAATAAGACACTTGAATTGAACCACATTAAAAGATTGAATCCAATCGATTAGTTAGTTCAACTCAAGGGCTTATATACCGGGTTATTTTCTCTTCAAGTTCCGATGTGGGATACTCTTAACACTCCCCCTCAGGTGGACAACCGGGCCATTTTGAATCTAACCGGTTGACCACTTGCAAATGAACTCTCATTCCCTTGACTTTGTTTTTTTTAGTGCCAACACCTAAAGGACCACGAGCAGCTGGGTATAGACTTTCAGACGTGCAATCAGACACCTTGACACACGAGGTGGGCCAAAACCTGCTTTGATACCATGATAGAATTTGGGATGGGGTATGGACATTTGGATTGGGTAATAAGACACTTGAATTGAGCCACATTAAAAGATTAAATCCAATCGATTAGTTAGTTCAACTCAAGGCTTCAAATTCCGATGTGGGATACTCTTAACATATCCACATCCGTCAGATAACGGTCGGATATCGGATATAGTCATATCTGTTTCCATTTTTTAAGTTAAATTGAAAATACTTTAATTTCCAATTAAATTAAAGTCAACATAATATTTATTCAATTGTAATTTGTTACGGAATAATTTTTTCTTATTTTTTATAATTCATAGTAATATTCTATGACAACTCCATATGGTAAAAAGATATACACAATAAACATACACACATAATTTTGTGTCCACACATATATTTTGCATATAAAAATGTCTTATACTTTTAGATGTCAATAAAAAACAAAATATAATAATAAAAAGTAGGTAAAATTATATATAACAGATCATATATACAGATAAACGATTGCTTGAAAAGATGTCTATGCGGAGTGGATTATAAACGGATCAGATGTATGATTAACAAATTCGTATCCGTTTACCAATTGGATATCCTTAACCGGATACATATAATAATCGCTTTTAACGGATGCGGATATTTTCTGTATAAACGAATACGGATGCGGATGGTAATCGAATTTTTGGTTATCCATTTACAGCCCTAACCAAATGTAAGAAATTAAATTTAAATTTTTTTTTTTCAGGCAAATATTTTCTCATCTATTAAACTCACCTTAAGTCTCTTTTCTTTTTCGATCCTTCTCGATTTATGTTACTATTTAATGATGGTCTCCTCTCACATGTAAAGGCATTTTTTATTTTTCTGATCTGATTAGTTCTCAACTAAATTTTTTGATATCTAATTTGAATTAATCTGATTGAATTTAAATTAATCTGTATAGATTTGATTTGATCTCAACAATATTTGAATACTTTTGGGGATACATTCCCAAACCAAACTGATGCAACTACTGGAAGAAGATGATTAAAACTAGAGAAGAGTTTGCTGAATGAGAATGGAGGCAGAATATGAAGTACAGAAAGGTTATAATTGGCTAGTGGGTCCAAAGGAGCCTCCCTACTGGTCCAAATGGGGTTGGAGTGGGGTTTGTGTACCAAAACACAAATTTATTTTTTGGCTGATGTTGAAGAATAGAATGCCAACTAGAGACTGGTATAATACTTAAAAGGCAATGAATACTATACTACATAAAAAAGAATTCAAGGTGAATGAAATAAAATTGTGACTTTTGGTGCAAAAAAACTAAAAGATATGGAGTAATAAAACTATTACAATAATTTTAACTTTAATTTGAGTCAGATCAATTTTTTTCAAATCAAATCAAATATATTTAGATAAGATGTACTCATATCCATTCAAATATTGTTTTCTTTTTAACAAAAGTACTCTTATTTTATTCACACTAGTCTTTTAACCCGTGCCATGCACGGGTGGAACAAATATTATATTAAAGGATTATATTTTTTATAACTAAAAAGAAATTTTTATACAATCCTTTTTTAATTATGAAACATTATAAAAGCTTAAGTAAGATTGTAACAAAAAGCACCCTAGCTTGGATGGTTAGAAACTCAATTAAATGACCAAGAGATCCTTGTTTCAAACCCCATGGTCGTGCTTTAGTTTTGCCAAATGTCGCTGCATCAGCTCGCCACATGTCGCGCTTTAGCTCTGTCAAATGTCACATTTTTATAGCTCCGACTCTGCTATATATATATAAAGAATAAAGGATATACATGATTATGAATAGAACTTCTCCCATATTTGAACTCCAAAGGAAGCAAATGCATTGACTCATTGTGTGTCATTAGGTTGAAAAAAATACGAGCAATTATTCTATATCCTTAACATCTAAATTTGGTTCTTATCCTTAAAAAAAACTTTGCATGTCAAAAAATTTAAAAATAATTTACCTAAAATAATCCCACCTTTCAATTATTTTCCAAAAATATGTATTTTCAAAAAATCATGTTAAGTGGCCATTAGGTTTTTAACGGCGGCCCAAAACTCGCACACATGCAGAAAGGTAAGATTATTTTCGGTGACAGTGAAAAGTGAGATTATTTTTGAAAAGGGGTGATGAAAAGATGGGATTATTTAAAATAATTTTCCAAAATAATATAGCGATATCAAAAATTTGTTTTATCTTGAATTATTAATGAAAATTTGTTTTAAAGTACCAAATTTTAATTAATTTTACGGAAATGTTTATTAGTGTATGATTTTTTTTAAATAAATACTCTCTTCATCCACAAATTTTCTTCGTTACGACGTTTGAATAAAATTAGTTTTAATTTAATTGATATGATGATTCGTGTAAAGTTAAATAATAAAAAATACATAAAAATAAGATCAAAAGTTTTACAAAATTAGAAGTGACATTATTATATTATTTTCACACACAATAGGTATCAAATCTCTATTATGCAGCTTTGTTTTATAAGGTTTAAGGAAGGGGGCGAGATGAGAGTAGTTTTTTGCTTTGTTCGTAGAATTAGAGGACTCATACAATTACAAAGAAAATGAACATTCATCTATAGGAAATATAATCATTTTTTCTAAAACATGATTTCCTACTACTTATGTAACCAAGAAAAAATTAGATTTAGATTCTTTAAAAACTATTTTTCTCACAACAAAAAAAGAATTCTAAAAGTCAGAATCCAAAAGAACATTGCCTTTAATAAAAAATTATACTCCCTCCGTTCCACAAAGGGAGAAAGACCAAAATAGGACTAAAACATTGAAAATATACCAAAATAGGACTTCCATGTTTTTATTCCCGAAATAGGACTTACATTACCAAACATGGTTATATACATTACCAAGAAAATATAGTAATTAGTACATGTACACTGCCACATTACCCAAATGCAAAGTCACATTACAACAGTGCAAAGTCCTATTCCAGGGAAAAAACATGAAAGTCCTATTTTTGTACATTTCTCTATGTTTTAGTCCTATTTAGGATGATTTCTATTCCACAAAATCCTTCCTCTTTCGTTTTTTTTGCATTCCACAAAACACTTCCACTTTCTATTAAAAAAATCACTTTTACCCTTACTATTTCATACCCTACCTATAACATCTTACTTTTTCACTAATAACCAAACTATCACATCTTACTTTTTCCTATCACATTAGGGGCAAAATTGGAAAATCAACCAAAATTACACTTTCCTTATTTTTCCCCAAAGTCAAAACCGGAAAGGTTTTATGGAACGGAGAGAATATAATATAACAAAATTTCGTTCCACCCGTGCATGGCACGGGTTAAAACACTAATAAGTAAAAAAAAAAAGTGGAGCAAATGACCTAGGACACAAATTCTCTTCCAGCGGTAGTCAGCATGTTAGAACCGTGACAAGCATCTCCACGCCCAAACGCAACGCTTTCTTTCAACGCCCTTTGTCAAATTGTCCAAACCTACATCGCTTTCATGAATATTTTTGGTAAAGCCGTTTCGCGACTCTTGGTTTTATGCCACAGCTTTCAGCGATTTTGGCAATGCTGCCACTGTTCATCAACAAAAAATAATGATTTGTAATCATTGAAGTGGACGCACCAAAAAAGGCGTCATTTGTGGTCTAGATTTGGCCCTCAATTGAAAGGTTTACATAAATACCCTCATAAATTTCTGTCCATCGAGATTACATGAATTTTCTACATGTAGCTGAGGACTGCGAAGAGTGGAAGCTTGGGTAATTAAGTGCCTTAATTATACGTTTATTAAAAACTACTTGAATTTGTTGATTGTTGATATGGAAGCTAGTCTTCTGACATCACATGCTTAAATGGAAAATTGATTGTTCTCCATATCTGTCAAGAACATCCAGAGTTTGGGTACTTTTCTTTTCTTCATTTTGTGTTAAGGTGAACATTTTTATCATCCAGGAGCTATTTGGATGCTATTTTGATTTTCGCATCTTTCCTTCTAAAATTCAACTTTTTGTTTACTGACAGACAGGAAAGGGATAGTTTCATAGTGGCTGTCTTTGAGCATGACAGAGAAGGAAGCTACATGGTCTGAAAATGGGAAAACCCCTCTTTTTATTTTCTTCAGGGATGCAAGGTGGAATTTTTATTCCCTTTCCCAATTCTTGATTAAATTGAATCACTGTACCTAATACTAATTATATACTCCGTATCTTGTGTATAAGAAAAGGCAGTTTTCTGTATATTTTCTTGACAATTATGAAGGTATAAACAGACTTGTTTTTTTAAGGAAAAAAAAAATGAAGGAAAGATGTTTGCATATGTAAAGGTAGTTTTATTTGTATCTTATTAACAATTTTGAAGGTGTAACAGATCAGTTTTCAAGTTAGATGAGCTGGGTGTTGAAATAGCAAGGATTGCAGTCCCGGCAGCACTTGCTTTGACAGCTGATCCTATTGCTTCTCTAGTCGACACAGCTTTCATAGGCCAATTAGGTATCAACTTCAGTTATTGCCTGATTTCTTTAATCGTTGTGTGTGTTTGCCTAGTGGTAAATTATGTGGGTTTATGTCAAGTCTTGTTTTGGAAATGGTGCACAGGTTCAGTGGAACTTGCTGCTGTGGGAGTTTCTATTGCTGTCTTCAACCAAGTCTCTAGGATCGCAATCTTCCCCCTTGTCAGTGTCACTACCTCTTTTGTTGCTGAGGAAGATACTATTACAAGGGGCAATTCAGTTCCTCAAGACCCTGAAAGCTTTGACATTGGTGGATCAACGCCGGGCTGTGAATGCAAAAAGTTGATACCTCAAAATGGTATACCTTCTGTCCATAGCAGTCCTGCTTAGACTACTATCTATGGCCCTGTTTGTTTCCATGAAACAAACAGGGATGAAAAATATTTTCATGGTTTATGTTGAGTTTCCCACATGGGTTGTTTATTTGTGTGTTTGTTTTGTACTTTTGTTTATTGTGTTTAAGTCTATTCTTGTATATAAATGTGCGGTGGGATGATTTAAGGTCAAAATACTGTGAAAAATCTATTGGTTTGTCTGACTTCAGCTTTGCTGATTAGATTCTGAAGATAGTGGACAAGTATATGAACCAATTGCAAACAGCTTTGAAGTAGAAGCTTCTAATAATAGCATAAAGCGTCACATCCCATCAGCCTCATCAGCTATGATCATTGGTGGCATCCTTGGCATCATCCAAGCTATACTGCTAATAGCGGGAGCAAAGCCCGTGTTGAATTTTATGGGTATCAAATCTGTAAGTTGAGTTGTGGAAGTGAAAGGAATGTTTTTATAAGTATTTCATTTCTTTTTTTTTGTAGGCAGGTTTGGTTTATTGAATTCTTGTTTTTGCAACGTCGATAGGGTTCACTGATGTTAAAACCTGCACAGCAGTACTTGGCATTGAGGTCACTTGGAGCGCCAGCAGTTCTCCTCTCTTTAGCCATGCAGGGGGTTTTCCGAGGATTTAAGGACACAAAAACTCCACTTTTTGCTACTGGTGGGTCCTTTTGGAAGTCGGAAAATGCTAGGGAAAGAAAATGTTGGGAAATGAAACCTGCTATTTTTTTTAATAAAAAACTTGTGCTCTCTGTCTTTCAGTGGTGGGAGATTTAACAAACATAATTTTGGATCCTATTTTCATATTTGTTCTTGGGCTAGGTGTAAGAGGTGCAGCAATTTCCCATGTCATATCTCAGTAAGTTCGATAAGGAGCATAAACAAAGATACAAACCTCTCCTATTGGAATGATACAATGAAACTTTCAAAATAGTTTCTCACTTGAATATCTGTTTCAGGTACCTTATTTCGGTCATACTTTTTTGGAGATTAACGGAGAAAGTTGATTTAATTCCCCCTAGACTCAAATACCTGCAATTTGCCCGATTTCTTAAAAATGGTATGCGCCTTCTACCAATGTTTTATAAAATGAAGATCATGGTATCTATTGTTCTACTTCTATATATTACTGCAACCCCTATGTTTTTTAATATGCATTTTAATGTATGAAAACTTAGGTTTTCTGTTATTGATGAGGGTGATAGCTGTTACATTCTGTGTAACCTTAGCTGCATCGTTAGCTGCACGATTGGGACCGACACAAATGGCTGCATTCCAGGTGTGCTTGCAGGTTTGGTTGGCAACATCTCTTCTAGCTGATGGGTTGGCCGTTGCAGGACAGGTTAGAATGTATTAAATAAATAAATAATCTGACTAAACAAATTATCTTTGAGCTGTGGTTCACTGCAAATTATATATGTGACCAATGTTAAACTGAACTTAACTAACATAAAATTAAAGGATCATATAACGTTACACTTGTATACTAGAAAGAAAACCTGATGTGAGAAGTTCAACATAATTGAGCATTTTCATGTTCTACTTGTTCAGGCAATACTAGCAACTGCATTCGCAAAGAACGAGTTCAGTAAGGCAACTTCTACTGCGTCCCGTGTGCTACAGGTGCTTTGCTTCAACTTATATTTCAGATATTTTTTGCATTTCTTTTGGAGAAATATCAGTAATTCTTGATGCCTGCAGCTAGGAATAGCTCTTGGGCTGATCCTCGCTGTGTTTCTTGGAGTTGGTTTACATTTCGGAGCGAGGCTGTTTACAAAAGACGCTGATGTCATCGCTCTTATTGGTGTTGCCATCCCGGTATCTCTTCTTCCATTCTCGAGAAATATATTATGCCATAGTACATACAGCACTAAATTCACTCCCATATTTTTACCACTAAGAAACTTCTTACCCTTTCTTGGCATACATCAGTTTGTTGCAGCAACTCAACCAATCAATGCTTTGGCCTTTGTTTTTGATGGAGTGAACTTTGGTGCATCAGACTTTGCATATTCTGCCTATTCCATGGTAAGTCTGTCAATCCATCCCATTTTGTAACTTTTTTTGCTGCAACTATAAGGCGAGGAGTGTAGCAACTTGTTACCGGTGATAAAGATTTATTACCAATAACGCTTTGCCTGAATCTGCAGGTTACAGTGGCTATCATCAGCATCATACTTTTGTTCATTCTTTCATCAACATCTGGGTTTGTTGGAATATGGATTGCCCTTACCATATATATGAGTCTGAGAGCCATGGCTGGCTTTTGGAGGTAAGAACACGTCCCATCTGGCCAATGCCTAGAATGTGTTTAGTGAAAATAATGAGAAGCTGAATTCATTCTTGAAATATTTACAGGATAGGAACCGGAACAGGTCCATGGATGTTTCTAAAGAGCTAAACTCGCAAATGTTGTTGAAAGATTCAAACTTTGCCCTGTGTTGTTGCTAATGTACAGTTTTCGTGTAAACAACATATAGATAGAGACAAAATTAATCTCATGTGTTGACATGGAAATACCTTGGCTTTCGTGTACTGGGTGTGTCTATACACACACGCGCGCACGCGCACACACACACATATAATGGTCAACCGTCATGTTAAACTAGGTTGAAGCTTTGCAAAGGATTATGTAGGTGGGTGGGTTGAGTTGGTTCTATGGTGGAACAAACTTGTAGCAAGCGTCCCCTTTGGTAGTCCTGTGTTGAAGGCGACGATGTTATCAAAAGAGTCTTAAAAAGATTTTGGGAAAAGCACAGAAAACTTTCCCACTTGTGTTTTTCAAAAGAGTCTTAACCAGGAATTCCATATAAAATCAATTTTAGATCACCAAAATCATGTTCAAAATAGCATGAATGTGAGAAAATGAAAATTTACTAAGGAAGCCAATATCCTCTTAGTAGCTCATTCCAACAAGTACTGTTGGAACAAGAAGCCTTGAAACCTTGAATGCTTCAGAAACCTTGTGTTTTTCCCAAGTGAGACCTCTTCCTTGCCTCCATTGTAAGGTATGTCCTACAGTTTTCCCATCTGCAAAAAGAAGTCAACAAACAAAATAACTCTTGCCCCCAAAACGGGTACGACAAACATAACCTCAAAAACTTATTTAAATATTTTTATGAATGACGGGTTGCCTCCCGTTAAGCGCTTCTTCAACGTCCATAGCTTGACGTTCACCCATTTTTTCTGTGACTTTCCAATTCGAGAGTCATAGAGTTTGGCCCTTTTGATTCCCTTCTGATGCCACCTTGTTTGATGTTTCACTCGGTCAAGGTCCAGGATCCTTAACTCATCACTGCGGCTTGGTGGCAACATGATATAAGAAGGAGACAATAGATAGGTGGGTGGTGGCGGAAGTCTCCTCAGCAGATCCACATCATTAGCCTTGGTTACAAGATTGATTTCTTCTTTATCTTCAATCGGCTGACTATCCATTTGTGGTTCAATGTTTACGACCGTAATTACCCCCATGGAAGAGTCTTTAGTGTCACTCATCAGAAAATCATCCCAACTTGTTTGGCTCAAACTCTCCTTCGGGTAGACATTGTCACACTCGTCAAGTAGGGAGTCAAAGATAGTTTGGTCGGAATCATTATTTGCACATGTTTCTATAGACGGAGTTGGACTTTCTACGCACAGTATTTCCTCGTCTATAGATTCCTCCTCTGGACAGTGGAATCTTGGGGGTAAGTAGTGGGCTCTATTTCCTCCAAAACAGAATCCTCTAGAGGTGTGTCTCCAACACGATTAAGAAGAGGGAAGTTTATTGCCATTGGCAAAACCTCCTCATCCTTCTTTGGCTTGAGTGAGCGTAGGTGGTTCTGAGTCAGGTCCCTCAGTTGGTTCCACCTCATGCACGACTTTGCTGGTTTGGCTAGGAAGGGGTTCAGGTAACATCACCACAGTAGCTCTAGCGAGAGTTGTTATGCTCTCGATTTCTTTGATGGTGTTGAACTGGGTAAATCTTCTAGAACCGGGACCTTATGATTGATTGGTTCAGAGTTGGTCTTAGGTTTTAGATCCTCCTCTTGAGCAATAACCTCCCCCAATTCTTTATCGACATTTTCTATGGATGCACTCCTCTAGGACAATAACCTCACCGATATTCTTTAATATTTAGAATGAAGACCGGTCCAGAATAAAAAACTTACCTGGAAACTATCTGGTCTTAGATCGCAATGGATCAAATTTATACCGGCCCTTAATATTTAGAATGGAGACCGGTCCAAAATTTTACAGGTCTAGCCCGGAACAGATTTTTCTAGTCCAGTCCGGTTTTCCAGTCCAACCCGGATTTTGTACATCCCCAACATTAGTGATGCTCTAAGGAGAAGATAGAAAAGTGGGATTGAAAAACGAAATAAAGAAGAAAAATTTTATAATTCAAAATATTGGGCTAAAAAAGTTGAAAAGACGGGAAATAAAGTGAATAAGAAGGAAACAAACCTCACACGGAAATATACTTAGAAAAAAGATAAAATAACATAACATGATATAGTTATGATATATTGATAAATGTAAATTTTAATATGAAATAAAATATATCTAAAATATATTCGAGTGAAAATATATCTGATAAAAAAATAAATTCGAGCTGAAATATATGTGAAACCCAAATCCAAATATGAATAAAGTTGAATTAAATTCAAAACGAAATCAAATGGAACCGAAATGATTCTAATATGTATCCAAAAGATATTCTAATTGAATAAATCTGTACAGAAATCCATCTGATTGTCAAAGTGTAGACAACTTTAGTTTACACCACTTGTACATGACTATACAAAGTGTGTTACCTGCATACATACAGTTGTTGAATGTTTGTTTGTAACACGGGAAAAAGACTAAAATAGGAAAAACAATAGAAATATATCAAAATAAGAGTTTTATGTTTTTATTCTCGAAATAGAAGTTAAATATATTTATAGTGCGAATCATGATCATATACATTATCAATAGGTATTGTGAAATATTCATATACAGTACCATATTATTATAGTACGAACTTCTATTTTGGTATACAAATTTATTTTGATATTATTCAAGTTGATTTTTTGTTCCCATGACATTGGGAACCAATGTCATGGGATGACCCGGGGGTGCTCCGGTGCCCCGTTCGTAAAATTGACGGTTTCTACCCCTCCTAATCCCCCCGGTAAACCCCCCACCCCGACCCGAACACATCCCACCCCCTTCAATTGCATCCCACAAGTTGATTTTGACTTTGGAGTCAAAATTTGACTCCAAAGTCAAAATCAACTTGTGGGGTGCAATTGAAGGGAGTGGGGGGGTGCGTTCGGGTCGGGGCGGGGTGGAGGGTTTACCGGGGGAGTTAGGAGGATTAGGAACCGTCAATTTTACGAACGAAGCACTAGAGCGTCCCGGGTCATCCCATGACATTGGTTCCCAATGTCATGGGAACCTTGGTGTTTTTTGTAACACACTATTATATGGTGGATTTAATTATTTAAACCTAGCATAACCCATTGGCATAACTTAACAAGTTAACAACCACCCTGGCACCCTCCATTTGAGAACCAGATTTTGTGCGGTTCAACCCTACTGAAGACTGAAGCACCCAACAGTCAAACACGAGAACGGAGGACGAACCCTAGAAACCGCGCATACGGACTGGAAAGAAGAAATCTGCATCTCAAGAAGCAAAGCAAACGGGGGACGCGGACTGGCGATCAATTTATGCAGCGTGAAACACTATTACTATAGCTGAAAAAAATGTATTATAGAGGGTAGGAACTATGGCGCTCTTGCTCGTTCATTTTCTTCCTAGTATCCTTTCTCACATCTTTCTTTATGCTTTCGTTTTTTTAATGTCATTCTTTTGGAATTGGGTATCTCTTCGATTCTACCATTTTGATCATTTTAAATGGCTCCATCCGGTATTAGTATGAACCACGACTGTTTATTTTTTTCCTGATATTTGTTTAATGCCAAAAGTTTTTTGTTTTGAGCCGTAATTCTCCCCGATCGAGGTACTGCTTTCATAACCTTAGCAGTTTTTTAAATGATGTCTTTACTCGTCTATGGAATACGTAGTTGCTTCATTAACTATTTCCAGCATGTTCGATTTATTTTTGTTTTACATTACCTGAGTAGGAAAATAATATAAGTGCTGCCAAGAACATAAACATATTTTCATTGATACCTATACTGTTGTTGGGTTTTGATTGTAACCTTGAAAATGAGAGCCCTATTATATATGAGTGGGCTTGCGAATTTTTCTTTGCCTTATGGTACAGAGAGGCATGCTTATTCCTCTAGTGCTGTGTAATTGTAGAAAGATCATACTCTTTTGTTATCAGAAGGTTACTGCATGAAATGACATAAAAGTTTGTTCTTTATGATTGATATATGCAGAGGATATATGGATGGTGGTGATTCCAGGGAAATGGGTCTGAAAAGGCAGCGTATTATGGATCAAAGTTCTTCTTATTACTCAATTCCATTGGGTTCAAGTTATATGTACAATCCAGCTCCGCCTCCCCCTGCTCTTGAATACCCTTATATTGGCCAGCCTCCTCCACCTCTCCCTATTGTCCGACTTCGAGGCCTCCCATTTGGTTGCACAGAGGGTGAGATAGCAGATTTCATGCACGGTTTGGATGTAGTGGATGTGCTTCTGGTTCACAAGGGTAAAAGGTTTACCGGGGAAGCTTATTGTGTTCTTGGATACCCCCTTCAAGTTGATTTTGCTCTTTCAAGGAACAAGAAAAACATTGGGCGAAGATATGTTGAAGTTTTCAGAAGCAGCAAGCAGGAATACTATAGAGCTATAGCTAATGAAGTATCTGATGCAAGCAGTGAATATATTCCAAGGGCTAGATCTGCTGAAGATTTAGCAGAACATACTGGAGTCTTACGGATGAGGGGAATGCCATTCTCAGCTTGCAAGGAAGATATTATTGACTTCTTCAAGAATTTTTCACTTCTACAGGACTCAATTGTTATACTTGCTAATTCAGAGGGAAAGCCAACCGGTGAAGCATTTGTGGAGTTTGCAAATGCAGAAGATTCAAGGGCTGCAATGGCCAAGGATAGGATGACAATAGGGAGTCGCTATATTGAGCTTTTTCCTTCATCTCGTGAAGAGTTGGAAGAAACAGTTGCAAGGGGCAGGTGATTACTTTCTTCTTTTCACAGTTATCTAAAAAAGATAAGAAAAACTGCTAATTTTCCTCTGCTTATTAATTGCTAGTCAGTTTTGTTTTATGCTTCCCCACCCCCTCCCCCCACCCCAATTTCTTCTTAGGCTCTTACACTAACACTATGTTTGGCTCAAGGATTTTGGAAGGAAAAGAAAAGAAAATGGTTTTCTCTCATTTTCCTCACCAAAATGGAAGGAATTTGATTTTCCCTCCACTTGGTACATTTTGCCTCCTCATTTTCTTTTCCTTCCACTTTTCCTTTCTTTTCCCCTCTAACCAAACAAGAAAAATGGTTTTCCACTTCATTTTCTTTTCTTTTCCCTTTCAAATTCCTTGAACCAAACATAGTGTAAGGGTCCTGTTTCGAAACTAAAAAAATAACTCATTTTTAGAATATCCTTCCATTTCATTGGTGTGGGGGAAAGTAAGAAAAATGACTATTTTCCCCCCTGGTTAGTTTGTTTCCCAGGATAATTGCTCCTCTTAATAAATTAAATGAGTACTTTGCAACTAATAGTTATGTTCCCTAAATTAATTTTCCATCTCAAGTGGAATAGATGCATGAATTGTTAAGCATTTTAGCTCAGTAAATTTGGACGGTTCAAGCTGCCAACCACCTACCCTATGCGCTCATATCCCTAAGTTCCTCTATAAATAGGAAAGATCAATATGTTCTAGAGGACACATGATTTATCCTTTTCTTCCCGGTTACTCTCTATTACTGTTTTTTTGTTGAGACATGAAGTTGAGTGCTTTGATTGTAAATATCCTTAGAGTGTTGTTCTTCCCAATTACAAGCCATGGATGACCTAAGCCCTTCTTCACCCCACATGTAGTCCCCATGAGATTCCGTGGATGATGGTTTTACATTTTATCAGTGATGCTTCCTAAAAATGCAACCTGAGAGACATCTACCTTTCAGTGTTTGTAGAATTATATACAATCCTTCATGACAAGCCTACCAGTTTCAAATCATATCGAGTTGAAGCATCACACATCAACAACTCGTAAAAGGATTTTTGTGATTCAAAATTTTGCATGTCACATGAGTTGAAGCCTCACAGTATTAGTGGTGTACTGGTGTTTATTCGTACAATACTTTGCTTTGATCACAAATCATCACACTAGTCCCAAAAGACTTGTTTTTTGAACTTTCACTATAACCATTTGAAAAGCCACTAGTGGTTCTATAATCCTCTCCACCCTCACCATACTATTCACCTCAAGATGATCAATGGATTTTCTTCTCATACTTCATGTCACCATATAGGAATTTATTGAACATATTTTCTAGGGTTTTGATAGTGCATACTGTGCGTTTAGGGGAATCAAAAACTTGCAACAAGGACAAAGGCATGAAGTCATGGACGTGGTTAAAAAAACCATTCTCCCTGCCATTGACAGTAATCCACTTTCCAACATAGCAAAATAGCAGCCTGTCTCACTAGTTTGGTTATAATTGTACTAGATACATAACACATGATCGTAGTAGATATATAACACAAAGTAATGGACCTGTAATCATTCCAATCGACAGAATTTATCAATCGGTCCATGAAAGAAATAGAGGACAAGCTACATCAGATCTTCCCTAAAAAAGTCACCTCCTATCCTCCTGTCCATCCCGGATTTGATGAAATCATTAACCACTTGCTCAGTAATCAAAGATGGGATATTACCTGGAAGCCCAGTAACCTTTATATCATCTATGGGACTGTCTCAGAGAATATGCAAGAGAAGTATTCCAGAGTTAGGCTCACTTATCTGATTTTTTTAACTTTTCATGACCTCATATATCTTGATTTCTCCCCTGATACATGTAACAATCTGATGGAAATAAGCTGTTTTTCTGAAGTCCCACTCTACCAACCACCTAATTCCACATCTTTGTTTCAGAAATTGCTCGTCATTTGCAAGATGTAAATTTAATTACGCATTAGCCTCATCTCAACTTTGGTAGGATTATGCCCAAACTTGTCCTCGATGTTGTTAGCCTCTGTCTCCGCATTCCCAATGTAAGAAAATACCAGATTCAGGTACAAGAATAATGATATGATGGTTTTACATTTTCTAGAAGAGGAAGATCCCGATTTTTCAGTACAAAGAAGAAAAAGTTTGATGTTAGTATATAAGTATATTACCATTAACCCTAGATTTTAAGATAAAAAAGATAAAGAAAAGTGCCCGTAATCAATCATTTCCCATGACGACAAAGTAGTGGGATGGCGGTAGGCTCCATGGATGATGGAGAGAAGCGTTGATAATGTATGAAGAAGAAAATGGGTGATGGGTGAGAAGAAGAGTGACATTATCATAGAACATTAGTCCAATTGTGGTATTTTCATTTCACACAGTATTTCAGAGTCAACCAAATATTGAGAAATCCAAACATGCCTTATGGCAATTCCTTTGTATAAAAACTAACACTTGGTTATCTGCATAAGATTACGTTTCAATCATACTTACTGTGCTCTCATTTATAATCAATAAATTCCTTTATGTTATGTTTGGCAAATCCAGATTTGGTTTAAATTGGATTATCGTGCTCTCATTTCCTTACTGTGCTCTCATATATAATCAATAAATTCCTTACTGTGCTCTCATTTATAATCAACAAATCAATAAAACTTGGATTTGGATTTCAAACCCGGATTTGGTTTAAATTCCATGTTTGGGAAACTTAAAAAATTTGAATATGGATTTAAGTCAAATTTCTCTCATTCATAACCAAGCTCATTATGAAATCCATACATCTCACCTTGTCATTTGAAATTCAAGAGTTCAGATTTTGAAATTGAAATGCTAGCTCCCAATCACTACCTTATTTTCTTTTCTTGTTTTGTTAAATGTGCGAGTAGAACTATGTATTATATACAGTTAAAATTTGAATAGGGCTATTAATATATATAACGAATAAATCGGATTTCAAGAGTTATCATAGATAATACTATGCTCCGTATATTCTTTTCATGGTATCATTAGCATGCATTTTGTATTCTTTTCAGTAGAGATGATGAGCTGGTGTTCTCATTTTAGGAAGAAATACGATTTCTGGAAGGATATATTTTAAAATTAAGTTATAAATAAAGCATAAAATAACTAAACGGGACAATTGGTCAAAAAAAACTAAACGGGACAATGATTATATGGCATCTACTTTAAGTAAACCTGCCCATCATGTTCTTTCTTCTGTATAGTGCTGGGAAATTGTGTACTTGGAAAGTTATTCAAATCTTTTTGTTACATGTAATAAATGTCCCAAAAATGTCTTCACAAAGGAACAACTTTTGATCTGGATGGGTCCTTTAGACATCAGTAGAGTAGTGTAAGTTTGAACTACACTACTACAGCATCTATTTAGTAAAGATTTGTTTGAATGACTCATTACTTATAGCTTGTGTGGATGCCCCATTTGAAATGGAGTGTCATTTAACTCTACTTGTTCTGAAACCAGAGTATTGCAGAAAACAACAGAAGGGGAGGACCTAACTGAAATGACTGCTGTTCTGCGAATGAGGGGACTACCCTATTCAGCTGAAAGGGATGATATTATTGATTTCTTCAAAGATTTTGTTTTATCAGAGGATTCAGTTCATATTACGCATAATCTCGAAGGGAGGCCAACCGGAGAAGCATTTGTTGAGTTTGCAAATCCTGAGGATGCAAAGGCAGCACTAGCAAAGGATAGGATGATGCTAGGTAGTCGTTATATAGAGCTTTTCCAGTCCTCTCATGAGGATCTGTACGAGTCTCTCTCAAGGGGAAGGTGACATATGTGTTTGTGATGTAACGACTTCAAGAAATTTCACTGATTTTGTTTGGGAATTTTGGGCAAGGCCACAAATTTGTTTGCGATGTAACTTTTAGAATCATTACTGAGTGTTTTGCTGAAAGCCAATCCTATCCTACTACATGAGGCTTATGACCTAAAAACAAAGCTTGCACGTGTATAAAATGCACCAAAGAGGTCATGTATGATAATAGGGCCAAAATGTCAATAACACTAAGCATGAAACTATGCCTTAAAAGAAAGTCATATACACGGTGTATATGAATTTCTTTTAAGGCACAGTTTCATGCTTAGTGTTATTGACATTTTGGTCCTATTAGCATACATGACCTCTTTGGTGCATTTTATTTGGTTGAAACTTGGAGCCGCAAGCTCCATGGGTGCGGTATTGTATTGCGTAGGGCTCTGTATTTGGCATTTGTGGCAAACGTTTATTTTATTGGGTGAGCTAGGTTATGCAGCCTGCTTTGATCATTGCTGTTTCCTCGATTATTTTTATGATGAACAACAGAAACTTAAGTATGAGACTTTTTTGGTAGTACCGGTGAATCAGATAAATTGTAATTTATCGTATTCTGTATAAGTTGTTCTCATCATGCATGATCCACTTTTGATTTGCGGTGTTGTTTTAGATGCTTGATTTCTTCGGAGACCCATGTCTTATTTTGCACTTTGGCACATGGGTTCAATATTATATTAATATGTTATCCAAAAAAATGTCATTAACTTGCTTGATCCTATGAAACAAGCTAGTTTGCTCAACTTTCACTACTCATTTTATAATACTCCGGATGAAATAGTATTCACTTGTTTTGAACAAAACTTTGAATTTTGCATATTCAATTAAATAAATTGAATTGAAAAAAAATAGTTGGTCTAGTATCGTAAACTGAAACGAGCAATTCAATTCCGAACTGAGAGAGTAAAATTTATATAATTAAAAACTGAAGACAAGATTTATAAAATCAAAATATGACATAGATGTATTATTTTATCATATGATACATGAAAATATATAAAGAAAGATAAAATCATTTGACAATCTAAATTAGAGAATCAAATGGAACGAAACGTGTTGTACATAGTTTTTTAGTATAATAGTAGGTGTTTGAACGTGACACCATTTTTCTTATTGAAAAATAGGGTTGATATATTAAAAATATAATATAACATGTCATATAAATAACTTTAATCTTTTTTACAAGGGGCAAACTAAGTCGTATCCGCACTCATGTTTTTTTCAATTGTGAGTTGTGACGCATTCGCTGTCTCAATGCCGCACTCCCACTGCACTCGAATTTGCAGAATGTGACCTAGGTTCGAGCTAATCGATAAGTTCAATTGTTAAATTAGGTTTTAAGGGTTGAAAGTCTCTAGTAGTCCATTACCAGCTTCGACTAATGGATTACTAAGTAGTTGTAACTTCCCTAAACTTTATTTTCAATCATTTTGAAGCCTCACTACTCCTCCTATCATCCCCCAACATACAGAGATGATATAAAGACAATTTTTCGAGTACATTGAGAGCTTTGATCATGATAAACACTTCATGTACCTAAGCGTATGATCGTTGTTGATCATAATCTTTGTATGCTTGAGTTCTATACTCGTTGTATGAGCATTCGGTAGTTGATATTACTGTATCCTATTGTATCTTCATTGTATCACATCAATCTATTCATTGAGAGTTCATACTTTGTTGTCCTTTGTTTTCTTTCCTTGTGAAAGAGTGTTATATGTTGGTGTTGAGACTTCACCAAGTGGTTTGGGTAGAAATCTTAATTATTTGTGAAACCAAATGTTTGGTGTATGGAATCTCATGACTTGTGAAATCAAGTCATTGGTAGAAAGATAAGAGGCTTATGAAATCAAGTTCAATTCTCGAGTTGTAAGGTTTGCCAAATACTACTCCGTCCGTCCCATTTTAAATCACTTGTTTTAACTTTTGGGCATATTTAAGGAAGAAAAAAAATAGAGTTGATTTTCCGAAATTGCCATTACTTTTTAGGAAGGGTGACGATGAATGAGAAGATAAGATGGAGAAGAGTGACTTATTTTAGAGGTAGTTTAGGTATTTTACTCTTAAAAGTTTACGATAACAAGTAACAGACAACTTATTTTGGGACAGAGAAAAAAGGCAAACATGCAATTTAAAATGGGACAGAGGGAGTATTAAGTTTGGTGGGATGGTTAATGAAGGGTCAATCAAATATATGAAATAGTTCTCTATACAATAACACTTAGAAAATAATTTGAAATAGAGGATTATATTAAAACTCTTTAGTTATGAAAGACTATTTGTTAGTGCATTGACAAAGTCTTGTATGGCACAAGGGGAGTATTTGTTACGGTGCGTGTAGACTACTCATAAAGAGAAAGAGAGTCTCGAGGCAAGTAACATAAACGAGAGAAAAGGTGAGATGTGAGAGACATATATAATTGGGTAAAATACTGAATTGTCTATTTAGCTAGTATTAATAGGAGCCCACATCATCACGCATGCTTTAGAGGTATGAAATAACAGAATACAAAATATAGGAAACTAGTAAAGCTAATAGTCCCACATCATTCCTTCCCCCTTAGCCACAACTCTGTCCTCAAAGCTTGAACTCTAAACTAGAACAGTACTTCTGTCAGTTGGCCTTTCTTCTTTAGTTTTTTTTGAAAGAATAGGTTCTGGTTGAGGATGGTTATTGGGGTCAATGTCTTGAAACCTATTGGAACTGAGAAGTCCGGATCCGGAGAAGTCCGACTTACGAGGAATCCGGATTCCGAGAGATCCGAATTCCGAGAGGTCCGAATTCCGAGAAATCCGAACTTGAGAAGTCCAAATCCTTTGATGACCGAATCCCATTCTAATTAGGACTGATCTTGATTTATTTGTTTCCTAGTTTGATTATGATTTGTTTCCTTGTAGGATTTGTATTCCTTGTCTATTTTGGAATCATCCTCTCCTATAAATAAAGGAGAAACCCCTTGTAACTAAACAGAACAATCGAATATACAGAATATTTTCCCTCTTATTATTTTCTACAAAACCAGTTGGAATGTATAATGCTGCAAGTAGATCTCCTCTAGAAATTCTTAAGCTACATTTATATGACCCTACTTTACATGAGACATTTGGTGAACCTTAGCTTGAAGAGGAAGCTTGAGCTTATAGGCCTTGAATTGTGAAGCAGGAAACACTGGAGACATCTTGACCTGAGTGAAATGATGAAGTTTACATGCAACTTTTTGTCCACCAAGACTACCAGAAGGGCTTAAAGAGTACCATTGTCTCGAACTGTACCGGTGAGCATTACCTAATTAACTGATTGCTCAATCACCTTTTGGTGTTTGATGGGGCAAACTTATATGGCCTGAACCCAACAAGAGCTGCATCCAGCTGTAGGGGCATAGTGTGGAATAGGGTTTCCTTTCTTTTTCACTACGTGTGTTCAGTCAGCTTTCAAAAACAACCATAATTTACAATTTCAGAATGTTTTTTCCTTTCTTTTTCAGTTTGTGCGTGTTTGGATAAGCTATTTACAAGCGTTGTTGTTACGATAGCTGTCGAGAAACTTTAGATTTTGGATGTTCATTTCTATTGTGATTTGAAATTTCTGTACCAATTTCTTTTTATAGTAGGAGAATATTTCAGGAAGAAATACTAGAGATTTTTAAAAAAAAAAGATAATTTTGAAAAAGTAGGAGGTCGTAACTTAGAAGCTACAGAAAAACTAGAAACCGACCGCCACAAAATGCAGCCGTTGGCTGTGTTTCATCTCTCAAACACATGTTTGGCATAGCCGAAGAAATAAGTGGCGATATGCTAGGAATTATTGAAAGGTTTCTTACAAGTTACAATTGCAAATTGTGAGTTCCTTTGTACAAAGATATGAGCACCACAATGCAAGTCATCCTTCAATGACTCTAAAGCTTTTGCTGTGAGCCAATAATCAGATATAATGTCAGGAAATAAAAGTGAGGGCGTATATAGATAGCATTACACTCCCGAGTGACGAGTATCTCAAAATGCTTTTTCAACTCTTTACCCAAACGGGTTTCGTTTGATTGAAAGTAGTTCCACATCCAACTGTGAGAAAGAAAAAAAAGAGAATGAGATTATGTTCTAGTAAATCATTCCCAGAATCGGACATTAAAAAAAACAAAAATAACCAGAGAGCACACACAATAACAAACTCTTTAACCTGAAAATAAAAATTGGAACATATTATAACTTGTAAAAAATTTCATTATAATTAATTGGCTACGAAATAAACCAAGCAATAAGTGTAGTGCAAGTGCTACTAGACTATTTGTTTTGAGAGAAATGAAAGTCATAAATACAAGGGTCACAAAATATACAAACTTGCCATTTGTATTAAATTTCTACTTTTTAATTATTTAAACCATTTTGTTCTCTTGTTAAAGTGCACAAATAGTAAAGTTGTGTATTTTGTGACCTTTGTGTTTATGATTCTAGCATTTCTCTTACTTTGAACTCATGATGTTCCAGAGAGAGAGAGAGAGAGAGAGAGAAAGTGACCAAATAAAAAAAAGGATCAACAAACCCTTTGAAGTGCTCAAATAAAAAACAAGGGCCTTAGTGAATTACTACATCACAAAGCAGTTCAATGTTTTGAATGTCGAGACTTTGGCCAGATGGATATTCAGTGTGACACTATTCTTAACTGAAAAGGAAGAAAGAGCAATGAAAAGTATTTGGCGTGATGACAACTCTTATGAAAAAGAGTTCACGAGTGATTTTGTGTCCAACAATGCCACTCTTAAGGATCACAATGGTTGCGATTCAAATGATAAGGAGTCTGAAGTAAAGGAGTTCCAAATATGTTATGTGGAGATGTTCACACGGTGGAAAATCATGGCAGAGAGTTCAAAACCTGAGAAAGAACTCGCTAATGAAAAGGAGAACTCAGCCCTCTTGCAGAATAAGCTTCTTGAATCCAGTGACATTCTCAAAGAGAGAGATAGAGAGAGATGATGCAGTTCCCAAACTTATCATTGAGCTTGAGAATCTTTGGTCTCGCATTAGGAAGTTTAATAGAAAAAAAAAAAGAAAAACTTAATGATTTCCTAGGACAAGGACAACACACTATTCATGGTCTGGGATATATGGATGGGGCTTTCCCAGTTTAAATTATCCAACTCTTTCGGAGAAATCTATTGAGTTCATCGGACCCGCTATTCAAAACATCTCTGAACAATTAATCAACAGAGGGCAGTTCAATACCTGTGGATTAGCATATACTGATCGCAGTTTGGCTGGGACCTCTGGTGAAAAAAAACTCGCAAAAAGAGCTATCTAAAGAGATTGAGATACTCCTGCAAAAACCTTGGTAACTTCCAGAGATTGTGTTGGTGGAAGAAGAGATCTGATGCTGAGGAACCTCAAAAGAAGAAAAAAACGTGCTTGTTTGGGTTGCAAAAATAATGTGAAATATGACTCTGACAGATCTTCAACAAAGAGTTTGGCATTTTGATTGTGGAAGTTCACGATATATGACTGGTGGTGCAATCCTGCTATCTGATATGTGTCCCGAAGAGTCAAACTATGTCACCTTTGCTAATTGACAAAAGGGAAACATAATTGGCAAGGGAAATTGAAAAAAAATGTCAAGTATTCCTTGATTAACTGATGTTCTCATTGTCAAGAGATTGAAGTCCAACCTCATAAACATAAGTAAACATAAGTCAACTTTGTGATTGCTTCAAAGTTAAATTCAGCCAAGGAACTTGCATTGAATTCAGCAAAAAAGAAATAACTCTAATGAGAGGAATCAGATCTTTCATTGTTATCTTCTAGACAACTCTACTTTAGATTATCTTCAGGCAGAAGTTAGATCTCACTCCATTGTTGATAAATTATCTTTTTGGCATCAATGATTAGGACACGTGAATAGAAGAGAGATGTGCAAAATTGTCAAAGAACAGTGAGAACATTCCCCAATATGAAGAATGATGAAACCAGGTTTTATGACTCATGTGTTACAAATAAACAAAATAAAAAGGTGTATCATGGGCTAAAGCATATCACAACTTCCAGGATTCTAGAACTCTTGCATATGGATTTGTTCGGACAAACTAAGGTCTACTCCAACAACAACAACAACAGAAACAACCGAGTCGAATCCCACAAAGTAGAGCTGGGGAGGGTGTGTGTACGCAGACCTTACCCCTAATCAAAAGTAGAGAGGCTATTTCCAAAGAGACCCACGGCTCAAGCACCACAAGTAATCATGTACGCAGCATGATAGGCAGAGTGTATCTTAGATCAGGAATAAATCAGGATCCTTGCGAAATTTGGAAAGTAAAGTCTCCAAATCTGAAATACCTGAGTCTTTGGAAGCACGGGGTTCATTCTAAATGATAATGGCAACATAGGGAAATTTCAGCAAATAGTGTGATGAAGGTATTTTTCATGGATATTCAGTTAACAATAATAAATCTTATCGTGAAAGGCTTATCGTGTGTACAACAAAAGAACCATGAAGGTGGTAGAATCACTAAATCTAACTATGAATGATGCTGTTTGTAAAATGGATGTTCATGCTTCCAACAAATGGCTCTCATATTATTTCTAAGGAAAAAACTGGCTTCAACACACACTCCAACAAGGATGAAGCAGTTGATGGAAACGAAATCACATCTGACTCAGAGGAAGATAAAACTCCATAAAAAAGGGGGATCTGGGCTCTACTGTCGAAGAAATTGACATAAACTCACATGCTAAGTTTTTAATGAAACATATAGTTCCTCCAAAGATCAGAAAAGATCATCCAATTGACATCGTTATTAGATATATTGAAGACTCCATCAAACTAAGAAGAACAGAAAGATGGGACTATGCTTATATGATAGAAAATAGTTTCTTTTTCTCCTTGATGGAACTAAAAACCATGAAAGATGCTACGGAGGATGAGCAATGGATTGAGCCTTTGAGGCTATGCAAGAAGAACTGCTGTAGTTCCAAACACTTCAAGTCTGAGAGCTTGTTCATCCACTACCAGGAGCAAATATCATTGGCACTAAATGGATCTTTCCGAACAAAACTGATGAGCATGCTAACATAATAACATAGAAAGCAAGACTGGTTGTTCAAGGGCTCTCTCAAGTGGAAGGACTTGACTTTTAGGAAACATTTGCACTAGTTGATACTTGATAGATTGGAGTTCATTAGATTGCTTTTCAATATTGTTTTAACTCTAGCTAATCTCGAGGGGGATTGACTAAAGGACTTCATCAGTTTGGACTTTAGTCTATGTGCTGGGTTGTTTGACAAAAGACAACTGATGTCCTGAAAACTTAAAAAGATGATGAGGCAAAGGCATAATACTTTGTTTAACAGACTCAATAGAAGACACATTTATGTTTGGGCATCTGCGCATTGCGATTCCTATTAAGAGATCTATTCATGGTCCCAAGATCTTGTTTGTTTCTTTTTACTAGTTGTGATATTATGAAACCATGTTAGGGTTATCTCTCTTAGTTGTCTGACTTGTCTCTATATATACTATGCTATCTCGTCAGAATCGGAGATCATATATACGAGAGTTGTCATTCTTTGAGATTGTGTGATTGATCTTTTCTTAGGCTTGTTGCTTCATCAAATGTAAGCCTTTTATTCTGAAGGCTATACTAGTCTAGAGTAGAATATGTTAAGACTGATGATTAATTAAATAAATATCATTTGATTGGGCTGTCGAAAGTCATGTGGTGTGTTCTTTGTTCAAAATTTATTATTGCTTGTGTTTGATATTGTGAGAAGTGTATCATCTTAGCTAGTCGTGAAAACTTCTCATATAGAAATTAAACATGTCACCTCAATTGTCGCATTTGGAGGAATTTCTTGAACCCCTTTGTTTCCATAAGCTAACTCTGGAGGAACTATCAGCAAACGCTACAAAAAATGATACACTATCATATGTACCAAAAAACATTTAGGAGTTCTTTGAGAATGCAGAAGGAAGGTCCTAGAAGTACGAATGCATAATTTATTTCACTTAATGTCAAATGCTTATCAATACAAAGCATACTCTGTAAAATGTACTAGAAATTACAATTGTGTATAAGTGTAACAAAATAGACTAAATGTTTACTCCAACTATGTTAAAGATTTTATACTCTAACGTACCATAAAGCTAAACTTCTGGTTGACACAGAACACAACTCCTAGTTACTATTCTCACCTGTCCTCCCACTCTCATGCCTTGAACACCGAGATCTAATCCTTTGAGGACTACCCCTTGCTCCGATTGACCAACGTCAAATCCATAAGGCTTCACATAAAGAAAACTATACTGCATTAGATCAAAGTCAACTTTGGAGAATATTTTCTGTTTTTTCACAATCATGACATAAACAATGAGTTTTATCATAAGTAATGATAGGAAATTCAAGTTAAACATCAAGACAGAAAACAATGAAGTAAAATGAAGATGATGATGCAAATTAATCATACCGTTCCTCCTCCAACACCTACTCCTTGTCTGCTTGTCATGAACGTAATGCCTCTCCATTTAGCAACATAATGGACCTATGATAATTTCATCATGATAAACTTCAATTTGTAAGCTATAGTCACATAGTTTTAGTGCATGGAACCAAAGCGCACGGTAACAACAAGTCCAATGTAGTCCCCCCTCCGTTGGAATGTGGAAGATCAAGATGTATACAACCATACCCTTGGAAAAACAAAGAGGTTCCTTCCATTAGACCCTTAATGTGTTGCTACACTTAGTGCCCAAAACTCTATTGAAAGTAAGGAGGGAAATTTAATATGCCATTTTGATTTAGTCCATAATTTATTCAAAACTATAACATTGTAAAAAATGACTTTTTAGCTTCATTGGCAATGAACCTAAAAACTCATCACATATTTAAGTTTGCCTCCCATACAACAACTCTAGATCCCTTCACAGCTTCCGCTCCAGTACCAATCTTTATATCATAAAACCTAAAGAACAAACACAAGTCACACTTTAAATTATGTATACGAACATAAAATGCAATGTAGGTAAGAAATAATCAGTGCAAAAATTGCACCCAACACCCTTGTGTTATTTCAAATAGGCGCAATAAACCTTGTAACAAAAAAAGTCTTCAAAGGCTTTGTCAAATTTTTAAAGTGGCATGACACCCCCTCTAGCGATGTGTGCATACCATGTGACATGCTAGTGTGTGCAAGGCATTGATAAATGACATAGTTTGACCAAAACACCTTTTATGTCTGACTTTTTTTAAGAAAACACTTTTTCACATTCCCTTTGCCTTGTAAAAAGGTTCTAGATCACTTTAAGATGCTTGACTGAAGTTATTTTTAAATTAATTTAAGTGAAAATTGGTGAAATTTTTTAAAATAAAATTTATATATTTAAAAAACTACAAATGTTCTATGAAACAAGAGATGACATCCCTAATTTAATTTGCCAAACGATCAAAGAAAATATGCAAGGATGAAATTGTTTTACCATGTGAATAGTAATGTGGAACCTTTTTGTAGTACGGAGGGAGTATTAAATTTCAAAGAACCACCTTTTACGTTCTGTATTTTTATAAATGAAACCTTCTAAAACGGATTTTGTAGACCAACATTTATTTTTAATTCTACCACATTTTACATAGTTTATAAGGTGATTCCTCTAAAAATATTAAATATATAAGCTGGTTTAAAAAAATGTTTTAAAAGGTCTTTTTTTAATAAGAAACATAAAAGGTGGGTTTTAAAAACATAACTTAACATAAAAGTGGCTTTAAAAAAATGAAAAAATGAATTCTTAAAAAAAAGTCAAACATAAAAGTTGGTTTGCAACAAAATTTCTTTTTTTCTTTTGAATGAAAAGCACATATTTATTTACATCAAAACAGTATTACATCAATCTAACGCAGAAAAAAAGTAATCACATATTGTTGGGTGTGAAGCCAGGAAATTGGCAGGAAACTACCTAGAAGCTTACGGCCTAATCATTGTATATCCTTAATTAATCTCTATTTAAGAGACCATTGTACTTGTAATTGGTGTGCAACAAATGAAATAAAATCCTCCTAGTTGCTCCGTGTGGACGTAGGTTGCAGTTGGCGACCAAACCACGTTAAATCTTGTGTCGTTTAATTTTTCTGCAGTTGATTCGTGATTGTGTGTTGTTTCCGCGTGCGATTATATCCCAACAACCCTTAACCTAACACAGTACTATTCTTACATTTGCTAGCACCTTTTTCCTTTTTTCATTTTCAGCCCCAAACTTTTAATAAGTTAATTTGTAACTTTAAAGAAGGGATGTTTTGGTCAAATTATGTCATATATCAATTCCCCAACTAGTGTGTAGTATGCACACGGGGTTGGAGGGATGTGTCGTCATACCTCTTTAAATTTTTGACAAAGTCTTTGAAGTTAGTTTGAAGACATTTATTTTATTAAAGAGTCTATCACGCCTAATCGAAATGACGCAGGTTCATGCAATTGTCTCAAAAGAATAATAATTCATGTAACGATTTCAAAAAGAAAATTCAAAACTAACTTCAGGCCATTAGGAAGAGTTGTGTAATCACTCTCAGGTATTTTCGCACTTCTAAGCTGCAGCAAAAAAAATTGGTTTTACACTAATTAAGAACATGAATTCAATGCTTTAAAATAGAAACTGATCACCAACACAGGGGAGAAGAATCAATCTTACAGCTCTTCTACTTGTGCTAACAGCACTGGCCACATCACACAGATAAAAGCTAGCAGCTGAACAATTACAGAAACCAATTTAGTTATCACAGTTTAGGGAAACCTAAACCTAAAAATAATTAAACTAAAAAGAAAACTGCCAATAAGAGAGGCTCACAGGTAATGAAAGACCCAACGGTAATGATTAGTGATAATGTAAAACAGAGTTTATTTCAAGAATTTCTCTTCAATGTAATTCCAAGATGAAATTTTGATCAACACAATTACCACTGAATTCAATGATAATGAGATAAATAGAAGCATAAAAAGAAACCCATGAAATTTCGCCCAAAAAAAAAATGAGAGACCCAAGGGTAGAGTTTATTACTTTATTTCAATACTTTCTCTTCAGTTCAATTTCAAGATCAAATTCTGGTAATCAAAATTAGCATTAAATTCAAAGAAAATTGCATAGATAAGAAAGCCATGTAAGTTGGTGGAGCTACCAGCAGCTAAAACACACCCCATTAATGTCCTTCTTCCCTCATTCTGCAAAGACAAGTTTTTTATTGTGGCCTCTTGAGCTGATGAGCAACAACGGAGCACCATTCTTGATTTCCATTTGATGGGTCTGCTTCCTGTGCGTTAGAAGATTCAGTCCTCGCGTACAAATACTCTGTAGTTTCAGTGTGTGCGAGATCAAAAGGGAAAAAGATTGCTTAACTGGAAAAAAATTGAGCTAACAAATTGGATTTGAGAGGATGAAAGATCAGGACAACCATAGTCTCTATTCTCTAACAATTGCAAAAGTTTATCATGGGCCGTTGAGAATGGATATCATTTTCATTTGAGATGAAGCATAGAAAATGGATGGATAATAACATTAGCCAAAATTTCCCAATTTGTGTGTGTAGTCCAATTCGATACTCTCTTTTTTATAAAGAAGGTTGCCTCCTCTTAAACATGTTAAGAGTAGGGGTGGACACGGTACGGTTCCGGCCGGTTCTGGAACCGCCGGTTCCGGTACCGCCACCCCATGGCACCGTCACCGTGCCGGACGGTACCGGTTCCCGGACCGGCGGTTCCGATACTGGACCGGCCGGTTTCGCCCTCCCCCCCTATTTTTTTTTTTGCTTTTTTTAAGATTTTTAAAGTATAAAATTGTAAATTTGCAATTATTTAAGGATCAAATAAATAATCTAAAAATGTAGTTGTTATTTAAATATTTTAAATGAGTAATACACTAACTGAAGAACAACCACATTTAATATCCTGACGGTTCAAAAAAAGCGACGAGGTAAAGAACCGTAAAGAAACCCTCGATGGAGCTTATATATCGCTCACCTAAAAAAACTAATTACATATTTATATTAACATAAAATAAATTTATAACTTATTCTTCAGAACTCGGACTTCCATCTGTGATTGCATTCATGTAATGCTCCGATTCGAGTTGGTACGATGACTCTTGAGCTCGACGTCTTGTCAAGAGCCAATCTTGGTTGCAAACCAGTGTTTCAAGAGATTCAGCGTTAAGACAACTTCGGTAGTCGGTTAGAATGTTGCCACCAGCACTGAATTCTCGTTCAACTGCTACAGTTGATACCGGGACGGATAACACTTGTCTTGCTAGCATGCCGAGACATAGGAACATGTGTTCGTTCCGTTTCCACCATCCGAGCACGTCAAAATCCACGTCGTCGTCATCGTAATCGCATGGCACCCCCTGGTACATAGCAAGTTCGTTGTGCGAGCTTACTGTTGTACCACTTGAACTCGTCGAAGACTGAGCACGCTTCCCTTTCTTTGCAAGAAGGCCACCTACTATTCCAGCAAAACCTTTTTTTGATTTCGGGGGCGGAGGTGGTGCTGTTTCTTCTTGTACAGTATCGTATAAACCTTGATATTCCTTAAACAAATTCTCAAAAAAAGTTATAGCATTATCTCTTTCTTTTTTCCATTCTATTAAATGGCTGTAGTAATAACTATTTTCATCTAAAAAAACAACTGTAGTAATACTCAATTAGAATTTTAAAATTTTCAATCTTAAAGCGTGGATCACAAATAATACCTATTTTATAAATATCAGGAATGTACAAATAATAAGCACACCATTTATCTCACATAAAGTGTGTTATTTATTTAAAAAAATGGTGTATTTATAGTGTAGAGTGCCCCCTCCCCCCCCCCCCCACCCCCCAATCCCCCCCCTCCCCTCAACGGCATCATAGCCGTTTGAGGGGACCCCCTCACGCTCCCATTATTTTTTTTGCAGGTTGGAGCCGTTGGACAGCAGGGAAAAGAGAAAAAAAATTTTAACGGTACCGGAACCGGTACCGCCGGTGTCGGTACGGAAATATTGACACCGGAACCGGTACCGAGTGGGGCGGTACCGGTACCGGTTCCTGGTACCGGGTAACGAATTGGTCGATGGCGACGATGGCGGGTACCGCCGATACCAGCGCCGGTAACGGTACCGAACCGGTACCGTGTCCAGCCCTAGTTAAGAGTATGTGTTTTAAGAGTAAAAAAGAGAGATGGTAATTTTGACTCGACTGGACAGAGACTCGTCCCATTCGTCTTGTAAAAACAAATAAAGATGCACTATGTGATGGATATGGAGGTAAAATCTTTTACCACCGGTCACGTGATCTATCTCAAAGGAACTGGAATAAATTGAAAGGTGCTAGATGTTAGGAGTTTAAGCTCTAAATAACAAGCTGGAAAAAAGAGCTGGATGTTAGAAGAAATTGGAAAAAATTGAAAAAAACTAGAAGAAATTGAAGAAAACTTGAAGAATTGGAAGAAACTGGAAAAAGTTCAAAAAATTGGAAAACCTAAAAAACTTTTTAAAAAATTATTTTAAATTCTTGTTGTTTTAAATTATTATTATTATTACTGTTATATTACTATTATTATTATTATTATCATCATAATCATCATTATCATCACGTTATCTTAATGAATACCTTTAAAAAGTATTGTTATTTTTCAAATACAAAAAACTACTTTTGCAAAAAATAATTATAATATAAAAAGTTAGAATAAATATAAAAATATTAGATTTTAAAAAGTTTTTGTGGTTAAGTTGCACCTCAATTTATTTAGACAGTATTTATTATAAATAATATATTTGTAATTACACTTTATATATTACAAGATTTTTTTTAAATATCAGACATTTCATATAATGTAATCAAACCTATTTTTTCTTTCGTAATTGACATTTTATTTTCATTGAAAGTCCTATTTTTGGAATAAAGACATAGAATTTTTTTTACATTTTTTATGTTTTAATGCTATTTTAGTCTTTTTCTCTAAACTGTTTTGACTTTTAATTTTTTCATAAAAATTAAAAAATTTTGAGTAATAAAGAAAAAGGTGAGAGATCTTATATAAAATAAGATTACTAAAACATTTATGTCACTATTTTATCCATAATTTATTAATATAGTTCAATATAGTTATGTTTTCCTATTTTATCATATAGATTAATATACAAAAAAATTATCTTATTCATATTAAAAAGTTGAATAAAAAATAATAAGTGTGAATCGTAAAAATAGTGAGATGAAAAAAATAATTTATAAACTATAGTTATGAACATAACAGTTGTAATAATAATAATAATAATAGTAATAATAATAATAATCACATTAAAAAGATCTCGTTTTAGAGTAGTTAATTGGAGAATAGAAAGAATTTGAAGAAATTGAAAATAGTTATAATAAATTAAAAAGAACTAGAAGAAACTGGAAGAAACTTGAAAGTATTGAAAGAAACTGGAAGTTAAAAATTTAATTTCTAAAGAACATGCTCTTAGTATAGTTTAATAAAACTTCTTGCTATCTGAACTAAAATAATCATTATCTTAATTATTATTATTTTCATTACTGTAGAAAGATTGAAATAAAATTCTTTTAAATTCATTTTCATAAACCTTTTAGGGAGTTGGGATTAGAGTTGTTCTTTAGACCAAGTTGGGAATTTAGTTATTGTCATGGTGTGTTTGGTAAGACTCCGGTCTTTTTTCTTTAATAGTGTGTGCTATTTGACTTTGTGTGCTCTTCTTATCCTTTGTTTGCTCTTTATTCCTTTATTGTAATATCGATTCTACGTGTTGCTTAAGCTAAGAGTCTCTTGTTTCCAGCTTCTCTACTCTTACGACATGTTCTTTAGGAAAAGAAGTGCTGGATATTGGAAGAAATTGGACGAAACGAAAAAAATAAGAAAAAATTAGAAAGAATTAGAAAAAAACTGAAAAAAATTCAAAGAATATAGAAATAACTGAAAAAATTAGATGGAACTAGAAAAACTTGAAAAATCTATAAAAAATTGTATTCGAGTTCATTTTTATATTATTCTAATTCTAATTGTTGTTGGTATTATTATTATTATTATTAAAATTATTATTATTATTATTATTATTTTGATCATCATCATCATCATCATCATATTCATAAGCACGTTATCCTAAACAATGTTTTTAAGATAAAAAAGTATTGTCATTTTTTAAATACAAAAATTTACTTTCACAAAAAAGTTAATTAGAAAATAAAGTTAACATAAATATTAAAATGTTAAATTTTAAAAAGTTATTATGGTTACGTTGCACCTCAATTTATTTATCTTTTATATATTATAAAAAATATATTTGTAATTACACTCTATGTGTTACAAGATTTTAATTTAAATATCAGATCTGTCCTTTTTTCCTTTTATGATTGACATTGTATTCGCATTGTAATCTATAATCTTGTTTTGGGAATAGAAATATAGAACTCATATTTGGTACATGTTTATCAGTTTATGTTTTACTCATAATTTAGTATTTTTCTCTAAAATATTTTGACTTTCAATTTCTTTATAAAAATTTGAATTTTTTTTTCTCATATCAATTTAGAAGTACGTGAATCGCAAAATTAGTGACATAAAAAAATTTTTAAAAAAATGAAATAGTGTATAAACTATAGTTATGGACATAATGATTGTAATAGTAATAATGAAGATAATACTAATAATAATAATATAATAATAATAATAATAATGATCATAATAATAATAATAAGAATTACTCTGTTTTAATGATAATAATACTAATCACATTAAAGATATATCATTTTTAGAATAATTGTTCGAGGAGTAAAAAAAATTGAAGAAAATGAGAATAGCTAAAAAAACAAGAAGAAACTATAAAAACTGAAAGAAACTAGAAGTTAAAATTTTGACTTCTAAAGAACAGGCGCTTAGTAGGAGTAAGATCTATCTGCACACACCCTCTCCGAACCTTATGTTGCAAGATTCACCTAGGTTGTGATGTTGTTTTATAAACCTTTTAATTGACAACTTTAATAGTAAAAAAAAGTAGAACATCGGTACCTGAAAATGAAATGAGATGGTTCCTACTTTCCGATAATAAGAGCCTGTTTGGAAATAGCGTCAGTGATTAGCATAAGCATTTTGAAAAGACTATCTACGGGCAGCGTTTAGCGTTAGCATTTTCAAAGTGATCTGCACCATTAAAATTTTATCCAAAACGCTAACGCTAATCTCTAAAGTTATTCCCAAACAGACCCTAAATGTTTCGTCTAAAGTTATTCCCAAACAGACCTTGAATGTTTCGTCTACTTACTCTGAGATACAATTGTTATTTTTCACATTGGTACCATCATATTTCCCAGGGTATATTTATGAACATTAGTTAAACGTTTAGCTACTACAAGAGAAAAACATGGCTCATACAAAGTTGGACCAATGTGAGTTATAACGCTCTCTTTACCCTTCATAGTGACTGTCAATTAAAAGTCTACTGATCTATTCATACGTCTGTCAATAAAAATCTACTCCTCCACACCAATGTCATACAGGTTTTGGTGAGTTACAACTTACAACCGAAACAGCCCATACACACAAGTCACTGTCTTAATCCCCTTACCACCTTCTGGGAGAAATGACATTAACCTGACCCCTAACAGAAAATATTCAATAGAAAAAAGAGAGTCAACACCAAATCTAAAGAGTTGCACTTTTTGTCACACAAAGTCATTGATGTTCTCTCTTATAAGCAAACAAATACTACCACAATAATCACCATGCTGATCTTTCCTTTCCTGCAAAATGTTCGATTTCCACCTCTATGGCACCCTCCAGCTGGTCAATCAACAAACATCATCCGGCAGAGTTCTCATGAAGCAGGACGTACATACGGCTGCAAAATTGCAAACAATGCAATAATGAGAAATGATTATTAGATTCAAGTTATTGGAACTACAGGCAAAGTTCCTTTATGCAACATACCTGCTATTGCCAAACCTTATATTGTCTTTCTCTAAGAGTTCATAGTATCTTTGAGGTTCAATCCGGTCCTCCTGTGTAACGGAAAAATCAAATCTAGCCAAGTTATGGCAAGGTTCTGTCTGCAACAATATACTAAAGAGATATGCAGGGTTGAAGTAAAAGTTTGCTTGTTTAAAACTCACATTAATGAAAGTTCCATTTGTGCTCCCAAGATCCATTATGTATGGCCTAAAATTGTCATAACAATATAAACGACAGTTAAATATAGAGTAGAGAACATTTCACCTGCTCATAGAAGTAAAGAAATAAAATTGGAATAGAACTTACTTCACTTGCTTGGACAAAGTACCATCAGAATTCTCCGTCTCGACTTGCCTGTGAACCAAGGACAAGTAATCGATCAAATGACTAAGCAAAGAAAATATTAATAATTTAATATCATGTGGTGCATGCTTTTGAATGATGCCACTTTACCTATACTGAAGAACAGCATGTTGCTTGCTGCAAGATGGGTGGTCTGTAGGAATGTCTGCAACCCTTCTTTCTCTCCCAAACAGATAACAACTTTGACGATGCACATATAGGGGCTCTGTTTTTAACAAACTAATATCATATGCCCATTGGAAAAGAATGGACAAGGCATGAAATAAAAGCAATTATTTTCAAAGAATTCACCATGAAATAAAGCATCTTCACCAAAACAAGCCAAACTGAGGTGCAAGAAGCTACATGGGAAAATATGATGGATACACATAATTCCATTGCCTCTATCAAACCCCACCTGATTATTTTGCACAAAGGAAGAAGGATACCACAAACTGAAAAAAAAAAACTTAACATATACTCCCTCCGTTCGTTGTTACTGTGCGCTATTACACCTTTCCTTTTTTAGTAACTCTCTGGACCTGTTTGAGAATAGCGCTAGAGATTAGTGTTAGCGTTTTTAATAAAATTTCAATGGTGCAGATTACTTAGAAAACACTAACGCTGAACGCTGCCCTTAGATAACCTTTTCAGAATGCTAACGATAATCTCTAACATTATTCCCAAACAGGCTCTCTATTTCTCTTTCACATCAACTTTTTTACCATTTCACACCATTTCTCTCTCCTTAAAAAATAGCTCCATAGAAATATATAGTCACCTTTCATTCTTTATTAATCTATGTGCATGTCAGATTACGAACACTAATTAAGGGCCTATTCTTTTTGGAATTCTGAAATTGGATGTTGAAAGATACTAGTTGGAAGAAACTAGAAGAAGTTGGAAAAAACTAGGAGTTGGAAATTGTTGGAAAAAATAAAGTGTTAAAAAAACCATTCAATCAAATGATCACTCAAATAAGTATGTAAGAAAGGATAAAAAATAGTTCATCTTTGCGCATGTTTGAGGTGATATGTTATACATATGGATATATCATGTATGATGTTATTGTATATTCATCATATGTATATACTTTTTTAAGTCGTTGCAAGAAACTAGAAGTAGGAAAAAAATGGAATTTAACTTTTCTAAATCAAAAGAACAGGCCCTTAGGAATGGAGGGAGTAATACATGGTAGTAGAGTAACCATACTATAAAACAAGTTAAGTCTATCCATATACAGCATATATGGATAAAACAACTGCTGGACCAAATGACCACTTCCTAGCTGATAAAACAATAACTAAATGCCTACACAAATGAGATGTCAGATATACCATTAAGCACATCGCCATTCTTAAGGACATACAATCTCCACCTTATATTTGGTTTTCTAGCCTCTGGAGGCTCATTGAAAAGTAGTGTTATGCCTGAAATAAAAATATGATAATTGATCAGAGAAGAAAAATCCAATACTCTATATGACTAAAGTACATTGTCACAAAGGCACATTAATATGAGAGGAGAATAAATATAAATAAATAACCTATAAAAGGGATCTCTTTTACAAACAAAATATAAAAAGAGTTTAATCTAGAATTGCATAAGCATTCAATTTAATTCAATCATCACCTCTAACTCTATTAGTCTCTGCAGCCAGCTTTCCAGAGAGCTCAAATGAAGGCTTTTCCTGCACATAAACAGCAACAAGAAATTGAATGATCATTTACCCTGATGAGTTTCGGAACCAGCCAGCCAGGTAAATTGAATGCTAAATATCCCTAATTAACAAAGAATAAAGGGCCAGCTTGACAATTTTTTGCATGAAGGGAGGAAAAAAGAATAATATTACTATAAAACAATTGAGAGTACCACTGCCTTCTCCTTTGAATGAAGTGCCTCCTCAGCTGCCTTCATCTTAGCCAGTGAATCATTGCTAATATTCCTGCTCAAGCAAGCAAGGGAGTGTAGTAGTGTAAATTAAGAGAATGTACATGGAATACATTGAGCAAAATAAATAGAAAATCTTTAACTGTAAATTACTTAAAAACTGAAGGCAGGTGCTAAATTATATTCACGACGAACATTTTTTGCATTGCATTGAGAAGCAATAATATATACCAGTCCTCTTGCAGGTCCTCATGGCCCCTTGTTAACATAGTTGTGAATGGCGAATGGCGAGTGGCGGGCGAGAGGTTCTTTTTTATGGCGAGAAGCGTGGCGAGCGGCGGGCGGTCAAATGGCAAACATTATATAAATAAATTAATAAATATATATATATATGTGGTTTAAGTCTAGACTTTTAGTCTTAACTTTGTATCAAACATAATTATCAAAGTAAAACATGAGTTATTGGTAAAAGTTAAAACAAAAAACAAAATTTAGTACTTAAAAAGAAAGCAACATATTTAATCATAATCCTCATCCGTCAAATCCAAGCCACCATCACTAAAACAATAAGAAAACAAAAAAAAGGTCTGCGTGACCTGTGGACTCTTGTGCTGGCTCTGAATCTGCGAAGAAGTGACTCGGAGAGAGAGGGAAGAGGGTTGCGCCGGCTGAGGAGCACTTGAGGAGGGCAGGAGGCTGAGTCGGCGAGCAGAATTTGATCGACGGCGAGGGGCAGGGGCAGAGGCGAGGCAGTTGAATCGATGAAGTGCTTCGATCGTTTACTGATATATAGGTCAGGTCAGCGGGCTTTTTAAAAAAAAAGTCAATAAAAACCCTTGACCGGTCTGGCGTAGATAGCGAACGCCTTTCGCCACAGCCTTTGGCGTCTATGGCGACCGCCTATGGCGAGATTGGCGTAAAACGCCTCGCCAGGCCTGAGGATGGCGTCAGAAGGTCGCCACAAAGCCATAAGCGCCTTTGGCGAGCATGGCGAGTGCCATTCACAACTATGCTTGTTAATCTATTGATTATATTCTTCTCTATGTAGTTGCCGAGAATATCTCCATATTATAGATGAGGGGGAATAGTCATGTAGGTTAACTACTATTCTACAGATAGAAACAAAATGAAAGTAATAAAAATTATGCAACACCTAACCTGTGATCATCGCCTCTCGTCTGTGTCCCCTGTAGATAGAAGAATATAATCAGATGCCTTGGCCGCTATCTTCAACAGCAGTACTAAATATTACAAGCTTTTAAATGACCAAAACTTCAATTGTTAATTACAAAGATTCAGATAATTAAGTTGATGCATATCAGCACACGTACATGGAAAGGATAGCCAATCATGTCTTATATAACCATATGAGCAAGTAAAATTTGTAAGCACAGCAAATTCTGTCTGACACATTATAGTGGAGACTGAAAAATATGACAAGCTACTGATAGAGGCAAGTGAAATATGAAAACACTGAAATTTATGTTTCAATGCATGCCAATGTATAGCATATATTCTTCACATCGATATTCCAACCGGTGTTGTTTGCTCAGCAACACACAAAAAAAAAAATTAAACAATCTGAGTGCCATTAATACTGCAATTTAGTTTGCTTTCACTTTACAAAAATAATACTTCCTCCGTCCCCCAGTTTTTGTCTACTTTCATTTTTGCACACCATCCAATGCACTTCTTTAATCTATTTTATCTTGTAATTTGTATATTAAAAAATTATAGAAATTATATATTAATAATCTATATGTTAAAACAAATCAAACAAGATCACACATGACTATATTTAGGCTTACACATTGAGAGAATTTGATGAGTCAAAGTGCTTAGATGAACAGTTCCAAAAGTCAAAAGTGGACAAAAACCAGGGGACGAAGGGAGTAAGTTGTATGTTATATCAACTCCAAGAAATACTTACAGCAATATTGATGTAAACATGAATGAACATGTAAATGAAATTTCTATATGGATGGCACTGGGACTGGTTAAGGCGGATACTGCCCCAAGTTCCGCCGAATATTGTTTAAATTCACATCCATTGAGGTGGGTGTTGTTTAAATTCAGTGGCTATGTATATCCGCAGCCACTGTCCTGCCCCATTGCATTTCATAATTTTTTAGCATATCAAAAGAGAGGCAAAATTCTATAAAAATACTCCGGAAATAAATAAATGTTGTTGCTACTCAGCAAATAAATAAAAATAACACACAAGAGTGAGCGGATATCACCAGAAACCTCATCGTGTTCTCTCCTATTTGCAGGTGCAGGTGACCGAGATCTTTGGTGACGCTTGTGGGAATAGTCAGATGGAGAAGCCGACCTTCCATGCCTGGACTTCGAAGACTGGTTATTATAAGCACTATCATCCCTTCCAGATCTTCGTTCTCTTCTATCAGATGGACCATGTCTGTCGGATTCCGTTTCCCGTCGCCTGGACCTGTCACTCCCCCTCAGGTGATTTTTATCGTGATCCCTGTCGCCTATCCTTTCAGACTCTTTCTCAGATTTGGCTCTCCTTAGCCTTTTGCTACGGGGCGAATGTGAGGGAGATTCAGAAGACCTTGATTTGGCAACTCTAGGGGACCTGGCTCGGCCGCAAGGTTTTTCCATCTCATTAGAGGGTTTTGGAGACTTTCTGCGTCCCAGAGGTTTTGCCTCTGATCCTCACTCTAAAAGAGCGGCCTGTTTTGTCTACAGGTCATGCTTGGTGAGTTGGTTTCCTATCGATAGTGTTAACCATTTTAATATACACAGAGAATATTCTGAAAATAAATTTCTATTTTTTATATTATATTTCATAACATTGAACCAATGTAATTCCATAAATTGTATCTATTCCATATGATTAAACAATTTCAAAAAATGACAGGAAATTTTATAAATTTTAGAAATATTACATTTATTAGATGATTTATTAAATTCAGAAAGTTTTATTTTATTAATCAAATTAATAAGTTTCTAGATTTTTTATTCAACTAAACACTTTACTGAATTTCAGAAAATATCGCAAAATTGATTCATGAAATATAGCTTCAGAATGTTCTTCTACGACTCAAAATCCAAACATTATCTTACTCAAGAATGGGGCTAACAAAATTGGGTAAAGAGTGAATTAGGGTTCATCAACCCAATTGAAATAGAAGATTTAACTGGAAAAACCTGGAACTGTGACGATCCTCGCCTGAGACGCTCCACCTTCCAGCAGCTCTATGGACTCTCTGTCTCTCTTCCTCTCTCCGCCTCTAGGTTGCGACTTCACTTTCCAAGGAAAGAGGGGGGCAAGTGAAGTTGGGCTACTGAAACAAAACAAAAAAAAAAACAAAATGGGCCCTCCGTTTTTCATTGGGCCTTGTGTATTGATCGTGCTGCACAGTATAGGGCTATAGCCCGGCCTGGACTTATATCAATTATCAACTACTCCGTATCAAATTTGTATTGATAATTACTACGTAGTACATTACATATTCACGACTTAAGCCTTTTCTTTAGGACTTGAACTCTTAATTTCTAGTTCTTTCCAGTTTCTTCCAGTTTCTTCCAGTTTTTTCCAGTTTCTTCCCGTTTCTTCCAGTTCTTCCATTTTTTTCCAGTTTCTTCCAGTTCCTTCCAGTTTCTTCCAGTTTCCAGTATTTTATACTTCGTAATAAATACAGCATAGCCATAATAACTCTTAACTTTTTAACATTTTGATATTTATGCTAATTTTATATTCTAATTAATTTTTTAAACTATCTTTTTATGTATGAAAAATAATATTCGTAATATTTTTTTATTTTAAAGACAATCATTTAGATAACGTGATAACACTACCACTACCACCACCACCACCAACAACAACAACAACAAAAACAACAATAATAATTATTATTATTATAATAATAGTAATAATAATAATTTACTCCCTCTGTCCCACTATATTTGTCCACTTTTATTTTTGCACCCCATCTAATACACTTCTTTAATCCATTTTATCTTGTAATTTGTATATTAAAAAATTATAGAAATTATATATTAATAATCTATATGTTAAGACAAATCAAACAAGATCACACATGACTATATTTAGGCTTACACATTCAGAGAATTTGATGAGTCAAAGTGTTTAGATGAACAGTTCCAAAAGTCAAAAGTGGACGAATATAGCGGGACGGAGGGAGTATATCAACAAGAATCAGAACGAGAGTAATTTAAAACCACACATAAAAAATTTTTAAAATTTTTTTTAGATTTTACAATTTATTCTAGTTTTTTCAATTTCTTTTAATTTTTTCCAGTTCCTTCCAGTTCCTTCCAGTTTCTTCCAGTTTCTTCCACTTTCTTCTAGTTTATTCCAGTTTCTTCCAGTTCTTCCAGTTCCTTCTAGTTTTTTTCAGTTCCTTCCAGTTCCTTCCAGTTTCTACCAGTTTTTTCCAGTTTCCAGCTCTTTTTTTCCAGTCCTAAAGAACAGGCACTTAGGCTCCGTTCCGTTCAACTTATTTTTTCTGATCTGATCTGATTGAATCTGGTATGATTTGATTGGATCTGATCTCATCTGATCTGATCTGATTAGATCTGATCAGATCAGATCTAATGTAGCGAGTCTACTCTGGCAATGTGGCGAATGTTGAACTTGTGGACTTGGGTCACGGCTTCTTTTCCTTGAGGGTGAACTTGATGAGCCTACACTTGCTGAGGACTTGTCGTTGTAGTGGCAACAATGACGCAAATGACCCCTTTTGGTTAGTGTCTTGATGAATCATAAAGCCCTCCGGTGGTGTCTCACTTTCGGAGTTTTGATGAGGATTTTGCTTCCTTTTGATGACCCATTGATGATGTTGATGCATATTACGAGGACGAGCCTTGGTGATGGTGATGATCATGTTTCTATGTGATGTACATTTTTTCCCTTGTGCTTGTTTACTCATGTTTTGTTGTTTGGGCGTGCGTGCCTTTGGCATGTGTGTCACTTTGCTTTGATTTTATAGGGGTATGCCCCGATGCATTGTATGTTTACTTTGTGGATGTACATTGTATTGACTCTCGGATAATAATAATTTACATATTACCGATGATTAGATATGATCTTATCTGATATGATTAATTATGATTTTATTTAAAATTCAAATTAATAATATGATTTGACGTTATAATAAGAGTAAATTCCATAATTGGTCCTTTATAACAGAGGGGTTTTCCCTTTTTAGTCCTCAATTATCAAATATTACCCCAGTGGTCCTATTTTATAGGTATTTTTCCATAAATGGTCCTTTTTTGATCTTCTGTCATGTTAGTGTTAATTTGAAGACTAAATATATAATTTGACATCAACATTATGTCTAGTGACGTGTTCTGATATTGGTTTAGCAGATAACACAAAAATAATGACTATGATTGTGGACTAGGATTCCAACAAAAGACCACATTTGTAGACTATGTTTGTAGTAGAAAGCGGCTGTAATTCACAAACGATGCAAACAGAACAACCTTTGGAATTGTGTATGACAAAAAAGATATATTATCATTGTTAAATTGCACTTCTAGCCCTCAAATTAACACCAATATGATAGAAAATAAAAAAAAGGACTATTTGTGGAAAGAGACCTATAAAAGAAGGACCACTAGGATAATATTTTATAATTGAGGACTAAATAGAGAAACCCCCCTATTATAAAGGACTAATTATAGAATTTACTCTTATAATAATGTTTGAAAATTATAGTGATAATTCATATTTTAATATAATCAATATTTTTTATCATATGAATAATTTTTAATAAAATAGAATTAGTTAATTCGTATATTAGAATAAACATTAATATTATTGTTCAGACACAAGAACTCGAGGTCCAGGGAACAACCAGTTCTGACCAGACCTCCATGCCGCTGGATCGGCTCTCGCCATCCATGTTCCCAAGCATTGCCAGAGATCGACTCTAACGAGGTCACCAGCGGCACGTTTTTGATTTGGGGTATTTCAAAAACCCTAATTTATTTGTTTCTCTTTTATGAATTCTTATCCAGCTTTAAAGGGGTTTTTTAAAAAGCTGATTAACTGGACATTTGGTTTTTAATTTGCATGATATTTGATTTAATTGATGATAATGTTCTACACTGATAAATAATTGTTAGAATTTGTCAATTTGGGATTCATGGTAAACAGAGTATTGTGTTGCCTAAAAAGTTTAAGCAAAAATCAGATAGAGATTTGTCTCCTCTGTCCATCTTCATCAGTATGTATGTGATTGTGGTATGTACGAATCCCTAATCTCTTATCTTTATTCATAGCAGCTGGCGATGATATATTAGGTAGTTTGGATTCGGTACTGTACATCAGTTGCATTCTGTCCGAGGACGGAAAGAGAAAACAAGGTTTTGTGTCTGAGGAGAAATTCACAGATTTAGTTGCTGAAAATGCTCAATTCAATAAGGCTCTCATGGCTCTCTTGTTGTGTTAGTTTTTTTGTTCTTAATTATGGTATGAAAAGCAAATCGAACCCTTAAGAAGAGGGTTTGAAGGTATTGTTTATTATATCAAGAACTTTGCTGAAGGTATTGGGCACATGCATTTCGTAATACGATTGTTGAAGGTATTGTTTATTATATCAAGAACTTTGCTGTTGTTGATAACAAGAACCGGTATCGTGTTGTGGGAGACAACAAAGTTATGATCCAACTGTATGCAAACTCTACTGTCAAACGCCTTCCTGATGATACATCCAACATCCCAATGCATCGCTTTGACCTACTACCCTTTGATATGGTTGAGACCAGAATGAACCAAGAATATATCCTTACAGGTTTTTTAGTCGTTGCTCGAGTTTATTTTTCATTTTAGTCTGCCTTTGAACATACAAACACCTTTTACATATGTGCAGATGTAGTTGGTCACATTTGTAGTGAGGGCAAGATAGAGGAGAAGCACATTCATAACCGTATGGTGCCTTGCCTTATGCTAGAACTACAGGATAGGAGGTAAGTCATGCTTGGATATATGATATCAACAAGAACAATGGTTGGTATTACAATTCATGCCGTAATTGCAAACGGTTGATCAAAGCATGCGGAGACAAGTTTTGGTGCAATAAATGCCAAACAGTAGTGGATGATGCTGTTCCGAGGTATGCTCCACGCTCGGTTTATACTTAAAAGAGGTTGGAAAACTGGAAGAAATAAAATGAATATAATATAGAGTAATACTCTAAGGAATTTAAATTAACTACTTTATGGGATATTCCATGAATTCGAAACACATAAAATACTTACTTCTTTGCTATTCATAGGTATCGTCTAGATGTTGGGGTGAAGGATGATAACGAGTTTACAAGGTTTA